CTTTAGGCCTGCATGGCTTCATGTGACTTACACTTCACTTCAACTTTGACAGAGGAAGAAATTAAGAGCCTCAAGATGTGGTCCTGATCCAACATATAGAGTCTGTCTACGCACACACTTTCACTTCATCTGATCGCTAGCAGGGTGCAGTTCTTTAGTGGGGTTAGTGCTATTTGAAGAATTATCCCTCATGGGAGTGGTAACTGTTGGTGAATTGAAGCCTAGCATTTCCGGAAAAAGGACTTTTCGTCCAAGCTCAAGCATAAGACATGCCACCGAATGGTAATCTTCTAATTCGCAGCATGTTTTGCTGCATTAGTGTTGATTGCAACCATACATGGATGTACCATTTTGATTCATTAATGAGGGAGATTTTTTCTTATTTTCCAATGATCTTATTAGCCTTGTGAATGAATAACTGAGTTCAAATATGAAGTAGGTTCAGAAGGAGAATGTAGCTTTTAGCTGACTCAATAAGGATCACTGTGGTCTCGTGACAAAACCATATATTAGCACTGAAACCTTAATTTTCTTTCCCCTTGTTTTGCCAGTGTGTTAGTGCATCTCATGTGTATTTCAATCTTGTAAGTTTTTCTTATCTGACATAGTCACAGGCTGTCCAAATTTATGGCAGAAAACAACACTTCATATATATGGTAGCATGGGTTAAAACACAGATTGGTAGATAAAGATGTAACATTGCATTTGATGTAGTGCTTCACCCACCTGACAGCGGTATGGCGCTGCATGGTGAATGTTCAGATCTCATATGCTGTCAGCAATGTGAACGACAACTAATGTTTGTCTGTCAATTATTCTCGTGCTTTTATTATCTTTAGGCCCTAAATAGCGAGGAGATGATGTAATTGGAGCTCACCGACTATGAGAAAAATGAAAACCCTTTTGGCTGCATATAGAGCAGGACAGGTGTTAATATCAGCCTGTGACTCCAAAATTGATTTCCCCGTCTTATCTTAGATGTTCAATGATTTGCATTCATGGGTTCCACTACAGTGACACAACCAATTAATCCTGAAATATCAATTTGACTTGAAACTCATGTAAACATGTTGTGTCTGCAGTAGTGTGCCTATTTAAGTCTTACCCAAATACTGTATTTATTAAGTTGGGGCCATTCACACCTAAGACTTTGACATTGGAAGATTAAGTTGTCTTTTGGGTTGTAGAGAGCACATGGCTTGAGTTCCAATTGTTACATTAAATTGCAAACACACATGCTGGTAGAGGTTATTTCATGGTCTTTGATAATTTAATTTCGGTAATATGTACGCCTGCAGCGGCAGTTTTTGCTTTATGTTGAAATTTCCAGGTGCTATGTTATGTAGTGATTCAGCCAGATTTGATTTTTGCAGGCCAATATCTGACGTCTCTAGTGATCTCACCATCGAAGTAGGAGCATCAGCCTTCGCACTTCACAAGGTAAAGGAAACTACCTGCCATTATGATAAGAGGTTTAATACTCTCCATGGTTTTCTTAGGTTGAAAATCTTATAGGAACTCAATAATATTTGGCAACTTGCTTCGTTGATGATTACTTTTATTTTGATATTGCTATTAAAAATATATAACCAATGTATGTTTTTAATATTTTTATTAACTAATGTATGCATCATGCCCAAACCTTGTCCACTTGCCTTAATGGCTGTTAAGTGGTACCAAACAGAATCATGAACATAATTCTCCATGCTTTTGTTGGGGCTTGATATACTATGGTTTTTTCATGGTCTCTTTTCATGACTTAGTTTAAGAAGACACAAAGAAAAAGAAAAGAAAATAAGAAGAGTATAAAGATTTTCAGTTTTTCACTATGTACTAAAAGTGTACCAATTTTTCCACTAGTTTCCTCTCGTTGCTCGGAGTGGAAGAATTCGGAAGCTGCTGCTAGAAGCAAAAGATTCAAAAGTTTTACGCATAAGTCTCCCAAATGTGCCAGGTGGAGCAGAGGCATTTGAGCTAGCTGCCAAATTTTGCTATGGAATCAATGTTGAGTTCACTCTCTCAAATGTTGCCTTGCTACGTTGCACGGCTCATTTTCTTGAAATGACGGAAGAATTCTCAGAAAAAAACTTGGAATCCAGAGTTGAAGCATACCTTAGGGACACAGTGCTCCCTAACATCTCAAGCACAGTATATGTTCTTCACTGTTGTGAGACCCTTCTTCCAATGTCTGAGGAAATAAACCTTGTCAATAAGCTAATCAATGCAATTGCAAACAACGCGTGCAAAGAGCAGCTTACATCTGGTTTGCTAAAACTCGACCACACTTTCCCTTCCAAAACCACGCCAACCATGGAGCCAGAAACACCCTCAGATTGGTGGGGGAAGTCTTTCAATGTTCTTAGTCTTGACTTCTTCCAACGAGTTGTATCTGTTGTGAAGTCGAAGGGACTAAAACAAGACATGATCAGCAAGATATTGATGAACTATGCACATGGTTCTCTTCAGGGGATTGGAGTTAGAGACCCCCAAGTGGTGAAAGGAAGTCTTCATGACATGGAATTGCAAAAGAAACAAAGGGTCTTTGTTGAAACCATAGTTGGCTTACTCCCAACTCACTCAAGGAAAAGTCCTATTCCAATGGGATTCCTCTCAAGTTTGTTGAAAGCTGCAATAGCAGCATCTGCATCAACTCATTGGAAATCTGATTTGGAGAGGCGAATCAGTCTTCAACTTGACCAGGCAATTCTTGAAGACATCTTAATCCCAACAAACTCACCTCAAAACACCCACAACACGATGTACGACACAGACTCAATTCTGAGGATTTTTTCTATTTATCTAAACATGGACGAGGAGGATGGAGAAGATAGTGACAACTACATTGACGAAAGCCAAATGGTGTATGATTTTGACAGTCCTGGATCTCCAAAACAAAGCTCAATCATAAAGGTATCCAAATTGCTGGACAGTTATCTCGCTGAAGTTGCTCTAGACTCAAACTTGTTGCCTTCAAAATTCACAGCTCTTGCAGAACTACTTCCAGATCATGCACGTGTTGCAAGTGATGGACTCTATAGAGCTGTTGACATCTTCCTTAAGGTGAAGATTACTCCATCATGTTTAAGCTTTCAAATTAGACTAAAAGTTTATGCACGAGTGTAGAAATTTAGATTGTAAATTAGTTAGAAATTGTTAATGGTATGATTTTGAAGATATTGATTGTAAAAGGTAACAAATTTACTATATTTTATTATACGTGATTGGATTATTATTATGATTTTTAAGATATTTATTGTAGAATTTAACAAATTTACTGTATATGATCATTGTACTTTCTATAGTGTCACTAAAGTTTTAGATTGTCAGCCAATCTGAAGTTATAGGAAATATGACGGTTAATTATTATAAAAGTTGACAGTACATAAACTGTTTGCAGTACTGCATGATCTAGTAGTATTGCAGGTTGTTATCAGCAATGTGAAAGTGTTGTTTGTTTCCTTATGATATAGGTTCATCCAAACATGAAGGACTCAGAGAGGTACCGGTTATGCAAAACCATTGATTGTCAGAAACTGTCTCAAGAAGCATGCAGCCATGCAGCACAAAATGAAAGACTACCAGTGCAGATGGTGGTGCAAGTACTTTACTTCGAGCAAATGAGGCTTCGCAACGCCATGAATGGAGGGCACAACCAATTCTTCTTTGGTCAGTTTCCTCACCGTTCAGGAAGCGGTGCAGGGAGTGGAGCCATTTCGCCAAGAGATAACTATGCATCAGTGAGAAGAGAGAACAGAGAACTGAAGCTTGAAGTTGCAAGAATGAGAATGAGGCTTACTGACTTGGAGAAAGACCACGTGTCTATGAAGCAGGACCTTGTAAAGTCTCACCCTGCCAACAAGTTGTTCAAATCATTCACCAGAAAGCTGAGTAAGCTCAATGCTCTATTCAGGATCAATAGCATTAAGCCACTTGGTGGCAAAGCTAGTTCAGAAACTCGCTTCCCTTTTCCAAAGCGAAGACGCCACTCCGTTTCATAACTATGTTCAAATACGTAATATATCATATATGCCATAATTTATGTACAGTATGCATAAACATAGTAGTAATGCATGGCGTGATTGTGTCTATTTTCCAGTCAACAGTTTTTTGGGTTATGTTGCTGACTATCTTTACCCTTCTCAGATACTCAATTCAAATTGTACCATCTTCTGTATCAGAGTTTTAGCACACAAACACTTTCTCAGAACTAAAATGTTTCTGAGATATCATGTTTTTTCATTACCAAGTAGCATTAAGATAATTTGTTGTCTCTAGAGTAAGTAAGGCATAATAATGCAACGTAAGGGTGATGGCATAGCCACACCATGATTATTAAAATGCACCTCGTTAAGAGACACCTAAGGAATGAGACAAAGGAAAGTAAAAAACAAAATCATTTTACTTGATTAGAGTAAAAAACATGTAAATTGTAATAATTATTTCCTACCCCGTTTTAACACATAATAATGTTATCTTCAACTCTAAGTTTTTGCACACATCACATATAGATTTATTTTGAGAAATTAGTTATCGATTCTCAACTATTTTGGGTTCACTCAAAACCATTGAAAGGATATGGTGCAATTAAGTACTTGGTCGTGTATGGGTGTTACCTTTGGTTTGGATGATATGAAATAAGAAGAAAGTAAAACAGTAGGTAGATGGAGAAGAAATAAAGTTTTTCTTACGTTGATATATTTGGATAATTTTTAGATTACAAAAAATAACTTCGTATAATAAAAATAATGGGTATTTTATAGAATTAAATTTTATTTTTTATTTGTATTTTTTGTTGTACAATTTATTAAATAACTTTTTTTATTATATTAATTTCATAAACATTTTTCTTATTTTCACTACTACGCCCGTATCCTGTTGGGCCATCATGTGGAGCGTTCTAGGCCCAATCAGTGTCCGGTCCAGTCTGTGCAAAGACGATACGGCGCCGTTGTCTTGTCTTGGATTTTGATCATGCGTCGTCTTCTCTTGCAGTGTGAACGATGACAGTGAGGTTGTCTATGGCAGGGTTTCGAAGCTCGTTGCCCTTTTCCGCGCTAATACGGTAACTAACCCATCGTCTTCTCCACTATTTCTCGCTTTCTATTAATATGAATTATCATAACTTTGCCTTTTTTTACCTGAAAGAATTGTTAGGGTTCCGTTGCGTAAACATTGTTTTCTTCCTTTGTGTTTGTGACAGACAAGTTGAACAAGAAATGGAAACAGTGATTAAGGTGCTGCAGCCTGGACCCTTGGGAATCATAGAGCACAAGTTTTCCGCCGAGGAAATTCGTAAGGCTAATGCCACGGTTTCTAAAGCAGTGACCAATTGGCAAAGGAATGCAACCCTCGAAGACAATAATCACATTTTGAAAGACTACATTCACAAGTGAAGTCAATTTTAATTTCTTTTTGTTGGCTATTTGTTCTGATATGTGATAGTTATTGATGTTCGGTGTTGTAAATACTGGTAATTCATTATAAATCTTTATGAAATTTTGTAATAATATCTCAACTTTGGTATGGTCGTTTATTATGTTCTTTTATCATTATGTTTACGATAATATGATGATGTGGAGTGTGGATTGACTTGCATTGTTTTGTTGTTGGGGATGCTACACATTGCAACTTTGGGAGTAATTCCGTTTCATCTGGGTTGGCCACGAAAATGATTTATCTTGCTTTTTGACAATCTGCTCACATTGGGTGTCAGCATTGTCTTTACATGTCACCACCTTTTTACGTAATCTCTTATATGAAGTAAAACCTGTATATTTTGAGGTACTTTCTCTTAGTTATGAAAATATGTTTCTTGAACTCTCAGAGAGATAAGTAAGTAAGTTGGATTTGATTCATCTGCAATTGGAAAGTGTAAAGTAAGTAATACTAGTTGTTGATGAGGAGGTCAATAATTGATTTTCTTATATTTGACAAGCATGAAATATTAATAGTTAATTTTCTTATCAATAACTGAAATTGTTTAGTTTCTTTCTAAAGTGTGTTGTTCCTTCCACAGAAACTGAATACAAGTAACTTATGTCACCGTATCCCTTTTTTGGTGATCCCTATCTTCTGCAAATTCATTTATTGGTTGCCCAGTTTCTCAATTGCATTTACTATTTGTTAAGGATAAAGATGAGATGCAAGAAAACGAGAGAAAGTTTTGTTTGTTTGTGTTTTTTGCCCTCATGCTTTTCTCTGTATTCTAACTAACACCCCCTCCCTTTTTACCGAATTGATGTGTACCCACTCATCTCTTACACAGAATGAGCTAAGCGTCAATCATGGGTAGGCCTTAGACATTACTTGAATTTGATTTTGGCCATTGTGTCAAAATTTAAGTGTTTGCGTTTTTGACATTTGACAGCAAAGAAGTTCCACTTAGCTGCTAAGGAACGAACCAGTCAAACCTCTGATAACAATAGATGTCACAAAACACGTCAAAAGTGCACTAAAATGTTTAAAGAAGCCGAACTTTTTAGAAAATCTATTATCTCGTGTTATCTTGTTTTTCATATGGATTTTCTATAGCCCACTTTTCAAAATGTTCATAGTCAAGCTTTCGGTGGTTTTGTCAGCTAAGGAAAGTGGCGTAGTGAAGAACAGTTCTTTTGAACCCCAATATTCCGGACTCTCGAGCAAAATGCTAGAACACTATTTAGTACAACTTTATGTAACATTTTTTTTATACTAACATATATAGAATGGACTTGTTCAGAAGGTATCTATCTCGAACCATTTTTTAACGTATTTTATCATTGATAAAAGGTTATCAGTTTTCGTAAAATCAGAGTATCTCAGTTTTTTTTTTTTATAACAAAATTGTGTTTAAAAAAACATTGTTCGTGTTACGGTATATAATGCCAAAAATCGTTATATGGTATTGAAAGTACCACAAAAATAGGTACGTTCCTGCGTGTCCATGTATTTATTCAATACAAGAGAAGAAGGACATGCATACAAGGAGTACCATTATTTCCCACATTTTCTAGACCCTCTTGTACTTTACAGATTTCAGTGTTAAAATACCCCTTTCGAAAGCACCTACACCAGTTCTGAAAAGGAGCATTATTGCATTGTGGTGAGAGAAGAATATATTCTTAAAGGTTTAAAAACAAACATGCCATAAATACATTGCTTTTCCATAACTGGATCCTAATAAATCAAATCTAGCTAAAGTATCATTCAATTTAGTATTTTCCTATGGCCACCTTGTATTTCATTCATGATATATTTTGTAATGAAAACACACCAACTCAGATTTTAGCTTTTAAACGTATATATATCTTATTTATTTACTCAATTGAATCTTTAATATTTGAACTTTTTTTTTTCCTCCACGATTTATTTAGTTACATGTCTAACTAACCTATTTTTGCTAATAAACAATGTACATTTTCTTTACCAAAACAAGGTTATATTCTAAATATAAACAACTATAAATATACTTAGAGGAGCATAATGTTTTGAAGTTAAATTATTTGTCGGCATATACTAACCGGTGTAAAACAAAAATAAAAAGGACCATGGCATTATGGCATATGCTGTTCGAGAACCAGTGCAGAACCAAAAACCAGTGCGAGGCCAGTTCCTAGCATCGCAGTGGGAACTATGGATTCCTCGACAGCAGCTTCTGCTTCAGAATTGACATGCATTTTTTATTATTATTTACCCTTCGCACTGTCTCTCATATTTTAAGGATATCCTCTGTATAAAGATGGAATATGTACGTGGAAAAAAGTTGTGGCTGTATTGGCTCCTCTATGACATCTGTCTACAAACTGCTCATTCATTTTCTTGCTTTAATGTTAGTTTAGATTTTTTGTTTTCTTAAACAATAATACAAAATAAATGATTTTTTTCCATAAATTAAAATCAACCTGCTTAAACTTTTGATGATGAAATTTCCAGTTGAAAACTTTAAGCACAAATAAAATGTTTTAATAACCTTTAATCAGTTTAATTTCTTAATTCATGTAACACTCAAACAATTGTACACTGCTCTGTATTCACACTCAACATATGTACACTCTCTGAATACTTTATTCTAACAACCGTAAAATTTTACATCCTTAATATATATAGTAATGTTGAAGTTTCTTTGAGGAGCTTGAATAAAGATGTGTGAACATCTCATGAATCTGATACATTACTGTTGGGAAAAATATGCTGAATCTTCCCATATGGTCAGATCTGTGAAAGTGAAATAAAAGCGGAATAATTGCACACACAAGTTGATAACGGAGTTCGGCCAATAATGCCTACGTCTCCGGACTACTACAGATCTCTTTCTGGGAGAAAAGAAAATACACAAGTGTTTACAAAACACTCTCAAAGCACTCACAACTCACAACCCAATTACACCCAGAAGCTAAACTAAAACTCTCTTGTTTTTCTGCCCCTCACTGGTGCCACTCTTTCTTCTCTAAGAGAAGTAGTATTTTGTGTGGGATGGGATGCTCTTGCTTGTAGGAAGAAGACCAATTTATAGCAAAAAATTGGCACTATGCATTACATTAAAATATGTCCCATGAGCACCTCATGGTTACATAAAAAATTTGGCAGCCACCCTTGCCCACTTTCTTTGACCAATTGCAGCCACCCTTGCCCACTTTCTTTGACCAACAATCTCCCACTTGAGGACCGATTTCAATTTGTCCTCACACCTTGATCAATAGTAGTCTTCTCTTGTCTGTTATCCTTGTAAGCTAACTGAAGTTGAGCATAACTTCAGTTTGTCAATAGTCACCACCTTTGTTAGCATATCTGCTGGGTTCTTACTTCCCACAATTTTCTTCAATGTTAGCATCTCATCCTCAAGTAGAGATCTGATGAAATGATAACGTATGTCGATGTGTTTGGTTCTGGAGTGAAATGCTTGAATTTTTTGCCGGATGTATTGCACTCGACTATCACTGTGCAAAACACTCCTTTCTTGAATGAATCCCAACTCGCCAACAATCCTTGAAGCCATATCAATTCTTTACTGGCTTCTGTCACTGCTACATACTCAGCCTCTGTAGTGGATAAAGTAACAATCTTCTGTATCCGTGACATCCAACTAACAGCTGTAGTTCCAACAGTAAACACATACCCAGTGGTGCTTCTTCGGTGATCAACTTCACCTCCAAAGTCTGCATCTACGTAGCCCTGCAATTTTAGATCTCCTTTTCTAAAATACAGACATTTTTCTGTTGTGCCTCGTAGATACCTCAGAATCCATTTGACTGCTTCCCAATGAGCTTTTCCTGGATTTGACATGAATCTGCTTACAACTCCCACTGCATGGCCAATGTCTGGCCTCGTACAGACCATCGCGTACATCAAACTTCCAATGGCTGAAGCATACGGAATCTTAGCCATTAACTCTTCTTCTTCCTTTGTTTGAGGAGACTGATCCTTGGATAGACGAAAATGGCAAGCCAAAGGTGTATTGACTGGTTTGGCATTGTCCATGTTGAATCTCTGCAAAACACGGTTGATGTACTCGCTTGAGATAACCGCAAAACTCCTTTTTGCTTATCTCTCGTGATTTGCATTCCAAGAATCTTCTTTGCTGGGCCTAAGTCCTTCATGTCAAATTCTTTTGACAACTCGCTTCTTTAAGTTTATGATCTCATTCATATCTGAACCTCGCTACTAGCATATCATCAACATAAAGTAGCAAAATGATATAACTGGACTTATACCTTTTGAAGAAACAACAGTGATCAGCGTTGCACTTCTGGAAACTCTCCTTGTGCATGAAGCTTTCGAACTTCTTATACCACTGTCTTGGAGCTTGTTTCAGGCCATACAAGCTCTTTTTCAATCTGCACACCAAGTTCTTCTTTCCTTCGAAAAACCTTCAGGCTGGTGCATGTAGATCTCCTCATCTAAATCTCCATGAAGAAATGCGGTCTTCACATCTAATTGCTCTAGGTAGAGCTCCTCACTAGCCACAATACTTAACACAGTCCCGATAGTATTGAGCTTTACAAGCTGGAGCAAAGATTTCAGTGTAGTCGACTCCTTCTTTCTGCTGAAATCCTTTGACGACCGGTCGAGCTTTGTATCTCTTAGAACCATCATGGTCTTCCTTCACTCGATACACCCATTTGTTGTGAAGTGCTTTCTTTCCCATAGGTAACTTGACTAGTTCCCATGTCTGATTTGAGATTAAAGACTTCATCTCGTCTTTCATGGCAAGCTCCCACTTGCTAGCATCCGTGGCTTGACAAGCTTCCGTATAATCTTCAGGCTCCCCTCCATCAGTCAACAACATATAGTCCATGTATCTCCTGTTAGGCACATGAGGCCGAGAAGACCTTCTCAATACAGGAGTTGGAGTAGGAGGTTCTGCTTGCACATCAAGTTCTTCAACTGATTCCTCTGGCTGAGGACTCCTCATTATAGGACTTTCTGGGATATCTTCCACCTCTGCATAAACTGGCCCACTCGCTTCTGAGTTGCTGGCACCTGTATTATGCTTGTCCTTGTACATCACTCTTTCATTGAAGATTACGTCTCTGCTGCGGATCATCTTTTTGTTTTCATCGTCCCATATGCGGTAGCCAAACTCATCTTCACCATAACCAAGGAAAGTACATTTCTTTGATTTTGGATCAAGTTTGTTTCTGCCTTGATCATCGATATGCGCATATGCTACACAGCCAAAAACTCTAAGATGTGAGAGTTTTACCTCTTTTCCGCTCCATACCTCTTCTGGTATCTTGTGTTCCAATGGTACCGATGGACTTCGGTTGATCAAGTAGGCTGTCTGTGTTGACTCGCTCGCCCAAACTGCTTTGGTAAGCCTGACTGCACACGCATGCTTCTGGCCCTTTCAGTCAACGTTCGATTCATACGCTCAGCTACACCATTGTGTTGAGGCGTACCCGGCACGGTTCTCTCCATTCTGATTCCGTGCTCATAGCAAAACTTCTTGAATTTGGTGTCTACATATTCACCACCATTGTCGGATCTGAGCTTCTTAATCTTTAATCCTGTCTCATTTTCCATCATAGCTTTCCATATCTTGAAAGCTTCAAATACTTCGACTTATATTTCAGAAAGTAAACCCATACCTTTACGGAGTGATCATCAATGAAAGTCACGAAGTAATGCTTCCCACCAACGGATGAGGCAGTCGTTGGACCCCAAACATCGAGTGGATGAGCTCAAGCTTCTCTTTCTTTGGGGTTCTTTTACTTGTCTGAAAGCCGACTCTCTTCTGCTTTCCAAGTATGCAGTCTTCACACATGTCAATATCTACTGACTGAAGACCTGGTAATTTTCCTCTCGAGTGCATGACCTTCATTCCTTTCTCACTCATATGTCCAAGTCTTTGGTGCCATATGTTGGAATTTTCATTTGTTGCAACTGCAATCAAATGACATGCTCCTGCAGTCTTGTAGAGAGTTCCACTCTTTTTGCCTCGAGCAATCGTCATCGCACCTTTTGAGATCTTCCATTCATCACCATGGAAGATTGTCGTATAGCCTTCACTAGCTAACTGACCTACTGAGATTAAGCTCTTTGTCGGTCGGGAATATGTTCGACATTTTTCAATTCCCATACGGACCCATTCGAGCTTAATCCTTACTTGCACCTTTGCCTACAATCTCACATGACTGTTCATTACCAAGGTAAACCTTACCAAGGTTTCCGGGAACATAATTCTCCAACAGTTCCTTCTGTGAGGTAGCATGAAAAGAAGCTCCGGAGTCTAACACCCAAGACTCCTCCCTGCCTTCAAGAGAGCATATCAACGCCTCATCTTTTCCTGAGGTGGAGGCAACGTTTGCTTCGTCCTTTGCTCCTTGATTCTTCCGTGCACTCTTGCACTGGTTTCTGAAGTGTCCGGTCTTCCCACAATTCCAACACTCGATCGTTTTTGAGTTGTGGGAACTACGATGATTTCTGGACTTGGACCGCCTGTCCTTTGATTTTCCATGTCCAATTTCTTTGGTTGAACTTCTTCCTCTTGACTCTGTATGCAATACTGAAGAGGTTGATGCTTCACCCGACTCTCTCCGCCGGATCTCTTCGCTGAGAACCAAATTTTGAACATCATTAAATCTTAACTTGTTGTTTCCCGATGAGCTACTCACAGCCTGTGACCAGTAGCATTCCAACTCTCCGGTAGGGAAGACAAAAGTATTAAAGCCTGTACTTCATCATCGAATTTGATGTCAATAGAACTCAACTGGGTTGTTACAGTGTTGAGTTCATTGAGATGATTTGCCACCGAAGCACCTTCAGACATCCGCAGGTTGAACAATCGCCTCATCAAGTGAACTTTGTTTGAGGCTGATGGTTTCTCGTACATGTTGGAAAGAGCCTTCATGAGATCTGAGGTCGTCTTTTCTTTCACAATGTTGAAAGCAACATTACGGGATAATGTTAGACGAATAACTCCAAGAGCCTGTCTATCAAGGAGTCTCCATTCTTCCTCTTTCATGGTTTCTGGCTTCTCCCCTGTGAGTGGTTGATGCATCTTCTTCTGATACAGATAATCCTCTATCTGCATCTTCCAGAAGCCAAAGTCTGTACCGTCGAACCTTTCGATTTTCATTTTTCCTTCGTCTGCAGCCATCACTCCAACTCTGATCTGACTTATCTGCTGGATCGTTTCTGACAATTTCTGTGAGCTACCGTGTTTCAGAACACGACTGCGGGCAAATTTGTAACGCCGACAAAATTTGCACTATTCACGTTTTCACTATTCACGGAATAGTAACTTACTATTCATATGAATAGTAACACCACAAAAATTACGGAACTAACAACCAGCTTACGATACCAGCTTGTTGGGAAAATATGCCTGAATCTTCCCATATGGTCAGATCTGTGAAAGTGAAATAAAAGCGGAATAATTGCACACACAAGTTGATAACGGAGTTCGGCCAATAATGCCTACGTCTCCGGACTACTACGGATCTCTTTCGGGAGAAAAGAAAATACACAAGTGTTTACAAAACACTCTCAAAGCACTCACAACTCACAACCCAATTACACCCAGAAGCTAAACTAAAACTCTCTTGTTTTTCTGCCCCTCACTGGTGCCACTCTTTCTTCTCTAAGAGAAGTAGTATTTTGTGTGGGATGGGATGCTCTTGCTTGTAGGAAGAAGACCAATTTATAGCAAAAAATTGGCACTATGCATTACATTAAAATATGTCCCATGAGCACCTCATGGTTACATAAAAAATTTGGCAGCCACCCTTGCCCACTTTCTTTGACCAATTGCAGCCACCCTTGCCCACTTTCTTTGACCAACAATTACGAGATAATCAAAGCTGTAGTAAGAAAAGAAAAAAGAAGAAGAAGAGAGAATCAATCAAGTGTTTGTAATATTCCACATATCATTACCCGATTACTGTTATTTATTTATACATCTCTCATAGTGCACAGACAGCATCTCTGAATTTGATATAATACATCTAACTTTTTTTGGTTTACTAATCTCAGTTAAGAAACCTGTCCAAGAACTCAAAATGGGATTATTATTATTAGGTGAGAGAACTACAGGATGACATGGCCAGCCATGTGTGGTTAAAGCCTGGTTTACAATATACAAAAGAAAGACTAGTGCTGTTCTGCTGCACAAAAGAAGACAAAATAAAAATGGAGAATACAAGAAGAGGTTAGCTAGAACTACAAGACTCTCTATACTAAACCGCTTCACAGAGCTAGTTCTCATAGCTTAGAGAAAACTAATTAGAACCTTATTTGATCATATGGGGTGCTTGAGTTTGCAACTTTGCATAAATATAGGTAGCTACCTACTCCAGATAAATATGGCTTTAGCCCCGAGAAGCAATTGGGCAAGCTTGTTTTGAACATTGAGTTTGATGACTTCTTCAGCACCACCTATGAATTTTTGTCCGATGAACACTGCAGGCACACTAGGGCGACAACCTAGCTGGACCAGTGCTCTCTCTACTTGTTGGCCACTTGCCATTTTGTCAACCTCAATAACTGCAGGGTTGGCACCAAAGCTGCTTATGAGAGCCTTCACTGTGTGGCTCATGCAGCAATTGCTCTTGCTGAAGATCACCACTGGCTTGTCTGCAGTCAATGTTGTCAACACATCCATTGCTGTGCTGTAAATGGACTTTGGTCTGAGGGGTTAATAGAGGGACTACTACTCAGTAACTATGTGAGTTTGGTTTGATTTGCTACTAGAACTTGAGATCAAGTGGTCTATTTATACATGGTTTATTCTAGGAGATGGAATTGGATAGTTTCACATAGAGAAGAATAAACATCTATCTGATAAGAATAATAAACATTAAAGTTGTCTGCGTCATCAATGGATTCCCAACACCTACTCTGTTAATGCAGCACAAATGAGTTGCATTTGAATTGATGAGATGGAATACCAAGATATTATGTCTGAAGTGAAATAATGTGTATGTAGACCATAATTGCATTATATACAAGTTTTAGTCAATTATTTCTTTTTAACTCTTTCAAAAGTACTTATAATTTTTTTTTTTCATTTAAATAAATTCTAAATCTTTAATTAACACAAGATCCACTTCCCTTTTTCTTTGTATAAAATACATGAGTATTATAATAGATTAAATATCCACTTTATCTCTCTTTTTGTTCTTTCTTTTTTAGCACATTATATAATAAATACATGTATTTCTTTATTTTCTCTCTATTTCCCTTTCTTAATGTTTATTGTATATACGTGTCCCCAAAACATATTATTCTCCAACAGATGATATATTGTTTTAAATAATGGGAAATATAGCTTTATTCTATTCTATTCCTTCTTACTCCATTGTGGTTCATCCAATTTCACTATCATTAGATATCTATGTGAGAGAAGAAATATAAAGGCCTAGTTTTATATTAGCTTTTGACTTATGGAAAATTATCAATTAACTATTATATAAATTCACAATAGAAGAGGTTAATCCAAAATGATTCTAACTCATTAGTTTTTATTTTTCATAAATATTTATTTAATTTGGACTAAAACCAATTTATATATCTTCACTTAATTTAAGCCTTTAAAATAGTTTCCCAAAAAGATATGGAATGCAGATATAAAATCAACGTTTTTTCATGTCACTTTATAATTATACGATATCTTAATTCTATCATGTGAAATCTATTATCTAAAAACTAAAATATTAAAAAAATTATATAGAATAATTTAATTTTATAAAATTGGTTTAAAACGTGATAATTAGATGTTTTTGGATTTTTTATTACAATGCTAAATATCGCGATATAAATATAACTTAATCTTATAAAATTAATTTATTGAGTGAAATTATAATTTGATTATTATACTTAGTCCGACCAAAATATTTAAGTTAAAGATAGTTGATGATAATAAGAATATTTTTTCTAATTATTAGATTATCGATATATTCAGTATTCTTCCAAGATATTAGGTATATTTTAAGAAAAAATAAAAACAATGATCAAATTTGGGTAATTATATTTGTATAATACCTTAAAAGATTTTGTTTTTCACTCGCTCTTGAGTTTTTTTTTTTCTCTAATTATATACTCATTTAATTAGTAACTTAAATATGGAGAGTTTTTATATGGTTTATCCTTCTCTTCAACACACATTAAAACAGATTAGAGAATACATTATATTTAGAAAACAACAATTATATTTTTATGAAAAGGGATATATAATGTCTAATATGTGAAGATTATATGTAAGAAGTAGAAGTGATAAAAAGAATAAGAGTATCTGGGAGTTATACTATGTATCCAACCCAAAATGTTGGCTATGTTAAGCGTGAGAGGCACCATGAGAGGCAACGTGATGTGCAGTTACCTTGATTTTTTAGAATATTAGTAGAACATTCAATTGCCACGATCGAAAATTATTCCACTAGTAGTATAAATTATCTCAAACTTTTTCCTTAGCCATGGAATTTAATTAATCACTAAGACAGTAAAAAGTTAACACAAGTATATATCATAATTTGACTAACCTCCTCTGCTTTTGACACGACGAAGGAGTTGAGTTTATCCAATCGACAAGTAGCAAAATGTTATGTTTTCACAAGATTCGCACTAAAAACCGAAAGCTGAGTTGAAACTTGATAGATTGTGAGATTAAAAAAAGGGTTTTGCTTATTTATTTTGGGGAGATGCTAATTTTAAAGTTGGCTTCTGAATAATTATAATAATAATAATAATATATAAAAATAGAATTTACCTTTTTCTGGGTCTAAATGTGGCTGTGGCTGGCCTTTGATTTCATGAAAATCTACATAATGGCCGTACAGGACTTGGAGAAAAGAAAACGCACCGAATTTTCCCTTTTTGCAATTTGTTTTGCTATAAGAGGGTGAAGGAATATACTAGCAAGATGTTCTGTAATCATATGCAGAAAAAGAAAATCTTTTAAATATTATTATTCAATTCAATTGTTGTAACATTTGGACAGGCTTATTATAATGTTTCCTAGGTTATAAGTTATCCTAAACCCTAAACCCTAAATAGTACTTTCTTGAGCATCTCTTTTTTACTGGGGTTATGAAGATCTTGTTTTACAAAGTCTAACAAAGAAAAGACCAGAATGTTTTACAAGTCACTCTGTCATAAAAGTGAGAAATGTAGCAAAGTTTGCTTAAATGAAGCAGTTTTGTACTTTTTGGTGATTACCCCATTGGAAAATAACGTTAAAAATGCAATGGGACATTCACATCACAACGTTGTTACGTGATTTAAACAGAGTAATATGTGGTCATCTACAGATGTCAGCAAATGTTGTCACTATTTCAGCAAAAAATGCAAACAGGGTTGGAAATATAGGAGATAAAAAAAGTGATGATTCCTTGGTTATTTGGTTGCAGAAAATAAAAAGATGTAAGATGGTGAATGTGATATCGGTTGAGCTATGCATCAATGAGGATCTTGCTTTGTTGGGGCATAATCATGGACAGATAAGATTAAAAATTAGAGTTTGGTATGTAGAGATTATTATTCGTAATCTTTTAGCAATAGAATTTTCCACGTGCCTGCATATAGTAGAAACAGCCCTTGGTTTGGTTTGTTCTTGTTTCGAATTGTGTAGCGTCAAGTTTGCATGCTGCATGGTTTTGAATAAACGGCTCCAGCGTAAATGAAAGGGTCACTTGGTTCGTTTGAAGTTCTGTGAGTAGTTATCTGCATCTGAAATCTGAACAGAAGGAAAAAAAGTGCACACGAGTGTCAAATCATAGGATTTATCTCTTCTCTTGAATAGCATATTGCCCATGCTTCTGCATAGTGTTTGTGGCAGAAACAAAAACAAAAGTTCTGAATCATGGATTATCTGAATACAGAGAGGTGCTTGCTTGTTCTGGTAGATCAGAGAGAACTGTTTGATGATTCAGTGAGATTAAAGAAAAGAGATATGGTAGAATATCTGGAATTAATTAATCACTCTACATATTTCAAGCATAGTTAAAACACAAGAATGACAGGAACAAACTTGTTAATTAGTGTCATCACTTATTGAATCAATGTTTAAATTCTTGTGAAGTGTTTATTTCTATGTTTTTTATTTTTTGTTGACGTTTTTCTTTTCTTGTTTTTTACATTGTTCCCTGTCTAGTCCACATTAATTTTAGTTTTTTCCAAAAACCTTAAGAAAAGAACATAAATATATGTTTTCAAAATGTTTTTGTGAAATCAAAACTACTGCATACAAGTTGTATTTATTATGCAGATTCTTGTGAAATCAAAATGTTTTTGTGAAATCAAAACTACTGCATACAAGTTTAGAATAAGTTTAATGCCTTGATTCTTAAGGTGGGACCCAAAGTCCCTCAAAGGTAATATTCTCTAATCCAGAACAATATCTTAATTAAGTTTCCTTATATTTAGATATTTATATTTACGATTTATTAATTCAAGCTTCTTTTTTTATCATTTCTTTTGAGTTATAACATGTAACTACTCTTTAAATTAATTACATGTAAAATTTTCTAAATTATCTTTTTCACTGCTGTAAGCATTTTACTGGTAATATTTAATTAAGTAGATAATAGTTTAGTTGTATTTTGAACATATTTGTGTTTTTAATGGCATGGATTCATGATTTTTTTTGAGTACGTAAAACCACAGTCTGTCATTCCTCAAGAACCAAAGCATGAAAAATAGTGTGGTTATGCAGAAAAAAGTAACAAAAACATGTTATTCACTTTGCACCATTCATATTTCATATTTTGAAAAGAAAAGAAATGGGAACAAGTAAACGTTTAGGCCTCATGGTATGTATATTGTAGTACACCAACGTAGCAGGACTACAAAATCATCTTATTCAGCTCTAAAACGTAACCATTAGGTCTTGGATGTAGAAACCATGCACTTTGGTCTCATCAAATCAAATCAAATCCATATAGCCCCAGCATTCTTGAGAAGTGGTACCAATTCATTCCTGACATGCAGGCTCATGATTTTCTTAGAGCCACCAATGAATCGTTGTCCTATGAACACAGCAGGAACACTTGGTTGGCACCCCATCTGAAGCAATGCACTTTCAATCTCCTGGCCATTGGCCATCTCATCCAGCTCATGAATAGTAGGGTTTGCTCCAAAGCTACGTATCAGTGATGTCATGGAGTGGCTCAAGCAACATGTGCTCTTGCTGAATATCACCACAGGCTTTTCAGCTACCATGCTTGTGATCATGTCCATGCTTCAAACAGATAAAACTGAAACACAAGACAATGCAATGTATAGAAAAGAGAGGAAAAAGAAAGCATATATCAGAAGAACTAATCGTGAGTATGGGTTGGATATGTGGAAATGTGGTTCATTGAAGGGTTATTTATAAGCTAAATGAATGTGGTGGTGGGCAATGCTGTTTTGTCGCCTCATGTTGAAAGAATAAGATCGCAGAAGAGAATTCGGAGGATTCTCGATAACTGTCCTTTAGCACTGTACTGTGTGTTGTAGATAACAAGTTGGCTAGCTAGCTGTTAAGGTCAATCTAATGAATCCAGAACTTTCTTCAAGAATAAGATTCATGCTCTATCGTGCATGAGGCATATTTTTTTCTTTTCTAGTTTTGTCAAATTAGTTCAATATTTATTATGCAACATGCATGGGAGATCATGTCACCATAATACAGTATTCATAGCAAAACTGAACCTATGAACAAAACTCAGTTTAATCTTGTTTTATGTCGGTTTATTTTGGAGCATCTGCTATAAGCCTATAAGGATGAAAGAAGTGGGGCTAAACAATTTTAGCAACTTTTTTCATTAAAAGATTCGTGGCCCTTTCAATTCAGAAAATTTGAAAGGATAGAAGTGATTAGGAATACAATTAAATGGTTAAAAGCGCAAGATGCGAAACCCCTGTTAAGGAGAAAATCAGCATCCTACGTAGTGGCCATTCACGACCGTACAAGATATTTATGTCGGTGACATACATATGTAACCTTGCACTACACAAATCATACATCCTTAGTAGTTATATTATATCCCATTCAAATTATAGAGCTAGTGTTAGAATTAAATATGCAGAAAAGGCACTGAAATTTGTGTTTGAACAAAAACATATGGTCTTAATTTAGATAATTTCCTGGAATGTGACCATGGATTCTGCAGTTGGCAATCGTGTTTATGACTCAGGAACAAGAAATGCATCAGTGAAGTATGCTTTTGTGGATTAACATAAAATATACACGTTTAGGTAATGACCAACATGCATCATCAACAATCGTACGTTACCTAAACTGTTTGTTAGATGAATTTCTGGCGCGAGTTTCAATATGTTATCATACATACGAAAAAGGTCTCTTGATTGGTTCTTAAAAAATCGATTTTCTGAGTAGTTTATTGGCATGATACTTGAGTATAAGGTTATCCCTGACTTAAGAAGTGGCACTTAGACCAAAATCTTGGTTCTTAAAATGGGAGGATTAATAAACACAGACTACGAACTAATGAAAGCAAACAGTATAAGATATATCAAGAAATTATATTCTGTTGGTTCTTTAATTTACTAATTATGAAACCAGAAAATGTTTTCTTCATGAATCATGTATATATGTTTCTAGACATAATTTTTGATTGGTTCATAGATGGGTTATTCCCGCAGCTAAAACCTGACACCTCTATTCCAATATATCCTTACCACCTGAAAACCATATTGTAATGTGTCTAAATCGGATGGTTTGATAAGACGAATATATGGACAAAGTGGTTGAGAAAGAGACAAAGATATAAAAGGAATAAGAATATATAATAGTTGTGGAGGAGAGTGATAAGGACACTGTTAATTAATGAATACGAAGACGGTTTTCAGCATACACAAGAGTCATGGATTCCAGATTAAGGAACTTGGATATTATCTCTCGCTGCTTCATCCTACCACCATGTGTATGCTTCAACTTTAACCCTTTCATAGATGCCAAGAGCTTATATTCTTTTGTTAAATGTTTCAACATATTATAAATATGGTCATTAATTCTATATGGCAATCTATGATCGGTAAAATCAAAATTTGCATTGATAACAACGGTACAATGTGCATGTCAACTTCATAGGATTCTGCAAGTGGAGTCTTTATCTGAGTACAATCTGTTTTATTTTTCTTTCACGTGCTAAACTTTGGGCTAGATAATATTTTAACTACTGCTCGAAAGAATTGTTTCTTACACACACATGCTTCCTTTTAGTGTTGACACATCAATATTTTTTTAAACTCTTTTGCCACTTCAGCGTTTTTACTCCTTTCAACAGTTCTAATCATACAGAGAAGGGAATTTCCTTGCAAAAACATGTAATTTGGTTAGTTTTTTCAAATTAATGAGTATTAATTAACAGTTAATTCACAGCATTTATTAATTATTTGCGCTCACAATAATGTCCAATTCATTCAGTAGTTCCAAAATCTTCATGTTAACTTTTTATCTCAAAAACATTACCAAAGCTTCCAGGGGAAAGAAAAGCCAAACAGTATTAAAAATTATTGATTTACAATTTTGACTCCGTTCAATACACAAATATGTTGTTACCTGGTCAATCGGTTAATCAAGACAAAGAAAGATATCATAACATAATAATATGCAATATGCAATGTTTTTAACACACCGTTGTTGAATAAAATCTGTGACACTCCATAAACAGGAAACATTACCTGCATTATTCAACAAGACTTAAATTTCAAACCCTCGATGAAGATGATGTTAAAAGAAAAACATGTTTCTAAATTTCTTTCATTATTACTTATTATTACTAGCTCCGTTCCTAGGTGACTTCATTCAGCACACAAAAGTGCCAGTTCAGACAAGTTCACCACGTTATTAAAAAATTCCTATCGTTTGAAAATATTACTAAAACGTTTTGTTATTAATTTCCCTTGTGTATAAATCACACATAGGATAATCTATTTATAATAGAGCGGTACAACTAAAAGAGTAACCGAAGATATTGTTTGATATTGTGGTTAACAATATCTAACAATATCTTAACAATATCAAACTATATCTAAACAATATCTAAATAATATCTAACACTCCCCCTCAAGCTGAAGCATACAAATCGTACATGTCAAGCTTGTTACAAATATAATCAATTCTAGGTTCCTGTAAAGACTTAGTGAAAATATCTGCTAACTGGTAATTTGAGTTAACAAACTCAATCTTGATATCTCCAGACATAATCTTTTCTTGAATGAAATGACAGTCAATCTCAATGTGTTTAGTCCTCTCATGAAAGACAGTATTAGAACTAATATAAAGAGCAGCTTGATTGTCACACACAAGTGTCATTTGAGTGACATCTCTAAATTGTAACTCTCTAAGCAATTACTTGAACCAAACAAGTTCACAGGCAGCTGAGGTCATAGCTCTATATTCTGCTTCTGCACTGGATCCTGCCACAACATTTTGTTTCTTACTTTTCCATGAGATCAAGTTACCACCAATAGAGACACAATATCCAGATGTAGATCTTCTATCTGAAGGAGATCCTGCCCAATCAGCATCTGAGTAGCAAACAACTCTTGAATGGTTATTAGAACCATATAACAATCATTTTCCAGGAAATCCTTTAATATACTTCAAGATACGAATGACTGCATTCGAATGATTTTCACATGGTGAATTAAGAAATTGACTTACCACACTGACTGCAAAGGAAATGTTAGGACGAGTAACTGTAAATTCAATTTTCCAATCAATCTTCTATACTGCTCAGGATCAGATATAGGCTCCCCCTGATTTGGTAGAAGTTTAGTATTGGGATCCATGGGTGTATCAACAGACTTTGAACTCATCAACCTAGTTTCCTCCAAAATATCTATGGCATACTTCCTCTGATATATAACAATATCATCATTGGACTGTGCCACCTCAATACCCAAGAAATATCTAAGTTTGCCAAGATCTTTGGTCTGAAAATGGTGACAGAGATGTTGTTTCAACTGAGAGATGTCATGGTCGTCACTACATGTAAGAACGATGTCATCAACATATACTATCAAGTAAACACATTCAGCACTCGAGTATCAATAAAAGACAGAATGATCTGCTTCACATCGAGTCATACCAAATTGTTGAACAATCTTGCTAAACTTTCCAAACCAAGCCCTAGGAAACTGTTTTAGGCCATATAGGGATTTGCGAAGACGACATACCATCCCAGAAGACTCCCCCTGAGCAACAAACTCAGGAGGTTGCTCCATATATATTTCTTCTTGTAAATCACCATTGAGAAAAGCATTTTTAACATCCAGTTGATAAAGAGGTCATTGTTGAAGAGTGGTCATGGTGATAAATAAACGAACAAAAGTCATCTTTGCCACAGGGGAAAAGGTATCTCCATAATCCAACCCAAAAATTTGAGTATAACTTTTGGCCACAAGACGAGCTTTGATGCGATAAATAGTACCATCAGGTCCAACTTTGATAGCAAACACCCACCTGCAACCAACAACAGATTTCCCAAACGGTAACGAGACCAATTCTCAAGTTCCACTATTATGAAGAACACTTAGTTCATCTAACATGACCTAACGCCAACTAGGATGGGCTAAAGCTTCACGGACAGTTTTTGGAATAGTCACAGAAGAAATAAAGGAAAGACATGTATAAAAAGGTAATGACAGTCGATGATAACTCAAAGCAATATAATGGGGAGAGGGATTACGTGTAGAACGAATACCTTTTCGGAGGGCAATGGGAAGGTCAGACTCATGTGTCAGATCCGGAGGAGACAGAATAGTTGGCACTTGAGTGGAGTCACATGGTGGTGGTTGTGATTGGTTTCAACAACTATAAATCTGAAGAGGCAGTGGAGAAGAAGCTGACTGCGAAGCAGGAACTAATGGTGAAGAATACACAATTAGAGGGTCACAAACAACAGGAACATTAAATGAACTAGGAGTGTTGACAAGATTGGATGGAGACAAAGGTGAAGATTGACTTTTAAAATAAAGAGACAACTCATCAAAGGTGACATCTGCAGACACAAAATAACGGTTAAGAGAAGGAGAAAAACATTTGTATCCTTTTTGTGATCTTGTAAACCCTAAGAAAACACATTTATATGATCTAGGAGAAAGTTTGTCAAGACCAGAACTGAAATTATGAACAAAACATGTTGATCCAAAAACTCTCAGAGGTAAAGGATGAAGTGGTTCATGAGGGAATAAAATGAAATGAGGTATTTTATTATCTAAAACTGAAGAAGACATGCGATTAATGAGATAACATGCAGTAAGAAAAACATCACCCCAAAAATGTTGATGAACATCTCCATGAATTAAAAATGTGCGAGTTGTTTCAATAAATTGTATATTTTTACGTTCAGCTACACCATTTTGTTAAGGTGTATAAGCACAAGAAGTTTGATGCAAAATACCGTGAGAAGCCATGAATTGTTTAAAAGAATGAGAAAGATATTCACGGTCATTATCACTACGCAAAACTCTAATAAAAACACCGAACTGAGTTCAAATTTTATTAAAAAAAGTTTGAAAGATATGAAATAATTCAGAACGATTTTTCATCAGAAATAACCAAGTGCATCTGGAATAATCATCAATGAAAGTAACAAAATATTGAAAACCTAAAGTAGACTTAACGCGACTAGGTCCCCAAATGTCAGAGTGAACCACGGCAAAAGGGGACGAAGCACCACGTGTGAAACTACGAGGAAAGAAAGTACGACTATGCTTGCCTAATTGACATGACTCACACGCCAAACTAGATAAGTTGGACAAGGCAGAGACAAGTTTCTGTAACTTGGCAAGACTTGGATGACCTAACTGAACATGAAGAAGAGAGAGAGACTCCATAACTGTATTAATATGTGTAGAGGGACGAAGATAATAAAGACCATGAGACTCACATCCTGTGTCAATCACCTGTTTCGAACTCCGATCCTGTAAACACACAGAATTGTTGGTAAAAGTAACAACACAATTAAGAGAATGAGTTAGACGACTGATGGACAACATGTTAAAAGGAGACTCAGGGACATAAAGAACATTATCAATGGTTAAAGAAGGAAAAAGTTTAACCGTTCCAACACCATGAGATGATACTCTAGAGTCATCAGCCAGTGTAACAAAAGGTAAATGATCAGGAGAGGATAAAGAGGAGAACAAATATTTGTTACCAGTAATATGATCAGTGACTCCTGAATCAAAAACCCAAGGACCAGGAGAAAATGATTGGGTCAGACCAGCAAAATATGTATTTGTATGTGTGACAGATATAGTGGAACTAGAAGACTGTTGATCCTTATACCATTCGAGAAATTTGTTGAACATAGCAGGCATGTCAGATGCAATAGAAGAAGGAAGATCCCCAGCAGATAAAGGTGAGGAAAGATTTATCTGAACAATTGCAGCAGATCGAGGAGGACGACCATGTAATATATAACACTTGTTAATCTTGTGACCTAGCTTGCCACAATGTTCACACTTAGGATGCCCTTTTCCTTATTTGCGAGGGCGAGTCCAGTCATCACGATGAGATGTCAATACAAAAGAATCATTAACAAAATTGAAAATAGTAGAAGTGGAAGAAGTCATAAAGAGCGGGAGAACAAATACTAAAACAATCCAAAGTAATCCAATTAACCCACGAAGCTCAAATCCAAAATGAGAATACTAAAAATAAGTTCGTCAAGACTAAATGGCGCAGGAGACAACGGTACGACCAACTCCAATAGTGGTGATCTCAACGGCACGGTGGTCACCTGACCAAGACAAGCAAAAAATGAAACTTCGGCAAATTCTCCTGCAACGGCAAATCTGGTGACTGCTCAAGCGGCAACGGTGACATCAACGTGAACCAATACACCAGGTAAGTTCCCAGGAAAGAGAGGTGGGTCACTAATGGACACACTTAATATATCAAGTCTTTCCTTGCCAGAACTTTCCTAGACATGCACTTTCACACTACCAAATAAAATTCAGTAACAAAGATAATTCATTTCTGATGTGGAGGATCAATTTACCAACAGCGATGGGACGGCTCTAGCAGCGGTGGAGCGCGGCTCTAGCAGTGGACAAAAGACGAAAGCGACTTTAGCAGTGGACAAAAGACGAAAAAAAAAATTTTAAGATAACCTTAAGTTCTAGATACCATGTTAAATATAGATGAAATAGGGTTTGAAATTAATCTACCTTGTGTATAAATCACACATAGAGTAATCTATTTATAATAAAGAGGTACAACTAAAAAAGTAATGAAAGTAAACAGAATAAACAGAAGATGTTGTTTGATATTGTGCTTAACAATATCAAACTATATCTAAACAATATCTAACACGCTGAAAATTAAGTAAATGCCACAAAAGAGCATGTCACATGATCATCAACTTGATCATCCAGAAAATATGAATTACAGTTGAGAAATGTACAGTTATAGCCATTTCAAAATCACAACTAGGGTTTTAAGAGATCTAAAGCCAAATGCCTGGCTGTAAAGAAAAATGATACAAGGCAACATGATAACCAAGCATCCTATGAGATTGTATTATATGCCCCATTTGATCATGTTGGGACCACTGAATTATAATGCTCTCCTAGCCCAAAAGCATGCTTATGATAAGAAAGCATGATACTCGAATTAGACAAGCCAGTGCCACCATCAGATTTATACTCTTTGCCCATCTCCACATCTGGGAAGGATCCTGAAAATATCATAATATGCTTCTTCAAGCAGTGAGTCAAGGCACCAAGCTCCAGTTGTCCGCCCCATATAGCTGTGGACTCCACTTCTTTACAATAATTTTCAAACTTCTGAGCAAGTGATTCATCAGAATCATCCTCAATTAAATTCTCTGACAGGAAAAATGGAAGGAAATCAGATGTATGCTTTCTCATGTAGGCAGCCACCATTTCTCGAAGTTCTTGGAATGTATAAGGAGATCTACCACCAGAAAGGACGGCCAGCTGATCCTCAACAGCTCTATAGAGGCAGTGCCCATCAGGCTTTATTTCACAAACAGTCAAACCTAGAGGCTTCAACTTCCTTTCCAATTTCTCGTTTTCAATCATTCGATCACTTACAATGTCGCTCTGCTCTGCTTGGATTCTCTGCTCCCTTTCTGCTTCTTGTTGAGCTCTTTTGTCTCGCCTCTGTTTGGCCTTGCTGACCTTCGTATGTTCAGGTTGACTAGCAACAGATACTCCAGCTATGGCCTTAACCAAAGTGTCCAAATTGCTCTTTTCATTTCCATTACCACTGCTATAGCCTAATGCAGCCAATTCCTTGGCATGCTTCTCCTTGAGCTCAGTAGAAATTTGAGAAACCTCTTCCTCCACTTGCTTCTTCTTAGCTTTCTGCTCAGCCTTGCTACCTCTAGCTGCAGCCTTTTTCATCTCAACTTCCTTTTTCTGCAGCTGCGAAATCTCTTTCCTGAAAATATACAAGTAATTAGGGAAGAATACACATTGCATGAGAACCAAATGAACACAACATAAGTAACACACACCTTAACATTCAACTTGTTATATTGAAACATGAATCAGTAATAAATAGGAATTTCACGGAAAAATTATAAACCAAGTATCTGGAAAACAAAGCACCTTTAAGGTATGTTATTCACTATCACGTAGCTGCTGCCAACAATGCAAAACAAATGTAGCTAGTACTAGTGATTCAAACAGTTTATTCAAACTGAGTATGGCCATGCTGGTAAGTAAGTTTCAATTTCAAGTATTTTCTCAACTAATAAGCCTTAAAACTCAATATCAAATTGTTTTCTTTGACATCTATATAAACACTACACTTTTTTTACTTTTGAATTAAGGATGGTGACATCGGTAGATGTTTCAAAAAGTTGTGTCTACATTGGCTCAGAACAGAGACAAAATAACGCAGTAAACCCCAAAATCAAAGAAAGACACCTTAAATGTTGTTACAAGTTGATTCGTGATTTTGACTACCATACCATGATAAAAGTCTTTTATTTTGTGAAGAAAAACAGAAATAAAAGGGAATGACTAAGTAATCCAGATTCCAATCCATCTGTGTTGAGCCATAAAGCACAGATACTTCAATTTTCTTCACAAATCCGTATATGATACGTATCGTGTCAGATACTTGACCGATACTTCACTGATACGTATCAATGAAGAATCCAAACCTTTAAATCATTTAAATTCAATAAAAATTTAAGAAACATATATGTATCTATAAAATAGAAACATATAAATATTAATTTTCATAAATCAAAGAAAAAATTTGTTCTTATGAAATATTTGAAATTAATGAGAATCATAGTCTTATTCCTATATGTAAATAACAGAAAATATTTTATAATGATAATTATTTATATTTTTTATGTCTAGTTATTATGTTTCATGAATTTTCTTATATTTTTAAATGCGTATCTTATACATATTGTATCCTACTTTTTTTAATTAACGTTTTTTAATTAATGTATCATCGTATAGGATATGAATCTTATCTAATTCTCGTATGGTATCCATGCATCATAGGTGTTGAGGTTAGAGTCAGTATGTATGAGTAAGAGAGTATCTACGAAAGACTAAAATACATTCACAAAAAGAAAAGGCGAGAGATGATGGTGTTAATCTTATGAAGAGTGAATTACCTGTGCCGTGAAAGAATTTCATCACGAGTTTCTGGCTTCTTCTCAGATGTTTTGTCTGAAATCACTTCATGAGCCTGCTCCTCAATTTCTTGGGCGTCCTCCATTGGAGAAACCCTAAAATAAAAATAAAAAATCAGGACATTTTACAGTGATAAGAAATCATAACCATGCCAATAATTGTAGGTAGGAATAAAATAACAAGCATATGATGGCACCAATGAGATCTCCGAAACCCTAATGCATTATTAAAATCTAACTATCCAATATCTAACTTGGGTAAACATGGTTAACAAGACATGGATCTTTCAGTACAAGTAATTAAGCCATAACAACAATTTCCCAAATCTAAAAAACAAATCTCATTAACTAACAACTCGAAGTAGATATCAGTTGATTAGTTAATCTAGTAAAACATGCATTGCTATCACAACCTTAAATGTGTTTACACATCAAATGTCAACACAAAATTGTTCATTCACCAAAAGAATTCCGATTTTCAAGAATGCAAACTTCGTAACAAGAAAGGGTACGGGAGTTGTCTTTGGAAAACAGATATTAAACCCAAAAAAAAAAAAAAAATTGTGAACACACAATCAGGGTTTACAACTACGAATAACGAGGCCACACTTCCGGAAATCCGCCCTCAACAAAAGTTATTTTATAATTCCTGGATTGAAGCAGAACTACATCCGATTAATGAATCGGAATCAATATCAAAGACCAATTTTAACAGTACCCAAAAAAAAACGAAAAAAATAAATCTCACATTCAAGGCTACTATAACTAAAAAATCCCAATTAAACCCAATTGCTTCTAAAGAGAGAGGGACATGAAAATACCAAAATCCTCAAAGTTGAAATTAAAATCCAATCACAAAGTTATTCTAAACATCCAGACTGAGAAAAATATTAGAACAAATTCCGAAAAAAGGGTAGTTCAAGGCAGCTTTGGTAAACGTTTAGGGGGTACTGTGCGAATTTGCTAACTGATACGATAAATGATGAGTGACATGGGTTAAGAACAGTAATGATATTAATAGTTAATAATTAATAATTAATAATAACAATTATGACGATAAAAGAAAAGTTACTGAGTGCAGAAGTGGAAGAGCAATAGGTGGGAAGAGAAGATGCTTACCTAGCTAGCGCCTATGGCGGAGACCACGATGCTCGTGTCTCAAATGACAAACACAACACAAACCAGAAGCGAGGATCGTGGGCTTGGTCCATTTTGCCTCGTTTGGACGTTTTACGTTTACCATGGCCCATCATCATTAACTTTAGAAAAAGAATAAAATGCTATGTTTTTTATTTTGCAATTATCATACTTGCTTCTTTTTTTTAAATATTACTTTTTTATTTTATTTACTATTTTTTTCTCAATTTTTGTTGTTTTTTCTTGAGTTTCACTGGTTACTGTTATTTGAGTTTCTGTTTATTTTATTTTTATTTCTTCTACTTAATTTATATTTTTTACAGAAAATATTTCGAATGAATTTAATTTAAAAAATATTTTTATTCATTATCTTTAACAATTTTTCTATAACATATTAAAATGGATGATGATCAGATAGAAGAAACACATTTAACTAGTTGAAGAAATGTTAAACGAGATAATAAAAAATCTATTTAAAAAGAATAAAGACTAATGTTTTAAATTTTACATTATAATAATAATTTGTAGTATATATAAAAGTAGATGTAATAAAAGAGTATCACGAGAATAAACTATATATTTTAAATGGAAGAAAAAGTTTCACAACTGCAATTTCATGGAATTGATTACAGTTTTTTTTTATGGATATTCGCTGCACTTAATGAGAATTTAGCATTCCTGAATATTATTAACTTTAATTTAAAAAATAAAAATAAAATAAAAAACACATTGATGCAAAGATTTTGCAAAACACACCAAAGAAAGACGAAGTTATTAAATGTTTAATGACAGACACAATAAGTTAAACTAGTAAAAGTGATAAATTCATAAATATGCTTTATACTTCAATTACAACTTTACATAAATAATTTCAACTTAATGTTTTATAATACCATATTCTTTATTAGTTGAGAGAAAAAATTATTGGAAATGAGCTTGTCAAATACACAGTTAATTATTAAATTAGTTTAAAATAAATTGTGATCCATCAACTAAAAGTTAAGAATATATGCTCTTTTGTTTGTTAATTTTTTTATACAATTTTTTCACTATAGTGGAGGCTTATCCCTCCTCAAGATACAGCCACCCCATTTGGGTTTGTCCTCATAACCAAAAAAAGTATAATGAATAACATTTTAGATGTAATGATTAACCCTATAAATTTTATTTTAATGAATTGGAGACGGAAACAATTACATCTTGTAAAATTTTAAAAGTACCAAATGTGAGTATAATTTAGCTTAAAAAATCTTGGTCAATAGTACATGAAACAGAATAATTTAATGTTTGCATAATCAAATTCTTGAAACAGTTAAAGAATATTGGATAACCGATTTGGTCGGTTTTATATTATAGTTACCTAACTACCCAGCATAAGATATCTAAATTCAGTGCAATCCATAACCCACTCCAATCTTAGCCATGAACAATTTGCAGCCTACCATCAAATTATGCCTTATCCTTCTACCAAATTCTTACTTTCAAGTTGACATTCTCTCCATTCTTCACTACTTGATACTCAAATTTGATGGGCAAGAATCTAAAATTCTTTGGATTTGCTATCATGGATATGTATACTAGCATTCTCCCAAAGTTAACATGATTTCTCTAAGCCACGTAATTTACACCAAGGGAAATCTAATCATATTGATGAAATCCAAATATCAACATATTTCCACAGTGTATATATGAAGAATCCCTTCCCATGCTCAAGGGCCAAATACATATAAGATTCCACTGTGTGTGCATTGCATGATTCTGATGCCAAGGACCTAAGTGAAAAAGTGGAAGCCAATTGGATAAACTCTTATCTTTCCACACACAGCTTCAATCTAACAGAATACAGAAACAGAACCATGTTGCAGAAGTTGGTAAGTCTGTAAGAGATATAATCAATACCATATCATAGAGTATTTGGTTAAATTAAATAACATAAAACTGAATAATTAACTTGACCATTTTACTTTTTCTTTGCTTGTTATTCCCTTTGAATGTTTTTATATATCTTGATAAATAAATACAGATGCACACAAATATATCATAGGGCAAGTTGTGACCTATGATTAACTTATTTTGATAGATAACCATGCAGATGACACTTGGATTTGGTTTCCTCTTCTGGGTTCTGACTTTTGCTATTACTAATTCTATTTGATTCCATTCATTTGATAGATTTTGTGACAACGCAGATAGGTTTTGTGCCATCTACCTCAGAGAAGTTTGTTCATATTTTAACATTAGAATAATGTGTTTGATGCTGAAGCCAGGGCGTAAAGAGTTTTTAGGCTTATAAACTATACATTGTTCTTATTCCTGCGTTGATTGCTCGTACGGTTAGCCACTCTAGATATTTGAATTATCGTTTACAGTTTGATGCTAAATGCAACTTGTTCATGGCACTGACAGTGTCACCATCGCCCAAATCATCAGGGGGCACGTCCCTTATCCAAACAAATATCTGAAGGAACTTTCTCTCTTTCTCTTTCCTATCTAATTTAACTATAATTAATTTGCTTCTATGCTTTTCTGGCTTATACAATTCAATCCACTATTCTCACCAACTACTATAAATAAGAGGTGATGAAATGTCAAGCTTCACCAGGACACAACAAAGCCTTTGCTACACTAGCTTAATAATCTATCTTTCGGTATCTTTTAGCTTCAAATATATTACTCTCCCTAGTTCTTATATTGGATTATTCATCCCCTTGTAATGGATAGAGTTAAGGACTTGGCATCAAAGAAGGCTGCTGTTATATTTACCAAGAGTTCATGTTGCATGTGTCACAGCATCAAGCAACTTTTCTATGAGCTTGGAGCAAGCCCAGCAGTTCATGAGCTTGACAATGACTCCTATGGGAGGGAAATGGAATGGGCTTTAAGGGGTATGGGTTGTAATCCTTCAGTTCCAGCAGTGTTCATAGGTGGAAAATTTGTGGGTTCATCCAAAGATGTCATATCCCTCCATGTTGATGGTTCTCTCAAACAATTGCTCATGGATGCAAAGGCCATCTGGTTTTAGCTACACCAAAGACTTCCTTATACTGAAGTAGTATACAAGGAATTCTGATTTACTCTTTGCAGACAGTGTTTAACAAGGGACACTCCTGCTTTTTCTTGAGTGTCCTCTTTAAATTGTACCCAAAAAAAAAGTCTGTAAAAAAAAAGTCTTTTTTTTGTTTTTTTTTTGCTGTTTTGTAAAAGGCTAACTCTGCCTACTAAGTAGCATGAAACTTGATCATGCAGGAGAAAGTGGCTATATATGGTTAATGCAAACTGTAAAGTTTCTGAGATTTACTCTCAATTTAAAAAGCCTTGGGAAAGAAAAGGGGTGTTTCAATGACACACTTCATCTAATTAGTCATCAATTTAATCTATGGTGGGCAAATTTGGTGTCAAATAATGAAGTCCACAGTATTATTTTTAATGAAAAACATAGTATTCCATCGAAGTCACATCCCTTTGGAGAAAAGAGGAATACGGAATACCCCCTCCTTCATGAAAGCCAGCTAAGCTATAATATAAACATATCATGGCTATTATTCCAAGTGTTTGATACGAAATAATTGTATACAGCAGGATATATGTCAGTGACAGTAATTGAGAAAAGGTAAGAGCAGACTCGGAGGAACATCAATAAGAAAAATAAATTGTATGATTTTTAGTTTTGTGGAAAAGAGAAGAGAAAGAGACCAAGAGAGAAACATGAAAAGAAGTTGTCAATATTATAGTAAATAACATGACTAACACTTTAATATTTAACAAAATGGAATAACATTGTGTGATTTAACCAACGTTAGTATTATTCCAAGTGTTAAGGCATAAGTTGGAGTTTATTCCTGACCGCTGAATTTGGGAACCAGGTGCGAGGGACAATAATCAAGTTGACACATGAGTTAGCAATATGTTTGGTTTGGCTGAAGAGATATTCAAACTTTGAAGCAAGGAACGTGCATGGCGATCCTTCCTAACCATGAGACAAAAAGGTACTGCAAGCACTTTTTGTGTCTCCTTTATTATTCCTCCCTATCCACAAAGCAAGATATATTAATTTTCCTGTATGATTTTCATGGGTGTGTAGACTATACGTACAAAAGCATCATAAATTTCTAAAATAATTTATCTGTAGGAGCACGACGTGACACTCAACATGCGCGATGACAAATTCTTTATGTCCTTATTTCTTAGTTATTGCATTTGGCTAACATATTCATCAAACCAAAACTGACGTGCCTCAGAGATGTGTTTTTGCTGGCAGCTACACTTGGATAAGAAATTGGATGGTTCAGTTGTGATGCATACGAGTCTTTTGTGGATTGAAGGGTTATTAATTCTTCTCAAAAGGGAACTATTTTTTGCTCTAACGTATTCCATTCGTGTGGGTGTGCTCATCTACACACGTGAGACACTATGTAGTGCTGCATCTACGTAGGGTCTTCTCAACTCCCAAAATTGAACTTCTGTAGTGTCAGAGAGAATCGCACACAAGTTAGTGGGTGCAACACAAAGAACCTTGCAGCCACTGAAAAAGCCATCTCAGTCTCTCATTCTTTCGGCATAAGGATTCAAAGCCGGTGATTGTGAGAATCTGAAATAAATTGACCACCCTTCAGTGTATTTCCTCTTTTATTTACAAGAGAGTAGCATTTTAACGTTCACAAACTCTACAATAGTTTAACAAATGGTTAATATGGAACACACGTACGTTTGACTTAGGCAAATTGCATTATTGCATCAACTTAGTCACAGGAAGATACTGTTTTCATTTGTTTATGTTGAAGAAAATCTTGGTACTTTACGATTTTGGTCTCATAGCTAGTCTACCAATTGAAGCATATACGTGTAATATGTCTTTCAACTTGCGCAACCGAATAAGATCATACACTAAGTTGGGTATCTAAAAAGCACAACCTCTTTTGAACGTGCATTGCTCTTGCTCAAACAAAGCGGTCCCTAAGCTGTCCCTATAAATAGTCTAGTATATCAGCTCATTTCAAATAACCTCAAGCTTCATATAATTTTCTATTCCCAAATCTCCTCCTTAGACTTCAAACCCAATATAGCCATTGGATCGAATTCAGTTTGGATTCGGTCTGATGGTTTGGGAGTTCTAATAAGTCTAAGGTAATCTAAAGACACCTCTTCAAAATTAGACTTTGTTTTTCTTTCCTGTGTTACATTTTTTTCTTTGTGTGTCAGGAACAGAATTCTGTACATATAAATTTAGAAGAACAGGTGCTTAATCAGTGTATCAGGATGGACAAGTTGATGAGGTTGGCCTCTGAAAAGGGTGTGGTGATTTTCACGAAGAGCTCATGTTGCCTCTGCTATGCAGTCAACATTCTGTTTCAAGAACTTGGCGTGAGTCCTGTGGTTCATGAGATTGATCATGAACCTGAAGGCAGAGAAATGGAGAAAGCTCTATTCAGGCTAGGCTGCACTGCTCCAGTCCCAGCTGTGTTCATCGGAGGGAAGCTAATGGGATCCACCAATGAAATCATGTCTCTCCACCTAAGTGGTTCACTCACTCAATTGCTGAAACCTTACCAGACTTAGTCTTGAAAAGAATCACAAAAGACAGTTCTTGATACCTGCTGGAAGAATAAGCTGGCTTGAATCAGTAGAGTAGTGAGCATAATATTGATATTCTACTATTTTATGTCTGAAGTGTTCCTAGCATTTGATTAACTATAATGTAATCACATAAATATGCTTAATGAAGCTTGATTTATATACTTGTACTACTGTCCTAGTTATCTTATTTTTGACAGTCTCTACTCTCCTCGACACGCTGTTTCCCAAAACAAGGCAATTTTTGGGTCAATTAAGGCATACCGTGAAAGTTTCTTCCTTAATGCATCTCAGAAAAGCCTTAACCACCTTCCTCTCCCCTGTCTTTGTCCCTCTTTCTCCAACTTGTTTCAAGCAACTACCAGTAATATTCAATAACCTTCAACTTCAAGTCATCCTTGTAAAATGAAAAGTATCTGCAGTCACATGCTTTGAATATGTGTGAGTGTCCATCCTTCCTTCTGCATCTTGGGAAGAAAATATTCTCTGAAAGATATGTAAGCTGCATGGTAATTGACCAAAAATCTAACAGCCAGAGAACCCATCATGGTTTTGCCTGTCTCAGTCTCCCCAACCATTATATAGGTCAAAATCAATCTTCCTGTCATGTTGTCCATCCTTCTCATGATACTTAACTTCATGTATCCTACAGTGGAATAATATATACAACCATAATGTCATCCAAATACAAATTATCAAATATAGAAAGTTTATTATCTTATATAATAACTACTTTATTTACACTAAAAATGACTTCTGATCTGTTAACCAAATAAAAACTTTTACCATGAGAGTGTATAACTGTTAAACTCGAGTAAAGAAACATTTGAAACTTTGGAAATTGTTATTGAGGGGAGAATAGAATATTGAGGCAACATATAGAAAAAGAAATATATATTGTGCTGGCATTAACTTTTCCATCCCTTGGCTTTGTCCACAAATTCAAAAGTTAACAGGGAAATTCTCGTCTCTTTCTGATCAAGTGCTATGGATTCTTCAACTTTATCCACGATAAAGAAAGGTATTGCATTCCTTACCTTTTTTTATCTTGTATTTATTTTTATTCCCTTCTTTTCCTCCCACAAACATGAGTCAATATCGAATTATGGAAAACCATACTCAACGCTTAGTTACCAAAACTTGAACCAAGGTAGTGTTGTGAAGTTAATCCTGCATTTATGCAAAAAAGTTCTTCCTTAGTGATATGGTTTAATTAGATATACACACGTAGCTTATTATCTTGTTGAGCAAATTCCAATTCCAAATATATTATCAAAGATATCTAATTCCTTGGTTGAATTGAAGGAGTAACACAAGTATAACGATTATTTTTTTCTTGAAATTTGAAATAATTTTAGTTTTAACTTTACTTTTCAAATTTAAAATGGTTTTTTTAATCTCTCAAATTAAAAAAAAAAAATTGATTTTGTTTCCTATACGGACTAAAATAAGATTTGAAGGTATAAGAGTTAAATTTTAGGACTGAAAATTTAGAGTTTAAAATTATTTTTAATCTCCCAAATATAATAATTAAACATATACTACAGATTGAAATTGTTGAAATCAAGGAGGAAAACATGGAAATGTTTGATTTCATATTTTAAACCCCAAGACTTATAACCTTAAACCATCTTTCACTAAATTATAACATTTAAAAATCATTTAGAAAATTAAGTTGAATAAATCATTAATTTTGTCTTTAAAGTTTTACCCTCTTCCTTGTTTTCTTCCCCAAGTACAGAAAAACTTACGTAGCCAGCCATTCATCTCTCAAATTTCTTCAATTTGGTCTCTGAACAAGTCAGCTTCATATTCAAGGTTTTTCCAGTAAATAATGCATCAATTTCATCGTTCTATTCCTAAGAAAACCGTTCTTTCCCAAATTTAACCTCTATTACCTCTGAGGATGAAGTAGAAGAGGGTGTGAAACTCTATGGACAAATTGGGAGTTTAATATAAGTTGAATTCAAATAATTTATTTAAGAAAAATGACACATATACTTGAATTATAGTTTAATTTGTTTTGGTCTATTTTAAAAGTTTTGGGCTTGAACTGCCTTTGACTATATTAAAATAATGAAGTGGAAAATTAATTAATATTGTTCAACTAATACATAAGAATATCATATGAGTGTGTTTTGGTCAGTATTAATAAATCTATTTTAAATTATATTTGATTCTACAAAGTTAATCTTAATTAAAAAAATCAAAATAAAACAACCAAAAATTTAATTGATTTTTTTTTATTTTATCTAAATTCCCGAATATTTAGAACTATAATAGTTAAACCGGTTGGTTTCATCTAATTTTTAAAATATTACTAAAAATCATCCATTGTAATAATTGTTATTGATGGATTACATTTTTACATTTAACTCTGTTTTTTAATTGTATGAGTTAATTCCAAATATGTCATTCAACTAATTGTTCTTCAATCATCATGTTTTAGTTGATTCCAATCAGCCACCCAAAAAAAATATTTTGAGTTTGTATTTTTCTTTATTATTTTATATTAACCTTCATAATTACTTCTCTTTTTAAGTACCACACCTTTATAATTTTTACAAATCATGATAGCCACAAGTCTCTACGTCACACCAAATACAAGAAAGAACTCAAGTTATGCAAAGTAAGGCACTTCATTAGTGTTTACGTGGCACAATAAAAGTGGTTTATAGCCAATTTATCCACAGATCTGGTCATACAAAATAAAAATAGATGAGTTTTCTCTCACTATTCCCTCTATAATCGTTAAGGGATGGTTAAATCTTCTCTGAAGTTGTGAAAAAAAAAAAAGAAAAAGAAAAAAAGTATTAAAAAAACAAAATAAAATGAACATATATCTCTTTTTGCAACAGTATCACCTATCACTCGTCATTCGTTGATAGTTTCTTGACAAGGTATTCTCAATTCCTTAAACTCTCTCTTGTTTTTTTCTTGGATTATAATTTAGAGAAACCTAACCTATATATACACATTTGATTCTCTGCTTTTCACTCATTCTAGGGTTTAATTATGTCAATTATCAAAGAATCACAGTATGTTGGCCCAAAATTTAGGAAATCAAACAATTATTTGTTTATCAATCACTCATGATTTTTATTTTTCAAGTTTGGCTTATCAATTTTGATGTGAATCATGTGTGGTTTATAGAAACTTGATCTCTATCTCTCTCTTTGGTCTTAAAACTCTCTTTATGGATGCAGAGACAATATCTACATTGTTGGGAGAATTAATAGGATCATATGAGGTGTTCACTTGGTTTTATTGATACTCCAGTTATCATATCAGATGTGCAATTTTTGCAAGCTTGTTATAACAAGGAAATTTTGATCAGAGTCAACAAGGAGGTTTTGATTTCATTTTGTGTTAATGTTTTTAGATTTGAATCTTTTGATCAGTGAGAACATAGTTAGAATTCTTCCACTTTTCCTTATCATTTTTAATATAGCTATTATTTTCTTTCTCTTCTCCCTCTTTTGTTTTTTCTTTTGAAGAATGTAGGTGATAAATAGGCATGGGCCAATTTCTATGATAATTAAATCAACTTGTGGGAGAATGGAGTTATGATCTTAATGTGAATGAAAATTCACTTGTAGGTGAAAAAGGGTGAGATTGAGTCATTTTATCCAAGGAAGAACAATTTTGCAATTTCTAAAGATAGACAAAGGTGGACATAGGCTATCATGGCTGAAGGAGAGCATCAAATTGAGCTTAAATTCCGCATATATGATGGAACTGATATAGCACACAGTACCTATTCATCATCTACAACAATTAGTACCCTTAAGCAAAAGCTAGTTGCTGAGTGGCCTCAAGGTTTGTCATGTTATAGGGTGTGTTTGTGTATGAGATTTTGTTAAGACCTTTCTACTGTTTTGGCTCACTAGATATATTTAGAAACAATTTGTTCATAAGAAACATCTGTGATCAAATTATTCCTCAAATATTTAACATAAAAATGATTGAAATTAGTGACTCTTTTAAGACAAATTTAATGCTATAAAATTGTAGATCAATGATTGATGATAAGTGTAATTTTGAAGGATAAAAACATAACTTCTTATCTTTTATTATCTATCTTGTTGATCATTTCTTACTTTATTTCTTGTTCTACAATTATTGTTAAATATTACATGTGAGTCTAGTACTTCAATCTCACGTTCAACTAGAATATAAAAATAACTTCTATCTCACACATGGTATGTATTTGTTATATGTATATTTTTTTTCTTTTATGCATTATGTTTGTCTTACTTTTCAGTGGAATATTTTTGGCTGCAGGTAAAACAATTACACCAAACTTAGTAAGTGACCTAAAACTTATATATGCTGGTAAAATTTTGGAAAACAGTAAAAGTCTTGCTGATTCCAAGATAACATTTAGTGACATCCCCGAGGATGTCGTTACTATGCATGTTGTAGTACAACCTCCTCCTGCCACTAAAAAGAAAACAGGTTTGTTAAATCTTTTGATCAACCCGTACTTAAGGATATAAGTTTCATGAATATATGAGTTTGTTTAATCTTTTCATTATGTTTGTGCTTAAACATGAGAGCATAAGTGTAAGTATTAAATTCGTATAAGGACATTTTTAAAGACTAAGATACGAGTGTGGGAAGATTTTTTTTATAAAAATCTAAAACCATAAATAATTAAATAATTAAAATTAAAAAATAAAATCTTTTTCGTAATATATTATATTTTAATAATATTCTATAAATATATTATAAGTTATAAGAAAATACAATAAAATGAAAGAGACATAAGATTTTACGAGTTATTACAATTTATGTCATTTAAAACTAAATCGATCAATTTATTAAAAAAATTGATGGTTTACCTATATTTTGTGTTTCTTGGTGAACATGAAAAACTCAAGGTACTATCACAAAATTTGAAAAAAAAAACTAAAATTATTAATTATACATAATATAAACTTAACAAGTTTTTAGATTGTATGCATATAGGATAAATACAACCATTTACAAACACTCATATATCATTATATTTTTCATAAACTTAACATTTAATCTTGTCATATTGTTTGTAGTTTATTTTAATTTTATTCTTAGTACTTAATATGATTTATATATTTATATCTCATTGTTTTAGTATAAATAAGTAAAAGATGTAAATACGAAGTATTTTTTATTATTTTTATTGAGACTGTGATTTTTTTTCTCTTAATCCATATAAATGCAACACTCGAATGTTTATTAATTACTTATAAATATAATATATTTTGTTAAACCATGTTTGAATATATATATATATATATATATATATATATATATATATTATTATTATTAGTTTTATATTTGCATTACTACATAGATGCATTTAGAAACTTATATTAAGTTGCTTTGATAATGTATTTATGTGTTTTTCCTATGATTAATTTGCAGAAAAGAAGAAAGAGGATAAACAAAAGACAAATTCATGCTCATGCACTATCCTTTAATTTAGAAAGCATATATTGTGGTTTACCTTGAAGAAAGAGTTAAATTTCCTATTTTTAAGACATTATTGACTTTATCAAATTGTTATTTTTGCTTCTTTTAATGTTCATATCATTTATATTCTTTGCATTCAAAGTGGAATCAAATATTAACATTGTAAAATTCTAACATCAACAACTATAATAAGAGTGTTGTAGGGCACAAAGCTTGAATATAAAAGGTAGGCCCACATTGGTTTGAAGTATATAATTTGGCCATTCCCCTCTATATATAAGTTAGTTGGATTCACATGGATTAACTAAACACTTATTGGTATTAAGTGTATCAAATCACTTTTTAATGACACAACTAAGTAAAAAATGTGACAATTGTACACTATTTTATGACCCTCATATGAGTTTAAATTGTACTTTAATATTTTTTTAAATAATTTAAAAATTCTGAAAAGACATCAAAACATGCCTACTTAACTTTTGCATAACTATTAAAAAGTTGATAAAGTTATTATAATAATATTGTCTAATTGAATTATAAAGTGAAATATTTTTACTCTATTAATACATTGATTTTTTTTCCTCCATATATTAACTTGATGTAATATATCAAAGGTGCTAATTCAATTACTAAACTTCTAAAATAAATAATTAATTAGATGAAGATAAATCAGGTAAAATTTAACTTTTATTATTTAGTAAATTATATGACTTTATATATAAAAAAAAAACAATTTTTTTCTCCATCTTTCCTTTTTTTTCTCTGTCTCAATTCTTCCACTTTTACTATCTTTGGTTACTACTTTTAATATTAGTTATATATAAAAAGAAATAATATTTTTACAATCATAAATATTAATAACATCTATTCAACAACTTAATTATTATTACAATAATATTATTTATAATTATAGATTAAAAATAAGAGATATCAAAATATTAATTATTGATATATATATATATATATATGAGAGAGAGAGAGAGAGAGATGGTTTTACTTATATAAAATAAAAGTTCAAAAAGAAAAAGTTATATAGAATAAGGTGGGAAATCCACTATGAAAATAAGGTTCCCATATATAAAAACATGACTTTTTGTAATGAGTGTAAGGCAAAGGACAAATCAGGAATAAGAGAAATAAAGAAAAAAATTATTCATTAAAAACATATTATAACTAATTATCAGAATTTTATTTTTCAGGCCAAATCTTTCTAAGAAAAAAAGAGTTAAATTTTAATTATTAAAAAAAGTTTTATTTTTAATTATTTTTAGTATATCCTATAGGGATTGAAGTACTGAGGTACCACTACTTTGACTTCGATTCGATAACAGTTATTAGTCCAAATCCAACTCCTAATCATAATATTATATTAAAACAATGATTGAAGTATATAAAATAAATAAGATCTGGTTTTAGAGGTTCATCACTGTAAAAATAAGAATCTGTGATGAACAATCACAAAGATCTTTTAGTTGGATTTTTATATGAACACTTTTTCTCAATTATGGCAGTATGTGCTAGAAGATTCAAAATAAATACAAATGGGTCCCACTCTATTTAATACAAATCAAACTATTGTATATTTCTTTATTAATAATTTAATATACTTCAACAATGAGTTTGATTGAGGAACCAACTTAATTAAATATTTAATGTTACATAAAAATTGGTGATAAAGTTAAAATATTTTATGTAAATTGTAAGTTACTTTCAAAAATTATTTTACAATACATCCACATGGAATATAAAAAAAAAAGGCCAAAATATCACAGAATTTCAATTCCATCCATGTCAAAAGGACAATTTTTTCTTTTTAGAAAAAAAAAAAATGAAAAAAGGGAGTGGCTTATCAAGTAGGTCTTGCTCCCCAAGAAAGCAGAAGATGAATATCCATCCATCCATTCAACCAACTATTCTCTTTTGTCAATTATTCCAACCCTCATTCCCAAATTCTTCCATAAACCCTCACTCACAGAACTCATCACCGTCGCAGCCATGACCGCTGAAGCGCCGACACCAGCGCGACCCTGCGATTACTGTGGCCACTCAACGGCGGTTCTCTACTGCAGAGCCGATTCAGCCAAACTCTGCTTCTCGTGCGACCGCGAGGTTCACTCCACCAACCAGCTCTTCTCGAAGCACACGCGTACGCTGCTCTGTGACGCGTGCGATGATTCCCCTGCCACCATACTCTGCTCCACTGACACCTCTGTTCTCTGTCAGAACTGCGACTGGGAGAAGCACAACCCCTCGCTCTCCAATTCCCTTCACCAACGGAGGCCCCTCGAAGGCTTCACCGGTTGCCCTTCCGTCTCCGAACTCTTATCCGTCATGGGGTTTGGAGATCTCAGCAAAAAATCGCTGCTTTCTTCGCCTCAGGGAAGTGCTGCTGATGGGTTCCTCGGGTGTGAGATGGAAGGGCTTTCTGATTTGTTCGTTTGGGATGCGCCTTCTCTTGTTACTCTTGATGATTTGATTTGTTCTTCCGCTGCTTCTCATAGCTTTCAGGCCATGGAGGTTCCTCCCCTGCCTAAGGTATATGTATGAATTATGAAGGCAGAATTGCTTTAAACAGGAAAAAAAAACTTGTTCTTAGAATTTGGGATTGGATATCGTGAAGTTCAGGACCGAAGATCTGCAGCTAGTTTCATAATTTCCTTGTAATGGGTGACTCAGTAAGTCCAATAATAGATTAGACTGCCATCTTAGAATTTCAGTTTAGAAGAATGAACCATGAATTTGAGTTTAGAGGACTGAATAGTTGGTGTTAGTCCAACATTGGGTGGTACGATGATCTCGACAACCATTATCAACCTATACTCTGATATCCTCTAAGAATTTGGATTTAACTCAACCATAAAAGTTACGTCACAATGTGAGATCTTTTGTTCCCTTGTTTGGATGCCGAGAAAATATAAAATACAGTGGAGAGCGGAAAATGATTTTTTTTTTTTCTAAGATGGTAGGATTTTTTGTTTTTCTTTTTAAGGCCTTGTTTTCTGAACTTGGGAATTGTGGGTGAAGAGTAAAAAAGGTTAATAATATTTTTTTTAATTTGGTTGTGGTTGTTTTATGGGAGATTCTTTGGATGTGAAAGTAGACATTGAAAATCTGTCTGTTGCTACAATTTTGACTTATTCGGGGTACTGTTATTAATTCAGAATCGGAAGGCTGCTTGTGGGCGACACAGAGAAGAGATTCTTAGTCAGCTTCGAGAATTGGCAAAGTCTGAACCATTGGATCTTGACCAATATGTGCAACCAGGAAACTTGTCCTCGGGATTTGAACCTGACGTGGAGTTTGATATCTTTCCTTCTCGCGAGGTAAAGCTTTTACTTCACTTGTTTTGTACTTGCGTTTTATTGTTGCAGCTGCTGATACCTGATGACGGGTTCATTGTTTTTCCAACCATGTAATGTTTCTCTGTATGTTTGGAAAAGGGATGGATTATTTTGTCTCTAGATCAGATTTGCCTTGTTTTAACATTTTTTTTTTTTTTTTATATTGACGTTATATATGTGAATCTTTGTGGAGACTGTATCTTAATTTGTTAAATAGGAGGGTTAACTGTAATTGTTCTTGTTCAAAGAGAAATTATTTTCATAAAATTTTTTAAATCTAATGGCACTGATTTGCAGGGGTGTTCGTAAGATTAACCTGGGTTAGTACGATATTGGCACTTATATTCCGTTTAGCACGAAAATACCGTTCATCCTATGAAAATAGTAGTTATACTGTGTAAGTCTAGATGAATTATTGCTGAAGGCGTTTCACTAGTGGATTCTCCAACTTCTTGTAAGATGTCTTGGAGTCATAGCCGGGAAACATACTGATGGCTTGATTCAGTCAAACATTTGACTGGGTCTGGTACGAAGATTTTGCTCTCAATAAAATGAGAATAATAGTGAAATATGACTTTTCCTATAGTTAGGTTGCATGTGAGGTAATTATGGGATCATACTCTGAAAACACTTTGATTTGACTTTTGACTAGAAAAAAATTTCACATCATACAATTTCACTTATTTTGAAATCGAGATCTTTTGCCCCCAGAGAAACTTATTTAACGACATTCTTATAATTTTGAATCCCAATTTTCTCTGTTAAGATAAATCTTTTGCAGAACCAATCACCAGTAACATCTATCTTGCTTAGTTATTTCCCGTGGCTGGGCTTGGTCTGTTGTCTTTTGGACAGGCTTGGTCTCTTTTAATGGTAGAGAACTATTCAATGATGCCTTCTTCACGTATGATGTATGACATACCTCATGAAATTATTTAATAAAAAAATCATTGTGGTGCCATATTGACTGTGTATTTCAGTGGCATAGAGAAAGCAGTGAGCCTATGTATCAAGTTGTTCCTCCTGACCCATCATTGAGAACTTATACTGAAGAAATTTCAGTTAAACAATCTACTTCTGCTGTTGGGGAAACTCAGACCTATGTTGACAATGGAGGGAAACCATCCATTTCTATCAAGTCTGAAACCCAACTAACTACTCCCAAAGCTGCTGCATGTGAGTTAACCAGTCAAGAAAGAGATTCTGCGTTGTTACGGTATAAACAGAAGAAGAAAACAAGAAGGTATTATTACTATTGCAGCATCTTTCGCTTGATCTGTGTGTGGGTATGTGAGAGATATCTATTTATTAATTTTTAATGGATGCTGAGCTGCACAATTTCTCGTGTTAAATTCTCACTAGACCTTATCTCTAGCCCTTACCCTAGCATGCATTGTTATATAATGTAGAAGTTATTTCCATTTCAATTTTTACACATGACAAGCTTTAATTCCTCCTAAATTATGTTTTATAACATTGGCCACAAGTATAATTTTTGGAAATAGCTTTGGGAGTTGGGACTTTTCTTTCTGATATATTTTCTCTGAGAGATATCAAGAATGGATCATTATTATGTGACAGTTTTCTCCTATATGTTGATTTGTTGACTGAAAAAGTTCAGCTCATACTTTTCTGGAAGTATGTTCTTGTTATTTTTAATCACCATTTACTGTGAAGTGTAGTGTGCTTCTGTAGTTAACAAGGCCTTGTAATTTCCTTGCTATATTAAATGGTTTTTGGATTGTTGATTAATAAGATTATGAACTGAAAGTATATGTATTTGTGTGAATTGTGATCCTATTGAGTAGCATATGAATTTGTAAAATTCCCAGATTATTAAATTGACATACTTTATATGGAAAACAACAGATATGACAAGCACATAAGGTATGAATCACGAAAAGTTCGGGCAGAAAGCAGGGTGAGAGTCAAGGGCCGGTTTGCCAAGATGGAGTAGGAACACTAAAATCATGGTAGGCTGCTATGACACCATGACTATAATTCCCAGCTCAAATCACATACATTATGTAACACGTCTCTTGTATAGTAAACTTCACAATATTTTTGCAAATGATGTATCCTTAGACCCAGAGCAAGGATATTATATACATACATTTTCTTGCAATACAGTTGACAATAATATTTTATGATTCCCTTTGCCCCATAATTGACTGCACGTAGACATATAGGTGCAGTCTTCTGTAAATCAAAATCTAATTCACTGGGGTTTTTTGCCTTAGATCATGTTTGAAAGTATCTTGTGAACTTAGATTTTTGTCTTCTTGATTTCTTAAATAATAATAAGAATAATGATGAAAAAAACTTGAGATAGATTGCAGACCCCTTAAATTGGTATGAACAAGTGTTGAATATTCCATGGGAGCAAGTGAAAGCAAGTTGTACTTATCTAAATTTTTTAATATTATGAGATTGTGAAGGTTGAGGTATAACACAGCTGAGAAAGTGCTATCTGAAGATTTGTGATGAAAGAACTCCTTGTATCTTCTGCAATTTTGTTGTTTCTTGTTTTTTACAAAGGGATATGTTACTGTATCTGAACTCAGCCGTGTTGGAATGTTTTTTCCCACTTTTAAATTTCTCTTTTAACTGAATATGTCCTTCCAAGTAGTTCTAGAACAATAAACACTGCTCAATGCTGCTTCAGCAAAAAGTGGACAAAGAGAAGTGTTAAGTGCACAAGCAAAGGACACAAACTGTCTAATTTGTCAGACTAATTGTCTTGTAAATACTGAAAAGTATGTGTTGATGAACAACATTATGTTCTAATAATTTAGGTAAGCAATAGAATCTGTTCTGTCTTCACGCATATTGCCAAGTTATGTAACTTCCAGTCATAATTTAGTTCATTGGCATTTGATTGAATGCAATTCCTGGAGGCAGTCCTTGTGTTCATATATACCCTCGTAATTCAAATTTTGTATATTTGTTATGGTCTCATCTAGGAAATCTGATAATATGCTATCTTCTCTTTATTTCCATATCATGTCTGCTTAAAGCACTAAAATCGTGTTGGACAGATATCATTAGCATTTGAAGTATATATGGAGCAGAAAAGATACATGGAGAAGGAAGAATTTTGCTGGCTAATGCATTCTTCTGTAGTTGTTTTAGAGACGGTAGCTTGGATGATGTTGACTTCCAGCAAATGTAAGCTTGTACAAATGTTTTTTTCTTGTTACACATTAGAGAAATGCTGAAAACACACTCTCTGACACATTCTTTGTCATTGTAGAGAAGTGTGTTTCTAGCACTTTTCTTATACTTTATGAATGCTAAATGATAGAGATGAAAAATATTAATTGTAGACATTTCTCAGAAATCTACGGAAGTGTGTATATACCAGAATAATATAAATAAAATTTCGAGAAATTTTATACTACACGAATCAGTGAGGGATGATCTGGGAGGAAATTGAATGGTGAATACCTTGGAATATATGTCTAAAAGCCATTGCTTTGACGTTCAGTAGTTTTTATCTCCTTCATTTCCTTAAGAAATTTTGTTTCTGGCTATATATTGAAGTTTTTACTGATTGATAAGGTCATCATCTAACATCCCATCTTGGTATTGTTTATGCCCTAAATAAAAGGGACGAAGCATGAGCATCACCGAAGAAAGAGGTGATACTACTGTACTATATTGGTTTTAAATGTATGAACTAGCTATAAGCATGTGATTGTGTAAAATGAGAAATAATACCAAGCAAGATTGTAGCACATAAATATACATAAACTATAAGGGACACGTTAGTTGCAGCTGGATTGGTTGAGTTATTACTGTATTCATGCATGAACTGTGCATCGTCGTGGTGGGTGTCACTCTTCCCGAAGTGAAGAAATTTGTTGGTCCCCACACGTTTTGGTCCCCTTGGCAACTACTGCATATATGACTTTGTCTTCACCTTTTGAAATATGAAATATCCCAAGGGTTCTTTTCACCTAAAAGACCGCATTCAATAATGGAGCCACCGTTAAGGCCCCGGTTTCCCATTTGCCTGAAAAGAAACATAAGATTTTTGTTTTGCTTTGTTTCTTGGTCCAATAAAAGGAAACATATGTTGAGTGGTTCATATGCAGGGTTGAAGTTGAAAACTCATTAATGATTGAAATAAAATTCTTCAAGTTTACCTGTAATGTAAGAATTCAAATCGCTTTGAAAAGTAAATGCCTTAAGCTTGTCATTGTACGAGAACTAAGACTTCATAGTGCCTTGCCCTTCGAAAGCATCATTGGTTTAATAGCAAAAGAAACTGTGTCAAGTATCTTTGTACAAGGTTTTTCAAGCGCATTTTTAAGGATAAAAAAAATGTATATGTTTCTTTATAAATTAAAATTAATTTATGAATAAACTTTTTTTTGTGCATAAATCAATTTTATTTTATGAAAATATTTTTTTTCTCTTTTAAGAACTTGTATGAAATACTTGTCCTAAACATCTCTTAAGTATAATTAATTGTTTATAAATTAGAAATCTGTTTTATAAACCTATGGTCTTTTTGAGATAGTAGGTAGGATTTATTTTATATTTTTTTAATTTTTAAAATAATTATATAGATCAATTTTCAAAACCCTAAACCTAAATTAGAAAATTAAAAAAGGTTATCATTAATTTTTAAAAACAGTTACAATAAAATAATAATCAAATAACTTTTTTAGTATTAAAAAACTATTAAATGGTAAACTAACAATTTCTAACTTTTTTTCTTTTTAAAACATTTTCAAAACAAAACTTGTTCGGCAGAAAATGGTTCAAATGGTTTTAAAAGGTTTTATGAAAACTATTTTTGAAAACTTTCAAAAATATTATAAAGAAATTTTTAATAAGTGAATTATATCCACTTTTTACCAAACAGATCAAATTATATTTTAACTAATTTTTTAACACATCAAAATAGATTAATAATTTTTTTCATCTAATTCGTTATAATTCAAAATACATTTTTGTCATCATTTTGTCATTCTTAAAACCAGTTAATTAGTATCATACACAAAACATAATTAATAATTACTTGCTTGCTAAACAGAAAAAGATATTCGTGATAACACAATAAAATAATTTGGTTTCTTTAAAGTGAGAAAGCCATACCCATCATGGTTCTAATATAGTTTGGACATGTAACCTGCAATATAATTTATTTTGGGCTTTAACCCATTATAAGTGGGACAAGCATTGGTTTGGGCCGAATAGTGATTATGAAGTACGGAGCCCAAGAATTTATTAGGCTCAAGATGACCCAAGACATTTTCAAACCCTACCTAGCAACCTAGTTTCATTTCATTTTGGTGTTTTTTCACGATAAACAACTTCTTATTGGCGGGTCAAAGTTTCATAAGATTTTTTTTTCTGATCAAAGAAAAACAATTTGATAAAATAAGTTGTTAAAATAATTTATCACATGATCAAATATTTATAATTTTTATATTTTTATTTATTTTAAACAACTCATAAAAATTAAGTTAATACACTTTTATTGTTCCTCTTTAAATATTTTTATTCAGATAATATAAATGGACTTGTTATAATTTAATGATTTTGCATTACAAAATGATATTTGACGAGAGTAAGCGTTTAAGATTTTTAACAGAATGAAAATAAGAGTGGTAAATAAGAATTTCAATTTCTAATAAGATAATGAAAATAAAAATGCAAAGTTATTAGGAACTCAAACTCAAATGCTACATGGATATTGTGTTTCAAAAATGAACCCAAAACTAATTTGCGTTGAAGAAGGAAGGTGGAGAAGGTTGTGTATTGATCTTGATAGCTACAAGTTACTACTACATTTACCTACTGATATGGCTTTATCATGCACTCAGAATAAAAGTAGTAGCTACTTATATTTACCGTTACTGCTCTTAAATAAATCACCTACCATCTGCTAAAGTATCTTCACTACAAAACAAGCGAACCACATTCAATTTAATCACTACCAGAGCCATAATAAATTAAATATAGCACCTATTTGTTTCAGCGCAAGGTCTAAGTCAGAAACAGATTCACACAAGAAAACCCTTGATTCACAATTAACACTACAAATATCTATATATATAAAATAGTGTAACATGTGAAAATATCTAGCTTCTTGATCTGTAATGGAGTTTGAGAAATGAATGCAGCACCAGCAAGAGAAACACTGTGGACCCAATAATGGAGAGGACTAATGCTGCTGTCACGTGGCGGCAATAGGCGTCAAAGACGTCGCACACTTTCATCCATTGCACGTGCGAGTTACCCTTCTGTGCTATCACTCCCACTGCACATGCTGCACCATTGGCTGAGAACAACAGTGCCATCACCACAAGGTCTAAGGCGGTTACCACCAAATGTGTCACATCATCTTTTCTTGATCCACTGCTTTTTCCCATCACTGCTATCACCAATGATGCAGCTGCATATGAGCATGCTATTGCGTTTGACACCAAGAAAAACCTGTTCCAGATATTCATCTTGTTAATCTTCTCAGATCACAGTGTATAATACAAAAAAACCAGTTACTATCTAAGCTATCATATTGGATAAAAGTTCATAAATTCTCCTTCTAGAATTCTTCTCATGCATATTTCACAATTCCAATGTATAAAATGAAAAGGAAAGAAATTGCTGTTTCAAAAATTTCTTTTTAAGCTAGCAGTCATACATAAAGAGTTTGCAGAATTATTGGTTGTTTGTTAGTCAGAAAAAGTAATCATATTTATACAATCTGACATTCATGCTTTCTTTATCAATTTCTCTTTTAATCTTGTTTTTTCTCTAGACCTCTCTTTTCTTTCTCATCCAAAATCTTCAATATGAAGTTTAAGAATTTTCAATTTATTTTTTACAAATAACCAGATATTTAGACATTGATGATTAAAAAAATATACACAGTTTTTTTTTTTCAAAAGTCAAATATCTAGATTTAGAGAGAGAGAGAGAGAGAAATGATTAAAACTAACACTTTTCTCATACTCTAACCAGCCAATAAATAGAGCTGTGTATGGATGAGTTTCTTGGCAGAGTTCATGATATATATAGAAAGAAAACATGAGTGGTGAACAAGTGAGAGAAGCTTACACCATAGCAGACATATATTCCCACTTAGCAGTGGCTTTGAATTGCATTTCAGCGTAAGAGATGACTTTGGTCTCATTGTCAACACCAACAACGATGGTTGCAACTAGAGTGAGTGAGAGGCCAAGAAACCGCAGCAACAGATCGTAGGGTCTTTCTTTAGGTGGCCTCTCCACCACCTTCACATCACTGTGCACTCCATCCACATTGGTCTTGGTCTGGCTGCTCATAACTGGATCTGGTGCTGTTCTGAGAAAGCAATATGTGATGTGAGAATATGTAATTTAAAGGAAGTGTTGTGTTTGTGTTTTGTTGCATAGAATGTTATGAGATATTATAATAACAAGGAGAAGATGTTTGAATGAGAAAGGTGGGGAGGTTGGAGATGCATTGAAGACAGCTAGTACGGCCTCTGCATATTTAATGTCATCAACTATCTATCTATCCATGCTACCTCAATCCTCATATACACTTCACTTTCACACTCATCACATTAATGCTTTAGTATCTTTCATTCATTCATAACATAACCTTCTTCTTTATGTTCTCTGTCTGTCAAATTTTTTGTGGAAAGAAAATTACCTGTTAAATACATGTTTTCGATTCAAATATATACATGTGAAGTCCAGAAATCAATTTAATATGTTGTTTTAAATGAATTACACTCTGTCTTTATTTTTTATTACCTTTAAATTTAACTATAAGATTGGTTACATGGTCGAAGAATTAGATTTTAAAAAATTAAATGGTAAAATATATATTTATTTAAATATTAATTACTCCTTAAAATTATTATAATAAAAAAATATAAATAGTAATAAAAATAACTTAACAATTTTTTTACATTTATCTGTCACATTTATGTTTTTCTTTTTTTTATCGTTTTCATATCCTTCCTTTTTTAGTTTTTTTTTCTCCAGATATAGAAAGAAAAAAAAAACAAATATAATAAAGTTATGTAACTCAAACAGGAAAAAAATCTTGAAATAAAAATAAGAGTTAAGAAAAAAATATTAATATTAAAATAAAATAAAACAAAATAATACTACAATGAATAATATTGAGTGATATAGGTAGTAAAGATATGGCTTGTAAAATCGCCAATCTTTATAATTTTTTTGGGCCCAGTCCATATCTTTTCTGGGCCCGAGGAAAGTCCAAAAGAAATCATCTTCTCCATGAGGCACCGACTTTGGTACTCTGTAAATTGTTAGGGTTTGCTATTTATTTATCGTTGTTCCCTCGACCTTTTCTGAAGAACCTCCACCTGTCGACAATGAAGAAGAATGAGGAACGCGGTGATAACCACAACGAGAAGAAGCGCATGATGATGAGGAGGAAGAACATTTCGAGGTTGGGCGGAGGGGGGCTTTCGCTCGACACCTTCGCCAATGCAAAATCAAAGAACAATCACTATAACCCAGCTCTCATAAGTACGCAACTTCTCTCTTTAATTTGCTCAACTTCTTCATTATGCTTTTAACCCTTGTATCGTTTTACGTGTCTACTAGATTAGCTATAAATTTTCAGTAATAATTTGCTCTTGGTAGAATAATTGAAGAAAAAGGAAATAAATTGTAGTCATTCATTCCTCATCTATGTTGCGTTTAAATTATTATAAAACCCCCTTTTTTCTGGGTTGGAATTGTGAATGATTAGGTGCATTGTTCGCATTGCATGTATATTTTATTAGTCCTGTTTAGTGATGCTAATTGTGCGAACTTTTGAGTTGGGTTTCTAAGGATTAAGAGAGATACGTTTTTATTTGTTCTTGCACATATTTTACTGCCAACGTTTTAAATCATGCACAATGGTCTTCTCCCTTAATGTTTTTGGCTAGAGTTTTTCTTCATATTTTCTAGCTACACTTGTAAAGCGCCAAAACACTGATATTAATGGAGTTGGACACATAGAAATAACGAAATGCTGTGTTTTAGCAATGTTATCAATTGTGGATTGTGAAAAACCGCCGAAACCAATAACCCGCTATATCAGATATATATAGTGGATACCGTTGCAGACATGTGGAAGTCACATAACTAATGAAATATGCCATTTATATATGTGCAAAAAATGAGTATTGGATGGAATCTAATGAAATACATTGTTTCGAGGTTCAGTTCCATCCTATTTTAAGCAATCTAGACAGCCGAGCATTCAATCATTCCATTCCATTCCATTCCTTTTTTTTTTTTCATGTATCATGGTTCTTCTAGTCTTTCTTCCATTTTTAAAAACTGTCACCCAAATATCTTCCGTCTCCTTTTGTCACATTATCCACTGCCCTTATTCCTTATTTGCTGGAAGAATGAGTTTTTATTTGGCTGAGTCAATGTATGTAGTTTGACCATAAAAATTAAGCATACAATAAACAAATCTGATGAAGAAGCTTCTTATAAGTTATAAGTTGTAAGTTGTAAAATAATTGCTAGGTGAATCAAGAATATTAATCTTATACCTCATTTTCTACAGCATGGCCATTCCGTTGAAGCCCAACACACCACAGCTTACTGTTTCACCTTGTGCCGCCTGAACTGGTACAGCCACATTTGCTGCTATTCATTGCATTAGCAGATGTAGCATTCATTAATGGTTGACAACACCTCTTTTAACCCCAGGATACTGTGTGGCACAAATTTCTTCTTTGATTCCCTTATTAGGGTTTTGAAATCGAAACCTTATTCTAAAACAACCACATGCCTTGTGTCTTTGAAGCATGATCCACTATTCTCTGGCATCGTCACCAACCATTTCTCATATTTTCTGTCTGGTACCTTCCTATTGTTTCCAGCCTTACTCTGTTCTCTGGCTGTGTCTCCAACAATATGATCCGTTTTATCCCTTTAGTCCACTCTCTCTGTTCCCTCCCATCTATTGTATATTGTTTTGGCCTTTCATTTTGTAGTGGCAAACACTATCTCTCAGGTCTTTCATGATTTCATATCTGCTCTTAAGGGATATGTACGTCTCTAATTGTGCGTGTATATGAATTATTTCACTTGTATCTAAAATTTCACAAGAGCAACCATCCTGCTATTGTGGTTTTGGACTTGGCTGTTCCTTGCCACTATCTGGGGTTGCCAATTATGATGTTATTCTTGCACCTCATTATCTCTTCTCTATTGCTCTCCTCCTCCTTTGATGGGAAACAGATGCAATATAGAAAAGAGAGAGGGGGTATGCGAATTTTGCTTCCATCCTTTTCATAGGGGTGGGTTATAGTTACAACAATTTTTGAACTCATCAAACATTTTCTTATTATTTGCTCCATCAGTTTTTTTATGTTAAAAGCTCCAAAAACATGGTATATGGACATAATAAGTGTCATCAATTCTGGCACTGCCTGTCAATGATTGTTTGTGGGTGTTGGGGGAGAAGGGGGAACAGTTGTAATTTAGGTAAATAGCTTTTCCCGCAAGGGTACATTTGTCAGGAATCGTATGCAGCTAGTGCAAATTGTTTTGTTGATGTAATTGAATATTTTGGTGATAAACAAACCTCTTAAACCTCGGAATATGTTATTCATAAAACATGAAAGAGTTATTTCTTTTGCATTTTCCAATAGTATGTTCTAAATCTTCTGAATTTCTGTGATCTTTAAGACATGTTCCAATTAGTAAATAAGGCTCGTAACATTTGCTTGAATTGTTATTATATACTTGTCATATGGACTTATGAATTGAGATGAGAATGTGAGTGTTACCATTACTAACTTTCTTTTTGATAGCCATTACACTCTTCTAACAGTTATTATTTACTTGTTGTCAGAGAAGCAAAGGGAGTTCTACAAAAATGCTAAGAATGTGAATAAGTTTAAGAAATTGTTGAAGCAGCAAAACCAGCAGAATGGACCCACCTTGCCGCAGGGACATGAAGAGGTTTAATATCTTATTAGCTGCTTCCTTTTGAGGTTATTAACACGATTGCAAAATCATGAGGCATAAGAGCATATATCGTAACATCAATTCATAAATTACTACTATTTTGAGTATGTATTTAATTTTTTTGGTGCGTATATCCATTCAGTTTTTGTTTGCTGTTACAGAATGTAAATGAAACCGACGAGTACAAGGACAAAAGTGAGGAGAGGAGGAGGATGAAGAGCAGTGCTTTTAGTTTGGAAGAACTGTACAAAAAGCAGCATGAAGAGAAAGAGAAAGAAAGAATGGAGAGAGAGGCAGTCCTGAGGGTAAAGAAGGAAGAGAGAGAACAAGCTGAAGGTCGGAGAAAGACTATGCGGGAAAAAATGCTTAAGAAGACCCGAAGAGGGCAGCCTGTTATGAAATACAGAATTGAGCATCTTTTGGAGACTATTCAGGGGTCAACTAAAAATGCAGCTGGCAGCAAATCCTGAGTAGTGGCGTAGAATAAGGACGAATGGTGGACAACATTCCTTCGGTTAAATTTTATCAGCATCCTAATGTTTTGGGTTAAAAGAACATATTACGATTTGAGGAACGACGCACTGCTGAATGATATATTGATTACGATTTTAGCCTTATATATTTGGCTTGTCATTATTGTATCAAATGTAGTATACAAAATTTATGATAGCAATTGCTCTGTAGAAGCCTTGTGATAATCACACGGTAAGCAGCGAGTATATTTAGGTTGACATTTGCCCCAATATAGAAACAGTTAATATAAGATGCAAAATGTTTATCATGTAAACTTTCCGTAATTTTTTTCACTCGTACTCATGCAGTTGAAACCTTAAATCTGCTACAATTCATGTAAATACCATCCTGAGGCGGGAAGCGGTAATAGAAGCTCCACCTAATTCCTCTTCTTGCAGATCGTAATTCCAACCTCTTAACCACACGACATGTTAAGAAACAAATAAATTGTGCAGCTATCTTCACAATTCATATGCACATCTTATATCAATTGAAAGTGAGTATTTCGCCGATCGAAAAGTAGCTTCTATTTTATTCATTTCAATTGTATAAACAGAGTATCTATTCAGCTATGAGAGGCAGAGGAACATCCCCAGTTATCTGCCTTTTTGCTATGTTTTACACGGAATAAAGTCACAAAGGGTAAGCAAATCAGAAAAATGAAAATTGACCTAAAGAACACAATCAATATGAGGAAACTTGAGATCGAAAGAAGATCTGTAGGAGAGACAGCATATTGGTGGAGAGACAAAGATCAAGGCCAACGATAGACCACAACCTGCCTCTTGGGGGAGGAGCAGATGAGCATGAGAGTGAGAGCAATCACCAGCGCCATGAGAAGTCCCATGAAGTCTATGCATAACTCCACGCAAGCCATTATTGATTGCTATATCTCTTGGTCTTGCGTTTAACTCCTGCTGCCTCTGCAAAAACTATCAAAGCCAAAATAAGTTCATGTATGGTCACGCCATTCCACCTTCCTTTTATGACTTTGTCTCTTTTATTATTAAAATTAAACAAGTCCAAGTCTATTTAACTATGATTTACGACGTTTCTCATGGCGGGCCATTGCATGGTGGTTGGTTGAGTTGCACCAACGTTGACACAATGAAGGGCCATCATGCTTAATCTCTTACTACTTTTTTAACGTCGTTTAATCCAAACTTATTTGACAGTGGAAAAATTTAGCAGCCCACTATCTAGTTTTAATATAAACAAGTTTCAATTAAAATTTTTTTGGATTATCCATCCCTGCCACATGTTTCATCTTTTGGCAACTGACTTCCTGTACCAAAGTCTTGTAAACCCCTGCCTCACGGAACGTTGATTTTCAATATTCAGTATCATTCTAGAAAACATGCCCCAAACTTACAACTCGGGATTACACTAATCCTAATCTCAAACTTGTCACTAAATTTGTTTGCATGGAGTACCATACTCATTCACCACTCTGAAAACATGCTATAAACATGAAATTTGGCAAACCTCTTTTCATGTGTTACGCGACATGTCAAGAAATGTCACATTTATTTATTAAATGTGATTAGATCTAAAATTAAGAAATCATTCACCGTTAATTCAATTGTTCATCATCTTTCAAACGCTCCAGAGAGGTGGTGGGATCGATCCATATTCAAAAAATTCAAAATCAAATAATTCAAGGTCTTTGGTCTTTATCAGTTTTGGAGGCTGAAGACCAAAAAAAAAAAAATCCTTAGGAAATGAAATACCTTGAATTGAAATAATTGTTCCTGCAACAATATTCTAATATACATTACGTACTCAAGATTCTTTTCGTTAACTTATTATATACTAATCTTATGTACTATTTTGGTTCAAGTTAGAAGGCCTAATTTTTAGTTAATGACTTAACCAACCATTATAGACAAAAGTTGGGGTTAGGTTCCAAAAAAGTATGATTTAGCCAGGCTACTTTTTCTACACATAAAAAATAATTTATAAAAAAAGTTATCATATTTTTTATTTATCATCGTCAAATACAGTGTCTTAAACCTAATGTTTGAATTCATCTTGGACCAAGTTTAGGAGAAGAAAAAAAAAAAACACAGAGAAACACAAATAGGATGTTTCCTATTACTTCTACTGATCTTTATGCCGAATATTACATTGTTTGTGCTTAAATTTTGTTGATAAGTAGAAATACAATTATCTTCTACCATTCTTAGAGAAAACCTTTCGGTCAAACTGTAGTTTTCCAAATTTAAAGTATAATTTCTTTTCTGCATGTTCGATTTGATACATATACAGAACTGTCAAAGAACTGTAATCGATACAAAATTTCGTCTTCAAAATGCCTTCAATTAATCACCTTCTAAGCAAAACTCCATCAATTACTTGCTTAGCTTCTCTTGTAAAGATAGAAACTCAAAAGAAAAAGAAATGATTTTTGAATTCTTGATCTTCCTCTTATTCAACTCTCGAACTTTATATTCTTCAAAAATCGACATTTCACGTGTTTTCCTTCGCTTCATGATTTCTTACTAAAATCCACACAAACACACATAAAGCTCATCTTTTTTCCAGGAGAGTTACACGTTAAAAATCATATAAAAATATTAATATTTGGAGAACCTTCAAATTAAAGCATCACTCTCACGACAAAAACTAAAGACAAAGAAAAAATGTTTATGAATGTATCTGAAAAGTTGATACAGATTTACCGAAGTGGGGAGCGAAGCAACACCGACAATTGAACGGAGGCTTAAAACCCAGCAAGTGAACGAACAAACCCTAAACGATAACGTTACCAAGTCAGATTCTAATGGCCTTTTATTTTATTTCATTTTACTTTCCAACTTTTTTTTATTATTTTTGGTGATTATTGGATGAAAGTGATTGTTTTCTCAAACACAAGACAAATATCAGGGTTAAAATTAGTCTTTCAAAATTACTATTTTAATTTTGTGTAATGTAAACCTATTGGCAGTGTCTAGTAATATGTTAACTTTTTTAAATTAAAGAAATGTTTGATAATGAAGTGAGCAATAATTTATACATGTTAAACTACTTGCTCCACATAAAAAGGTTTAGACGTGAGAATGTTTGAACAATCATTTGCAAAAAAAAAATAATGAAAAAATTAAGTTTGTTTTAATATGACATACCAACTGGAAATGGTTAAAAAAGAGTGAAATTAGGGTTTTGAAACGTATTCAAGCTCATTTAACACTTTCTTTGTACAAATAAATGTATATTTAAACAATGTCTCTTATCCAAGACTTAGTATTATGGGCTGGGCCAAGATGCCGTGTAGTGGTTTTAAAGAGTACATCTTAACGCTGAAGCCCTAATAGCATGTATGAGTAGCAGAGACATATAAAATAATTAGTTAATAAATAACATGAAATTAAAAGTTAATAAGTAATGAACCTGAGGCCACACTATTACTGTCACACCTTCACTCTATTCTTATCACTACTTTTTCTTTATTGATTGGTTAAGTTTGGTGGGGACCAAACTGTCCATGCAACATAATGTTCTTGTCTTGCCTACATCAACTGGTTTTGAGTTTCTTTTTCTATAAAACAACATCTTATAGCAAATGTAATCGATATGTTGTGGTACCCGTTTTGCTACTAGTGGTGGTTAGAAGAGTTGGTATTGTTTATTCAATAATTAGGTAAGAGATGGTGTGGTTAAGAGAAGAGAAGTTGAAGGAAGAAAAAAAAGGTAGAGCGAATCTATCACGTGGCTCACCAGTCGAGGCTCTCCTCCTCTCATTCCCCGATAAACATTGAATGAAAAGCAGATGTCACCACACCTGAGGGCATTTTTACCAGCCTAGCCTTTCCTACTTCTTTTGCTTTTTCAAAATGCCACTGCCACAAAATTTGGCCCATTCACTAATTAGCCTGCCGAAGCCACCTGAATCCTGATTGCTCTCCTCCGCAAGCAAAACTTCAAAAAGCTTACTCATTCTCCCCCTCTTCTCAGGGGGAAGAGCCCACCAAAGATCCATTTGCAGCCTTTTACACACTCCTTTGGATTCCCATTTAGCAAGCTGTTCAAAGCAAAACATAATCATAGTCCGGTAATTTATTGGGCAGCATTTGAATGAAACACAAGCTACTAAGAGTATAGTGAAAAGTTATAGATACGTAGGATCATAGGGATTGTTAATAAATTTGCTTCTACCGTTTCGACCTCGTCTACCTATACAAGAAGGTTACCTTTACCTTCATCCAGTTATGGTTTTTGAACAATTCACAGTTTTCTTACGCTTACACAGGAAGATTTCACCAAACACGACGTATGATCCATGGTCAAAAATCAAAGAATACATTAAATACCTACCACCTGTTAAAGAACTATTTATGGTGGATGTCACACGATAAACGATAATTCATCCTAATTTTGTTGCTCAGCTTTTTATACATAAATTCATAAAAATTGCGAAGAGCTAACAATGCTGTGCATTAGAGTATGAATATTATTAGAGATGGCTTGAAGAGACAACTGTGTCCAACACCGTACCACGAAAGACGAAGTTAACATACAAATAAATTGAAGCCCGCGAATATTATAGTATGATGAACAATATAACAACAGTATCGACGAACGCACGTACAACAGAGTTTCAGTCTATTTATTAATCGGTAAATGTAAGCTCAGCCAAAGTGTAAAATGAATGGCAATCGAGCTCAAGCCTTGGGTGAACTCTCTTTCCTGTACCTAGCTCAAAAGCAAGCCATATTAAGCCAGGCAACAGTAAATTCACTAGAGAATTGCCATTTGTCAATTTCCACAATCAAAGTGGCATTAGATTTCTCGGCTCAATCCTCAGCGTGATCACTCGATCCTTAACGAAGAATCATCTTCCATTGTCCACACAAAACCAGGCATGTCCAACCTTGGCCCGGCAATAGTCCTGTAAATATATAGCTTCTCAACAGGACAATTATCTGGCCTTGAATCTGGAGGCCCTCTTTCATCAATGACTTCAACGTTGAGTCTGGGCATTTTTTGACCCAGTCGTTTACATGCTCCATAACTCACTGAGCAGGTGGACATCCAAAGGGATCGCATTGTCTCCAGCTTTGCAGCATTGGCCAAAAGGGGCTTGTCACCAAAGGGGCAGTCCCTGATCTCCAGCTTCCTAAGGTTATCACAACCAGATAGCACATGATGGAGTCCCAAATCACTATCTCCAGCAAAAGCCACAGATAGCATCTCCAGCTTCTTCCCGTAAGTACCAATATACTCGAAAACTCGATCAGTAAGAAGACCCGATAGGGATAGGCGTTGCAGATCCTTGCAATGCTCCACGATAGCTCCAAAACCAGAATCCAGTGGGTCAAGCGTAAGATAGTCAGGCGTTCGAGGCTCAATAATACAAAGCCGAAAACGAGTCAAATTAGGCCTGTTCCGCGCAATTGTATGCAGGGCTGCATTAGACATTTGACGACAGAAGTATAGAACTGATTGGAGCTTGGGACAACCTTCAGACACGGAGACAAGCCCTTTCTCTGTCAATGCAACATTTGGTTCTAAACCAAATGGGTCAGACGGAAACACCCTTAACTCCCTTAGATCCTTACAAGATGCAGCAAGGGTATAAAGACCAGCATCTTCTATGTAATCCAGAACCTGCAGCCATCACCTTAGTTAGTACAAGAGTTTAAACGATCAGTGATCGGAAACGTGAAATAAACATGGGGCAGCCAAATAAATCAGACATACCCATAACCGCAACAAATTTGGGCATTGACTGATGAGCTTAATAAGATCAGAGCTTTGAATAATAGCATAACTCAAATTTAACGATGTTAGCCTGGAGCAGATGGGGTAGACAGCTGGAAGGTAGGACGGAAGTACGTCCCAAAAGCCAGACAAGCTCTTCAACTGCTTGCACCCCGAAAATGCTGCTTCCAGGTTTGAGAAGACCTCTGGTCGCATCTCGGTTGAGTAGACTCCTGTGCCTAACTCAACCAGCTGAGGACAACGGGAAAGTAGATTGGGTAGTCTATCAAGGGGCACAGCCCGGTTGAGGCGCAAGGTCTGAAGGTTGGGACACCTCCCAAGCAAACGCTCTAGTGCAGATAAACTCACCTCATTGCCTAAGCAAGAGATGTTAAGTGAAACTAGTGACGTGTAGGAATCAGGAAAATGGCTTAACCAGTGCCCACTACTAAGGTCATCCACTTCACTCTCTTGCAAGTCCAACTCCTTCAAATTCCTACAATGCATGACAGTGGATTTGTCAATGACAGTGTCAAGACACTTCACTTCAAAAACTAGCATTCTCTGGTGTTCTAACAAAATAATGTAGTACACGAACCACAGCCAAAATTTAATACCATTGTCATTGGCAATGTCCCAGTATTAGCGTATCAACCTATTCACGACTGACGCGAAAGGCAATAAGCTTTTCTCCGCATGGTTCACGCCACCCCTCTAACCCGGTATTAAGTAAAAAATATCCTCACCATGCAAGTTTCCCAAAAAATAAATTATTTGAAATGCATTGTCAGTGAAAAGTTTTTTTTATTTTTTCATATTGTCAACCAATTATAAATTGTCATGTCATACAAATAATTGGTATAATTGGTTTTGGTAATAATTGGATGCCCGCGTATCAAAAGTAATTTCTTCAATTAATAGTAGAATAAATTCGGAGGATACTAGTAAAAAATCAATGTGCAGAGAAAATTAATGCCCCAAAGTTTAATGATGTAAATAACCCAACATTGAATGCACCTGTGAGTGAAACTAAAGCGTCAACTTGATAACAATATTAATAATAGCAATAGCAAAAGCATCTAAGAAAAAAAAAAAAAAAAAAAATATATATATATATATATATATATATATATATATATATATATATATATATATATATATATATATAATACGATAGTCATTTAAACCAAGACGTAACTAAAGGTAAACCCCAAAATCACATCATGGGTCAAATTACTAAATAATACTCGCGATGCGGAAATTTCAAACACTTTATACAGATAACCCCAGAACATCAACGTTATGAGTGCTTGAAAGAAAAGGAACGCAGATCTAAAATATACCTGAAAAAACGAATAAAAATAACAAAACGTCTCTCAAATTCATCACGATATACGTTCCAAAAAACTAACACACATTACACAAATTTTCGATTTGAATGTCAGCTCTTTAAAGCTCTAACTTCAAGATGTAGTTGAAATCCAAAATATATAACGTTTCATTTTAATGAGCCAAATCTGAGCATGACAACGAACGAAAGAGCCATAGTTCATATTAACCATACGGCAAAACGACTCTCAAAAGCGAAGATCCGAACCAGAGGTCCTTTCGCGGAGGACAATATAACGAGTTAGTTACAGTGATAACTACCTACTGGCTACTGTCACTACCAATAATAAACCACAAACTCGAGCAATGTGCCGTTTCAGTCTGCTAAAAGCAAAAGAGAGAATAAGTAAATATAGAAACCTGCAGTTGGCAGCAATGGCGGCAAGTCCGTCGGTGGTGAAACCCTCGCAGGAAGTGAGAACCAGCACCTTGAAGTTTTTGAAGGACTTGGCGATGAGTTCTAAGCTGTCGTCGGTGATGACCATCCTCTTGAGTCTGATCTCTTCGAGCCAGGGGAAGGCGCAGGCCATGGCAGCGATCCAGGGACAGACGTAACCGCCCCAACCCTCGGGGACCAAATTGAAGTCCGCGAAGTGCGGCTTCCCCTTGAGCGCAATGGATCTTACCTCCGGAAACCGCTTGATCACCATGACAGGGCTCACCGCGTAGCAGTTTCCCACGAAAACCTTCCTCCTGCACCACCGCTCGATCTCGTACCACGACTTGCACACGAGCGAGATCGCGTTCCGGTCCCTCTCGCCCTCAATGAACGAGAACACGTGCTCCAGCACCTCCTCCGGAAAGGAGAACGTGTACGACATTTTCTGCATATGGAGAAACTGACAATAGCCAGCCAAACGGCGTCGTTTCCACGATGAGAAAGTAACAGAAACGGTGAAGCGCTCGCACCGTTAGATCTGAGACGCCATTAACAGCAAGCGAGAGTAGTATGTGTAATGTGATGTGAGTGAGAGAAAGACGGAGAGAGAGGATAAGGAGTTTATGATGATGCTGTGTATGTATGTGTGTGCCGAGTGAGGTTAGAAATTAACCATGGTTAAATAGGTGGTGGTGAACTGGTGACAGGTGATGGATGGTTTTTTTCGTTTTTTTTTTTTTTGAGCAATTATGAATGGGACACGTGGTGAAACAGACGAATGAGAGCCGTTGGATGAGAAGTGCGAGGAGGTGATCTTGATATCTTATCCGTTGATAAGGATGGAAGAGGAGCCGCACAAAACGGGTGTACGTGAAAGGCGTGGACCAAATGGGGACGAGATTTGGTTATTTTCTCGCGAGTCGTTGGGATGGGAAGACCGACAAGGTTTTATCGCGGAGGGAGGGTTTTGATAAAGTGTTATGATGTGTAGGGAAGTGGGGGTGGAAGGGAATCTCATGATTCGCGTTGCACGGCTGGATCTGAAGGGATGGGGGAGGATACGGTGGGGACCACCCTTGATGGATGCAGGATATTATATTTTGAGTTGAGTCCGAACGAAAAAGCGTTGCGTTGTTTAATTTATTGAAGGAATGAATGATATGAAGTGGAGTCTGGAAATCATGACATCATGGCCGTCCAATCATATGTGACTGTTTCATTCTATGATTCTAACAGTCAGATATCTGTTTCCGGTTTCTCACACATTTCGTATCAAACTTATTTTTCTCACTCAATCTCTCCCCCTCAAAAGAAACCTAGGTCCACCCCATTAATGCCACCATACACACTAATCTAATCATCCATGCCATTCTTTACCATATGCTTATGATTATGGCACCAGTACGAATCACCCTGCATTAATCACCTTATCGTGCAAATGTCAAAATACACCTCCATCCATTGAGGTATTATGGTTAACCTAATCAAATCAATTTTAACTTTATCTATTTTTACATACCAATCATTCTATTATGATGATGATTCTACCATACTCTTTTTATATCAATAATCATTTTTATGTTATTAAAAAAGTTCTATTAAACATCCACGATACCTAGTGTCTAGCAAAAAACGAAATATTCTCCAAAACGCAGGTTCTATTAGTTAAAAGTACTTTTGGTTTTTACATGACCATCTAGGTAAAATGAAAAAAAAAAAAAAAAAAGGTGCAAAACTATTGCAGTACACCATCCAAACCCTTGAATAGCATATAATGTGTTGAGTTACGGCATTGGTTAGCTTAGCATTTTTCTTTTCCCCTTTTTGATTGATGCTGATCTAGATCTTTAGTTAGTTAAATCATATTATTATCTTAGTTCATGCGGACAAGAAATCGTCTAAAAAAGTGTTGCCAATCTCCAATAAGAAACCAAGTAGTGAACAAGTTTCTTAAGACAAAAATTCATTGTTCTTTTCATCCGTAGTATATATTCAGTCAAATTTTCTTTTTAGACAGCAGGAACAAAATTAACAATTCAAAGCATCAATCGCTTCCTTTCTCCTTTTTTCACGTATTACGTATCAAAATCGCGTTTTCACACACACTAACTTTCCCCTAAAAATAAAGTAGATTTTTTTCAGCGTACGGTCTGCGTAATAAGTGAACACGTATGTGAACAAACCCTAAACCCTCGCTGCTCCCATTTTTCTTTCCTTCTTCAAATAATCACAACGAGAAAAAAATCGTTAATTGGTTTTCTTCACTGATAGCCATAAACTGGTGATGGTGTAGCATGCATGAGCGTTGAGCATTGCGCAAATTATTGGTGAGGGTTTACGAAATTACTTAATTACCCATGATTGTTGTGGGTTTTGTTGCGTGGACAGAGGGTATTATGGTTAGAATATGACAAGGACATGATAGTATGGAGTTTCGCTCACTGGGAATGGACTCCATTGAGCTGTCCCTTTTGTGTCCAAAAGCTGAGACTAGACAGTAAAATGAGAGAAAGAGAGCCTCAGGCGTGGGAATCAACGGTTCAGATTTCATCTTGAATCGAAATTTCTTTGTCTCTATTCGCGTTCTTTTCAAAAAATTTAAAAAATAAATATATTATTATTAATTTAGGAAACAGCGAAAAGTTTTCCTTAAAATAATCAGAAACGAGTTTCTGCTCAGAAACTAAGGTCTAAGGATGAGTTCATTAATCTCCTTCCTTTTGTGTATGAACTCCAATAATTTGTAGTATTAAAATGATAAAGCCATGGCTGAGTTGTCTTGCACATATAGTTCATTATTTAATTGCCAAGAAATCAAGCTCATAATTTTTAAATTCGATGAAAATTTGAAATAATTAATCAATTTAATATTAAGCCCACGCATGGTTCTCCGGAATTCTCTATTGAATTAAATTGCCCCTGCTTCAATATTATTAATTAGTACATGCTTCTTATAGTATAATCAATAAATAATATATTATAAAAAATTATTTAAATTAAATATTTATTAATTTATTTATCTAATTAAACATATTTATTATTTATATATACAATTTGATTATGTAGGTTAAAATTTATTCGTTCAAATTTTTATTTATTTTATCTTTTTACTTATTAAATTTTCATGTTTATTTTTTTTAATATATTATTTATGTGATTACTTCTAGTGCGACTTAAGTGTTATAAAATTAGTCTTGTATTATGGATTGGAAAAACTTTAACTCGACGATAATGATATTAAGAATGTGTAATGAGAAATAAATATTCAAATGCTATAAATATTTTTTTAACGTATTAGCTTATTTTAAAAAACAATTATCTACCGTGTTTATTTTTTAATCGTGAAACATAAAATTAGTTTATGGGAACCATTTTTAATTAATCAGTAATTTTAAGTTCAGGTTTTTAATAACAAAACTACTTTAGATTTATTTTCAATAACAGTAGTGCTTGATTCAAATTAAAAAAGAGTGACTCTAACATAAAATGAGATAGACTCTGTCAGTTTAAACTTGTTCATTAAATAATAATTTTTTAATGTTTTTTTATTACTTTGAATGTATAAATTAAAAAATATATATCATTGAAACGGAAGACAAAATTCATAATTTAAAAGGTTAATTAAAAATATTATTATAATATAATAAATATATAATAAACTTAATAGTAATAATATTTTTAAATGGTTTATATTTCAAATTAGTTAGTATAATAAATATGCATGAATGTGATTTTTTAAAATTATTTTACAAATTAATTATACTGCAATTATATATATACATATATATATATATATATATGTTAAAACATTATAGTACAATTATATTTTGATTTTAAAATATGAGTTGCACTAAAAATAATTTTTGAATTGATTGTTTACGTAGTAAAAATAATAATGGGGTGGGGATTGGGTATGAAGACAATATGAAGATAAAGACATTTTTTAATTGTTCGATGAAGTACTTCAATGAGCATAATTTGCAGGTAAAATGAAAGTGAAGGCAATCATGGAGATTAGGTGCATGTGATTGAAAGCTATGTTATTTAATTATGTATATGTCATTTGGCTTTTTCATTAGTGGCAGGGTCTCTATCTTATCATTAGTAAATGTCTTTTCTCTTCTTCTATTTTTCTTTTTTCTTTTTCGTTTTTTAAATCTCCCATTTCAATGCAAGTATTTTTTTAATGGAAAAATATATAAAATTGTCTGGCAAATATATAGAAAAAAATATTAAAAAGGAAGAAAGGATTATTTAACAAAATAAATTCTTTATTTAAGTAAAACAAAACTTAATTATATATATTTGATTGAAAATAATAAATTATTTACATTTATTTTTCTATTAACTTTATTTAAGTTAGTCTATAATTTTTAAATATTCTATTTAATTTTCTGTTTTCAAAAAATATTCAACATTATTCCTCTCTCAAAATCTACACAAACAATAATAAAATGAAAAAGAAATTAAATAATTAAATTAAATAATATATCAAAAAATCACGAAAAACAGTAATTTAAAACCTAGTGATTTTCATTCAGAAACTCATAAATGGAGGTGAGAGATGACTGTTTAGATGAAATCAAGTTTAAAATCATACCAAGATCTAATAGAAAATATATTAAACTTTAAATTGTATAATAAAATAACATCATTTTTTTTTATATCATTTGTGATGTAGTATCTTTTTCTACCTTTAAATGGTATTTAAATAATATAATTAAATAGTACAGATTTAACTTTAAAGATATAATTTACTTTGCTTTGTTTCACATAAATAAATGTCCAAAATTGAGCTCATAGATTCTGTTATGGGCAAGTCAAAAGTGGAGGACATCATATATACAAATACATATAACCTAAACAAACTCATCCTAACTTTGTGAAAAAGAATCAAATAACGTTGCGAATAATTGGTTCGTGCATTGAATCAAAACCCACGGCGATAAAAGATCGCAACCTATACTAGTGTTGGAACAATATCAATGTACATATACAATTTCAATCACACGTTGAAATTGTGCTTCTTCAGTTTTTGATTACGTGATTTCCTCTTAAATGTTAGATACTCTGACAAGAATCGAATTTGTTTTGCATCCAAATCTGGTTTATCTCACTTGTTGGACAATCAAAGCTATCTATGATTTTCACTTTTATTTTTCTCTCTCTAAGATATCATATCACCCCACGGGTATGTGATTTTTCACAAAACTGGCACCATTCCTCCACCCAACCCATGTTCTGTGGATGGTTTTTTTCCAAAAGGCGAAAAACTTATTCCTTGTTTGTCCACTAAATGACAAATTTAAATCTGGCACGTTTAATGCACCCCCTACTAGTCAATCCTTTTGCACATTCTTTTACAGTTGGGATGAACCAAACTGATTCACTTTTACCTGCTTTGTTGCCTTACTTGACCACCCAACCATTTTGATTCTAAACCTCAGTTCCCTCCATGCTTTGTTTTCTCTTCTTAGTTCTTCATGTTTTGGGTTGCTTATTTCTACCATAAAGGGGAAGTACCCACAACATAAAGAATCATTTTTTGTGCTTTGAACAATTTGTTATCTTTAATTCAATGTGTATTTGGATATTTAATTCACAATCTCCTTGGGTATCAATTTTGATGTTTGAGACAGTATCACTCTTGAGAGGTAATAAGAAAATCATAACCTTTTTTGATAAAATGACCAGAGGAATTATCTCCCTTAATTGCGATGAAATATATTGTTATATATAATCTTTGAGAACTGAAAGATGTAATGAGAAACGGTATTGGATATTCCCAGTTTGACCACATTATGTGTGTGGTATATAAAGTGGTTAATTGGTAACATCATTTATGAAAATTGTATGTGTTGGGACCACACGTAAAATTTAAGGGATTCCCTCTCCCCCACCATAACTCATCCTCACACAAAAGTTCAAAAGAATGGAGATGAAGAAAACAGAACATGAAAAGGAAGGATGTTACAATCTTAAATTTTCATCTTCGAGTCATCAACTTCGTCTGTGGATTTTCTCCGGCATTTCTCGTGGTCTTGTGAAGCTTTTCTGTTGATTGAAGGTCACTGTGGTCCACAAGGTCCACCACAGTGGATCGAATGTGCATGGAACTTTATTATTTTTGTTTTTTCAAAAACCTACATTGCTTCACACGAAACCCTTTAGTCTTTTGATTGGCGAAGTTGTGTTGAAACTTGGAAACAATCTTGAATGAAAATCCAAAAAACAATTAATAGTTGTTTTTACAAGCTGAAGCTGCACTCATATATGTCAATTTCCATCTATGAATTTCAAATAAAAAAGAGTTTTTATATGTTTTAGACATGGATACCATACCTCTGTCTTTCTTTCTTTCCCTAAGGTTTTCACTTCTTTTTTTCTTCTCCATTCTGCTGCCATAACTCTGAGTTAAGACATATATCATAAGAGATATAATGTATATAACTCTGAGGTGAATGCATTCCCACACACACTTGTCAATCTTCTTAAATTTGTAACTTGGTGTTAGTTAGTTTACGGATTTCATATTGTTTGGTGTACTAGAGTTACACATGATTCATGAACCAAGCTACTTTAAGACATTTTATGGACCACTGTTAAAGAGGACCACTGATTCAAGGACTACACTCTCAAACTCCGTTAACCTTTGTCTGTGGGGGACCAATTCTGGCGACATTGACTTTTCTGTAAGCCAAGCTTTTTTCTAGAATTGCATTGCCAATTTTGTTTCTATCTAACTCAGATTCAATGGCCTAGCTAGGCCATAATTTTGTTCTTAACATAGCTTGCTTTAACTAGAACAACAAAAAATAATCCTACATAGATTTGCTTCAACTTAGCCTCAGTTTTCTGTTCTATTTTTGGGGCCAAGTACAACAACTACTTGATATTAAGTGAGAAACCCCAAGTGTCACCATAGATCTTTGTTGGTGTGATGGATGAACATGTTTTCTTTGGACCTCAAGAACTCTCTTTCCTTTCCTCAACTCTCATGTATCTTCCTTTTAATTGAATGAGGTCATTAATTGTCAAGTCTAGGAACACTTAATGAGCATTTATATTTAATTTGCTCCTTACACATCCTTTTCACTCCCAATCCATGAATCTCTCTATCCATCTCTCTTTTTATTGAACGCATTGGTGAGAGTGACAAGAATGTCATTGCAGTCAAGTTGACAGTAAGTTCTGGAATAATCAGAAACCTTATTGTCTAAATAAACCAATTTGTTGCTAATGCCATTGGACATTCTCATGAACAACAAAATGGGTAGGTAAAAAAATTATAAATGAATCCTCTAAAGTAAAGTTAAAGTAACAAAAAAGTAAATATTAATCATAGATTTCACAAATGTATTTGCATGTAAGGTGATGGTTTTTCTACTTATATATTAAATAATAAAACTATCCTTTTAATTAATGTTATTGGTAATTAAACACATTGCATGACTGTGTAATTCATTATATATGTTTTTTTAAGAAATGTGGTTGGATTATTTTTTAAATAAAAAAAATGTTACTAAAAAAGAAGATGTACCAAAAAGAGGAACAATAAAATGATTAATGATCTAAAGCTACTGGGCCTCTGTAAGTTAAATAAGTGGGCCTATAATCACTGGTGTAAAACATGGGTTGGAAAAGGAGAGGAAGCCCAATGATTGCACTGTATTTAAAAGGGAGCTGTGCTTCTTGGAGTTTCGATGTCATTAAACCCTAATTGGCTTCGCTGTTACCTTCAGTTAGCGATCGTTGCGAGATTGAGATTTGAATTTTTCCTTTCTGTTTTCACTTCTTCTTCATTGCAAGCGATGTTTTACTATCTTTTGTATTAATTGAATTAGATTATGAAATTGGGAAAGGAACTAAGGTTTTTTCTGGTTTTGTAAGGTGTAAATTATTTTTTGAGAAGTAGCTGGTGATGAAAGTATATTGGCATGAGCTGCGACAACACTTTTGCGCAGTGTTAGTTTTTCTACACGGTTGTCGTTTCGATGATGAATGTGCCAAAATGCTAATCTGAAGCTCCTCTTTTCATTCTAGATATTTATTCTCTGCGATATTGATTTATGGTTCGCGACTTACAATTCATTTCTCATTCTCAGTGAATTGGGTGGAATTTTGAAATGCCTTTTTTAAATCTTAAATGAAAAGTATTTTCACAAAAAAAGAAAAGGTGTCATATCTTCGAAAAATATGTCAAAGCCTTTTGTTTTCGCCCTTTCAGTTAAGACTTGAGCCTGACACTAATTCATTACCTGGATGGATTTGACACAATCTCAAGAACACTACCAGTAAGAGTGTCAATTGTATTCAGGTTAGACAAACATTAAAAGTTATTCTTAAACGCAACTTTGTTGGTTACAATTGTGACTTATGCAGGTTCTAATGAATGAAAAAAATGGACGGAGTGAAGTAATGACTACTGTTTAGTAACAAATTATTTTCTAAAATTTTGAAGAAAGTGGAGTTAAAAAACCATCCCAATATTTTTTCTAAAGATTTCATTTTATACATTTGGTTTATTTGTTGTCATTTACAATAAATTTTTTTATCGTAGTATGAATTATTTGGCTTTTGATAACAAAAACTTGGATTATTGTTGGTCATCGAAACCAGTTGTGTTTCAAGATTATTATTATTTGTATATCTTGTTTTAAACTTCTTATAAAAGAAAAATCAACTAACAAAAACATGCATATTACGTCAATAAAAATCTTATGTCAAGCAAAGTCGTCTTCATTATCAAATACAATTCTACAAGCTCAGTTCATTAATTTGGTTGCATGTTGCTTTGAGTTCCTAGAAATCAAATTTTTGTATATTTTTTGGAGAGATTAAATAGATATAGACTTTAGACAAAAGGATAAATTCTACTCACATTTAAAACATCCAACTTAGAGGATTTGAAATGCTTTCATTAGTAGAGAAACTATAGGGACGAAAATCACAACTTAAAAAACTTTTTAATAAGTTTTTGTATTTTAAGGACTAGATAAGATAGATAATAACACTAAGATAACCAAATTGATAGTTATTTTGTTTTGTTTGATTTGTAGATTTGAAAGGTAGGTAAGAATGACATTGACTTACAGTTTGGAATTATAGTTTGATATTTGTTGGCAAAATCATGCTGATTGGTAAAGCACGCACTTCTTTCACTTAGACAAGAAGGAAAGTTGTTGAATGCCGCTTCCTCTAAATAGGAGCCACCTTTGTGGCTTTGTCTTCACAACCATAGATCAGGAAGAATAGGTTTCGTCTCAAATTTCAATTTCTGTTGCCTTCATCGCTGTGCCAGAGTTGTTTCTCCCTGCCTCTCCAAGCTGTGGGGTTGTAAAAGGGTAGCCACTTAACATGGGACCTGGCGGACCAGGGGGTCCTGGGCCTGGGGGTGGGGGTGGGCCTGGTGGCCCTGGTTGGGGCCCAGGCCCTGGTGGCCCTGGATGGGGTCCTGGCCCTGGTGGACCTGGTTGGGGTCCGGGCCCTGGTGGCCCCGGTTGGGGTCCGGGCCCTGGTGGCCCTGGTTGGGGTCCTGGAGGACCGGGCTTCTTTGGGCCTGGTGGGTTTTTTGGTGGGTGTGCTGATGGTATATGCGGCCTTTTATCTTCATGGTAAGTAGCATTATTTATAAAAAAAGATGGTGGATAACATATTGATAAAACTAAGATAGTGTTCATTAATAAATGAATAATGCTTTCACGTTGGAGCCTATTTATAGTTCTAAATTATAATTCATGGTGACTGGGAAATGCAGCTTCTACTGCTTGTGCTGTTGTTGGTTGTTCCAAGATTGTTTCTTCGGGCGACGCGGCCCAGGCCCAGGCATGCCGCCTCCATATTGACAAGAAGCCCACGAATTTGTCGAGCTATGTCCATTCTTCATTTATGGGGTTGTGTTATTGTCTTTCATATCAAGTTTTATGCCTTCGGCTATCTTGAGAAGCTACTTTTTTTATCTTCTGTAATATGATGTGAGGCATTCAGACTATTGCTACTATCATGTCTTACCCATAATATATCTATAACTTCATTATTATTTAAGAGTTTTGGTCAATGAGCATGATTTTGAAGTCTTTGCTTTGAATGTTCAGAAAGATTTTGAAGCCATTTTCACTTAAATTTTGTTCTTCCAATATATATATATATATATATATATATATATATATATATATATATATATATATATATATCTTGAATTTAATAAATGATAGGAATTTTTCATAGATCTAATCTAATTACAAGTTATTATATACTATTATAATATTTATTTTAAAAATAGTTTTAAAGATGTTTTGTAATTACTTTAACGTATATTAATAATACATCTTTTTTTTGCCACTAATTCACTTGTTAATAGAAATCTGTATAGTAACTAATTTAGGATTGTTACATTTGTGTTTTTTTTTTTTTTTTGGAAACAACTAATCTAGCATCCACGAAAATTAAAGGACCACCTTTGATAAATTTATGCATTCTAAAAAATTGGGTTAGAAAAACCATAAAACACGTCTTTAAGTTAAAGAGTGAATGAATATTAAAAATAATATATTTTAAAATAAAAATTATTCATAGAATATGTATGAATTTTTTTATTTAATAGATATATTTATTATTTATATATAATTTTTTTTCTATCTTACTTCACTTATTTTTCTCTAAATATTAAAATTAAAAAAATATTAATTAATTATTTAAAATTATGATGATAATAAATAATTTTATTTATGATCACATAAATAATTAGTTTAAAATTATTTTATCATGACAAATAATTATTCTTCTAATTAAAAAATATTAAATATTTATAAATTAAATATATTTTTTATTTAATAATTATATATAATTATAATAATCTTTAATTATGATAATTAATTAGATTAATAATTTTAAAAAATATTTATTAAAAAATACTTTAAAATATTTAATTTTTTTCTAAACAATTATAATATAACAATAATAATGTTTTGTAACATCTCAAATTTATTATATGATATTTTTTAAAATATAATATATTAAAATATAGTATTTCTAAATAATTTAAATAATTTTATTTTTCAATAATAAAAAATACTCATGTTATCAAATTTGAATCTATTATTTTTAATTTAATAATAAGATGGAGTGAGAAAAAAAACAGGAGAAAGAAAAAAAACGTAAGTGAAGAAGGAGAAAAAAAGAAAAAAAAAATCTGTATTATTATAGATGAATTTTTTTATTGAATCTTATGTATGAATAATAAACTGATTTTATTAGATAAATAAATCCATAAAAATTTTATGTAAGTAATAAAAAAAATGCACAAAGATTTTATGTAATTAATTATTTTTAAAAAATATATTATTTATGATATTGATTGTTAAAAGTATAGTAAATTATAAAGATATTTTTTTCATTTTATTTTTAAATTATACTTATATTATCTGTTTTTTTTAATGATTAGAGATGGACGTAATAACGGTTGTATTTTGATAATAATAATAATAATAATAATAATAATAATAATAATAATAATAATTTGATTATAATAATTTGATTATAATAAAATATTTGAAGTGTATTTTGGTTTGAAACTTTCAATATAAAAAATAATTATATGTTTGATGATTAAGATTTCTTTAACTTTAAATTGATTTAAAATATTAATATTTTTTACTTTAAGCTAACCTTCAAGTTTGTCCAGTTTCTGATCGTTGCATTATTAATTTTTATTTTATTTTCAATATTAGGTAACTGCACGCGCTCACGTTTCTACAAATTCACTTCCATGCATTTTCGAAAAATGATTTAATATTCATAATTGTACACAAATAAGTACTAATTACAAGATATTATTCATTTGTAATACACAAAATGATGGTCTACTCAGATTTAATTATTTATGATTAAACCATCTTCGTGATTAAAAAAAAAACTAAAACGTAAGTAGTGGAAATTTGGGCTTTGAACCCGAGTCAGTGTTATTAGGCCAAGGCGAGGAAAGAGCCCAGACACATCGGAGATTTTGATAGGTGATAACGACACTCTCTGTCCCATTTTAGTGGACGCTGCTACAGCCACATAACAGAACAGAGCCAAACAAAGAAGGGAAATTAGGTATCTTTCTTCTTTCTTATTTCGCAATTTATTTATGTAATGGGGATTCTAAAGTTTGAGTCTTTTGTTCGTTTGCTGCATTTTAATATACTAGGGTAACCTCAAATATCCAAGTTATTGTACTTCTAACTCATGTCTTTGTTAATTACTCCTTTTCTTCCGTTTTATATGTGGTCTCTTGTTTTTCTCTCACTTTTTTTCACTTTTTTTTTTTAATTAAACTGCTGTATTACAATATGTTAATGTAAATATTTTAAAATTAATATTAAAACTAAAAAATATATTAACTAATTATTTAAAATTATGATGACAGTAAATAATTTTATAATAAATAATTTTATTTAAGGTGACATATATAATTAAAATTATTTTATCAAACTCATCTAATTAAAAAAATTAAATATTTATGAGTTAAATATATTTTTTACTTGATAATTTAATCTAATTATAATTATGTTAAGTTATGATAATTTTAATAAGATATTTATTTAAAAAATTGTTAGAAAAATATTTATTTTTTCTTAATAATGATAAAGTAAGAATAATATTTGTGATATCTCAAATTTATTATATAATATTTTTTTAAAATATAATATATTAATTGATAGTATTTTGAAATCATTTAAAATTTTTATTTTTAAAAAAATATTAGACAATTAATTTTATCAATTTTTAATTTATTATTTTTAATTAAAAAATAAAATAGAATAAAAAAGAAAGAAAAAAATACTAAAAGAAGACACGGAAAAGAAAAATAATAATATACAAATGAAGAAAAATAAATAAATAAATGAAAAAAAATAAGTAAATAATTGAGAAAAAACTAGTTTATTTTAGACGAATTTATTTGTACTTAAAATTTTATACATAAGTGGATGGATAAATAAAATTAAGAAATTTATTTAAGTAATTTGTTTAAAATATATTATTTATGAAATATAATCGTATTTTACATATTTTATTTATATTCTCAGTTGTTTCCATTATGATAGATTTTATTTACAATAAAGATAGGCGTAATATATTTGAAAGAGTGAAGTATTTAACTATTTAACGGTACCCTAAAAGCACTTACTGATTGGTAATTTTTTTTTACATGTTAATCCCTAAATAAATTTTCTTTGATAAATCAGTGTTTTTTGGTTATGGATGAACTAGTAAAAGTCTAAATATACATTTTAAGTAATATATTAACACCTTTCTCAACATCCAAGTTACTAATAAAATAATAAATACGTACGATTTAATGTTTAAATTTATTGAAGAACCTGTTAATGTTGAGTCTGATATATAAACCATAATTGAAAAGAAGAAGAAGAAGAAGAAGAGAGATTAGGTTATAAGAGATTGAAGAGTTATACATTGAGGATCAACATGATGAAATAAAGAAAAAGTTTTTTTTTTTTTTTTTCAATCAGCATTAAGAAGGGGTTAAATTGTGTGTGGCCAAGTTTGACCAAAACTGGGAAAAAACGTTCAGAAAGAAAAAAAAAAGTTATTAACAATCAGTTTCTGACCGTTGCAGCATAAACTTTTGTTTTGTTTTCCAATTGGTAACTGCACACGCTCCGTCACGTTTCTAATTCTAGTTCATGGTCACACGCCAGATCTACAAACCCAGTTCTATGCATAATTATACACAAATAAACATAATTAGAAGTAATTATTCATTTATTATACACGCATGATGGTCTAATCATATCAGATTTATTGGACAAATCATAAGTATAAGCTTGATTATGATTAAACCATCTTTATCATTTGAAAAAGCGTTAGCGGAAACTTTTGTTTTGAACCCGAGTCCGTGTTATTGGGCCAAGGCGAGGATTGGGCCCAGACATTTATTACACGTGGGAGAATGTGATAGGTGGAGGGAGGGTTGAGAATGAGACAAAAAAATTCAAAAATGAGAATGAACATAGCATTTATGTTCAACACTCCCTCTCTATGACACTTGAGTGGCCGCTACTCCATCAAAGTCACAGCGCAGAGCCAAACAAAGATTCAGATTTGAGAGTGTGAGGCTCTTGAGAAGGGAAATCAGGTACCTTTCTTCTTTCTCCTTTTCCAAATTCATTTGTGTATTGGACATTCTAAAGTTTGAGTCTTTTGTCCCTTTGCTGATGGTTTGCTGCATTTGAATCTGCTGGGATAACCTCAAATATCCAAGGGATTGTATTTGTTCCTCATTCTCTCTCTCTCTCTCTCTCTCTCTCTCTCTGCTTTTATCTCTCTTGACGTTTTGTTCATGTCTCTCTGTTGATTTTATTTTTTTGCCCTCTTTATCTGGTTTCATATTAGTTTTGGCGCTTTGAAAGTTGAACGTTTACCATTAAAGAACTCACTAATAAGACGATTATAATAATTTGTGCGAGGGAGTGACAGTTTTTATGAGTGGCTTTTAAGGTTATGTTGATTATTAATTGTTATTCAAATCCTACAGAAGTATCTTATCCGGTGATTCTGTTCCTTGGTGTTTTACATTCTTATCTTATCACGAAGTATTTTTTTTAGCGTGTAGTAGATTTTTTTTGCTTTTAGTTTATGCAATTTTTGTTAGGGGGACAAGGTTCTTTATTTTTCTATTTTTGTGTGCTCTTTTTTCCATACATAGGTTTTTGGTGGAATAACGTGGAGAAGAACAATGAAGAAGGAGAATATGGCTGAGAACATGAAGAATCAACCTTCACTGTGGTGGTGGCTTGATAGCCACATTACTACTAATCGATCCCCATGGCTTCAATCCACTCTCTCTGGTATGAATTGCATTATCAGTTTGTTACATTTTTGTTTTTCTGTTGCCAAGTGATAATTTACCGTGGTAGTTGGAAACGAGGAACACTAGAACAAAAGCATAAAAAGGTTATGGGGGCACCCTTATGATTTATCTTAGTGTTACTTTACAAGTTCTTTATCTTCTATACCTTTTGCCCTGTGGATTTAGCCGTTGGAGCAACCTATGGGAACTTTTTGTGCATATTCTTCTTATTTTGGATTTGCTAACATCTCTAATAATTAAGAGCATCTCCATTGTTGTACATAAAGTCAAGTTAATTCATTTTAGTGGGTCCTGTCATACCATATAGATTTAAACTTTTAAAAAAGCTTGTACTTTAATGTTGAAATATTGAAAGAACTTTTCTTTTTTAATAATCAGAATATCTTATTTATATGAACCATACTTGGTATAATTCATTAAGAAAATTTAATTTCTTAACTAATATTCTCGTTACACTAGCTTATAATTATTGAATGAGAGATAAAGGTTATAATAGGAAATCAGTATACACTTTCAATAAAATAAATAATATTTATTATACTCTTAATAAATGTTCATGACAAAAATTGTGTGAAGAAATGAAGGGAGTTTTTTTTTTTTCAATGGTCAATATTTCATTGTTTAGTATCTTTGGAAGATGTAAAAACAGAGTGATTAGTTCAACAAAACAAGTTTATCTTAAATGGCAATAAATTTATATGTGATTATCTGTTGCAGAGCTAAATGAGAAGACAAGGGCAATGCTAAAGTTGATTGAAGAAGATGCAGATTCCTTTGCCAAACGTGCAGAGATGTATTACAAGAAGCGACCAGAGCTTGTGAGCATGGTTGAGGATTTATACAGGACACACCGCTCCTTAGCTGAGCGCTATGATCAAGTCAAACCTGATACTACTGGAATTGGACACATCGTTACTGGGGGGTCACCTTTTGCCGCAGCCAAGTATCAGATAGAGAAGTTGATGACTTTTTCAGATACTGGATACGACACCTATTCTGAGCATTGTGATGTGTACGAGTCTGAGGAATCTGAAGTTGATGATCCTGAGCAGGAGGATGAAGAAGAGGAAGAGGGGACCGACTTTCTTCACAATTGCACACAAAAGGAGCAAGCTTCATTATTGGTTGTGAGTGATGAAGTGATGAAGCTTAGGGATGAAGTCAGGAGACTCAATGAAGAGAACAAGGATCATAGGGATCAAATCAAGGAGAAGAATACCATCTGTGATGAAGTGATGATGTTGAGGGAAGAAATAGAAAGGCTTAGAGATGAGAATGAGACACAGAAGGAACAACTCAAACAGAAGGATGAAGCGAAGATAGAGGTGATAAGACAATTGAGCTTAGCAATAGATGTTCTGAAGCAAGAGAATGTGAAGATGAGAAACTTCATTGCTAAGGAGTCTACCAACAAATGGAAGAAACCATTTGATGAGATCAACAAACTTGTGGGAGAATTTTCGATGAAATTGTTCAATGGTGCTCCGAAGAATCAGCCCAGCGTTGAGCTCTCCAGATGTGGTTTAAAAAGTTTTGCAAATAATTGATTACGTTCAAAAATCTTACGAAGATGTTTATATTTATGTTAGGAACTTAGTACCCAAACATCCTAGGCTTAAAATCTTCATATATTTTGTTCCTTGGTATTGTACCCACCCTAGTGTTGAGTACTTGGTCATATTCATTATATTCTTTTATATGTCTTTTCTTTAGTGAGTTGTATTCATTACATGCAGTCCACCCGAATTACCATCTGTCATTTGCAATCTTCTCTCTTTCCTAATACGAAGTGATTTTTGGTCCTAAGAATAACCATCAGAGTGATCTGTGGTCGTCTTTAATTCGATCAATGTTCCAAAGTTAATATAGGTTGGTGATGACAATGGAAGGAATTCTGTGTCTCAATCTGTGGTGGGAAAATTTCTCAGCTTTTAATCTGTGGTTCCAAAGTTAATCCTTTTTTTGTTGAGAATGAAAGATAGAGTTGTCTTTTTGAGTATTTAACACAGAATTATACATTGAATTTGAACTCAAAATTGAACTCAACTACTAATTTTTGAGATGTAATGCCAACAATGATCAAGCACAACCTAATCGTAAATGTTGAAATAGTATGCATGTAGGAACACAACTACACAAATAGAAACACCAACATCAATGCATTCATTCACAACCATAACACATGAAGCAACATTATGCAAATTACAAGTAAAATCAAGCATGAAATCGAGTACAAGGGTTGATATGTACACTGAGAAGCTGGACCCTTAGATGGCAAAAGATTCAGTACAGTGCCTGGAGTGCCCCAGCCATCTGGGTTGGGGGGGCTCGGGCTTGAAGGAATTGTGGGCAGTGAGGAATACGATGGAGAATGAGAAACACCACCTGCAACTGGGGTGGGAAAAAGTGGCTCAATATCTGGTGATTGAGTTGGAGACACTAGAGGATCACTTGCTGGTGCTTCTGAGGTGGTGGAAACTTGTTGAGAACTAGAGGAAGCCAGGGCTAAAGAACAATTAGATGCCATCATGGCCATCAACATTGCCGAGATTGACCAAAAGGGAGCCATAAATGATGATAGAATAAATATATTCCCTTGTGATGAACTTTAATAAATATATCTTGATGAGAAAGAGAAAACTGTTTCAGGAGAAGCTGCGAAAGGGCATGATTGATGCATAGAACAACATGAAAAGAATATTGTTTTTGGACGAGAAGATAAGCACACCTAATTTTTTTTTGCTTTGTATATCAAGTATTTTTAAAAAGTGTAGCATCCTACAAATACAAATGATGGTGAACTTCCAAATGTCAGTGATAATTGATGATTGGGGCCTACTTCTTACTTTCCATGCCATATAAATGAAAATCAAAAAGAGGGATAAAAAGTTAATCCAATGGGAATTGAGGAGAAAACAAAGGAATACTAAGACATAAAGTAACCCAAATTTTGCTGTTAACTCAACCTTTTTCTTTGTTTTAGGCTTGACTTTTTTGTTTCAGCATTTATTTGAACCTACGTTCTTTGTTGAATGTTTGGATTCACCTTTCAGTGTTTCTCCAAATCTTCAAACTTATGTAAAATAGATGTTAAATAGTTTCATATAATATTTAACTATATGAAAAATAAATAATAAGGAAGGAATTTGGCTCAGAAACAATATTCATGTAAGATTTTGACATTTAGTAGAACATACCCAATGACAGAACAAGACAACTATCCACGTAGTAAACAAAAAACATCATTAATAAGAGAGGAAAAAAGAAAAAGAATTGAATCCTAAAAATCTCTTTCCATAACAGAAGTCACGAAAAAGTCCAGGCCCAAAAAATTAAGAACAAAAATTTCGACAAAAATAGACATTAGATTGGGCCATAACCATGACACTCTCTTATCCCATAGCATGGTGCCTTCTAGTTGCAGTTTCTTCTCAATTTCTTTGTTTTCTTTCGTATATCCAAGATTGTGGTCTTCTGTCATGCTTTCTCTGACCTACAATCCTCTCTCACAATTCAAAATCACTCATTGTCAATTTCAATTCCCATGACAATTTTCATAAATTTCAAGTCTGTCAAAGAAGAAAGTAAAAAAAAAAAAAAGTTAAATCAATCCATATTAACACACAAAATAAAATAAAAACTATGGTTTAAAATGTTCTGTATCAATCAGTTTAAAAAATGTATACATGTTTTAAGCAAACAATATTCATACTCCAATCCAATATTTATTCAGAAGATATTGATTATTAAATAGAAGTTATCAAACTTCTCAAAATATTATATACAGAGTATTTATAATACAATGTCTTTAATTTATTATTATTATGATATATATATATATATATATATATATATATATTATTTTAAATGCTGATAAAAAAACGAATTAAACTTTCATGCGTTCAATATTTCTCATGACCAACTCTAGATATATAAACTAAAAACTTTTATTCATTCTTTAATCTCCATCCAACATCTTTCTACATCATGTTAATAAGACCAAGTACAAGATTCATTTATTTAGATATAATTTGTGTTATATACTCTCTTTTTTTCACAAATATAAAAGATTTTAAAAAGTGATTAAGTAGAAAATAAATAAACTCACATATTGTATTAATATAAAATAAAAATATATTATTTTATAAATTTATCATTTTTTTTAAATAGTTATTCATTATCATATAATTTTAATTTTTCTAGAGGAAGATAAATATTAAAGTTAATATATAAATCAGTAAAGTAAGTAGAGTAAGTAGATATATTTTATATTTTTTATAATAGATGTTATTTTATTATTTTATAAAAATTAAATTTTATAATAGAAAGTAATTTATAAAATATATTTTCATTTGAAAATATTAATTTAAAAAAATATTAAAAAATTGTAATTATATAAATGTTTATTTTTGGTTTTTTATTTATTATTTTATAAATAAATATTTTCCTTTTTCTTCATGTAATTTTCTTTGAAAATAAAAATGTAATTTTTAATTATTTATTTATTTTTTCATTTCTATAAAAAAATATATATTAAATATTTGTTAAAAATATTAAGTCCTTTCTATTAAATATATTAGGTTTATTTGTTTTGCATTCATTAATTCACTCTCTCTCCGTTGTCCTAAACAGAAACCCAACTACCGAACAAAGAAACAGTCAAGGAGTTGAAAAATATAACTCCATTGTTTGTTGTCCTTATAAAACTGTTTTGAGTCTTTTAAATAATTAATAAATTTCTTTAACTAATTAAATATTACATTTGTTGAAAAGTTATAGTGTATTCTAAATTTTTAACAAATATTCTTGTAAATTTTTATTTATTTAATACGAATTCACAATTTATAAGAAAGGTAATTACTGTAATGCACAAATTATAAAATAAGTCTATGAAATAAGTCTATGAAAGAGGATCAAGACAATTTGCTTAAAAAATATCAAACATAATTTATTTCTAATTTTTGTTTTCTCTTTCTAATAAATATATATATAATTTTACCTATTTTACTTATCCTATTATGAAATGAATGAAAAAATTTAAAAGAAACTGTGTTAATCTATCTCGAGAGTTATGTCGAGATTTTTTTATTATTCTAATTAACTCAATCGACTGATTATTAGATAAATATATTTTTTTTCTAATTGAGTTGATAATCAAACCAACAAGTGTTTTCAAATAGTTGATCAATAATTACAATAATGAAATTCAGATTAATCATATAATTTAATTAAAAATTTAAAAATATTAAATTATTAATTTTTCATTTATCTAACATTTTTATTTTTATTGATATGAGATTTTAAACTAATATTTTGAGAGAAATTGAATTAATCACGATGTTTAAATATAAATATAAAGTAAAATTGATGAATATTTAAAAAATTTAAATTAAAAATAATATTATATGGTCGAAAGGTTAATTTTTAACCCTTGAAAACCCAACGGATAGAAACCTTGGCATGCAGGGAGCATCGAGATTGCTTCACTTTTTAGGTATTGAGTTGCTTATAAAGGAGCGAGTGAAGTTGCTTTTAGTTACTAGCATGCTCTGGAGGAGACACTTGCTTTCATGCTAACTTTTTTAGCTGTCAACATTCTTAATTATTGGTGTCTGGTTAAGAAGAAGATATCAACCAGTGAAAACAAAAAGTTTCTGAAACTCCCTTCAAAGTTAGTCGTGTATGAGGACCATGGGAAGTGTAGTTTATGCCGCGTAAATGTATTCACTCAATGTGTTTAGGCTTTGTGGCCATAGACCATGCACGTTACGTTGTTCAAACACAGAATTTTCCACTTTGGTTGGTGGATCAATTGAATGGAATTAAATCTGTACACTCTTCATTATGGATAATCAAAACTACTCTCTTCTTTTCTTTAGGTACCTACTACCTTCTTCATTTATTAGTTTTTTTTAATATATAAATAAATAAAATAAGAACAATATGTTATATAAAAAAATAACAAAAACTAGTAATAAAATTTGTTCAATCCTAAAAATATGGGTGTTCGGACTAAGAGGTTAGATCAATAACAATATTTAAATTTCAACTCAAGTTTTTTTTATGAATATATAAAGAAAATTTTATTTATGAAATTTTTTGGATAGTTAAATCAGGTGAAGAATAAAAAAAATGTAAAAAAATGTATATAAATAACGCAAATACATACAAGCAATTAAATATGTTATTTTAAAATATTATTTTTACTTTTAATTAAATATTTTAATAAATATTGTTCCGATTAATTATTATATTCAATCATTTATTTCTTTTGAAAAATAAAATTGAATTTATTAAATTTTTATTTTTTTAAATATTTTATAATATATTAAAATATCTTTAAAAATAAACTTATAATAAAAAATTAAAAGATTTAAGACCAGATATTTGATTCTGAATACATAAACCCTTCACTCCTTGTTTGAAATAAGGATGTCATGAAAAATGGAAATATATAAGTCGATTTATATCATCTGAACAAATTATTTACTCTAACCTGTTCTATAAAAAGGTGAACTGACATGCTAGAGGTTAGTCCGCAAATATTTTGTTATATATATATATATATATATATATTTAAAAATACATCTTTAATTATATTAATTATTTTTTAAAATTTATTTATTAGTTATATTTTTATTAAATAAATTGTAAAAAATTATTATATTTATGAATTAAAATAATTATAATTAATAATTTAAATTTACTTCATTAATATTAATAATTTAAATTATAATATTATAATATATTTATCTATTTTAATAATATTTCACAATAAAATTTTAATATTTTTAATTATAATATATAAATATTTTTTAAAATAAATTAATAAATTAAGTTCTCTCGTTCCATTTTGACTTGTCAAGTTAACATGTTAGATAAAATAAATCATAATAAATTGACAAATTAAATTATGAACCTATCTTATACTAGTCTATTAGGTGTAACTCCTTTTATCATGTTTTATAATTACCCATAAAGTTTTTTATTTTTTTATTTTATATATAAAAATACCTTATAATTTTTTTAATGAAATATTGAACCCCTCACATTTTAAGTCTTGTCTCGTGCATATAATTTGTAGATATGGTATCATTTAAGACTCAATCTCAATATATAATTTATATATATATATATATATTTCTTTTCTTAATTAATTTTATTTAATGATAAAATAGACTAATATGTAAACTTTAATGATATTAATATTAAATATTTTATTTGATATATATCAAATGTATGATACACAAACCGATATAAAGTAAAAAAATTAATGTTGTGAAAATAGAAATAATTAATCTATTCAAGAATATAATTAGTAACCCAACTCATGTTGCGAAAATAATTGAAGTTTAAGAATTAATATACGTTATCAACATTTTTTTTTTATATAAAAGTAAATAATCAAAACCAAGTAGAATTGACATAATGAGGAAAATGTTAAGATAGTTTGACACTGTCACGTTCATTTTCGTTATTATTCTACACAAATAAAAACAAACATATATTGCTTTTAGTAAAATAGCAAATAAATGTACTTTGTATATATTCGTGTTTCAACTCTTTTGGACTTTATTGGTTATAACTATCGGATCAATAGTAACTATATAATTAATCTGGATTTTTCAAATTGGGCCACATTACTTTTATTTTGTTTTTATCTTATTTTCAACTTGAGAAAGCTACGTGATAATTTCCTAAAATTCAAACCACAACTTACGTTTCCCAGAAGCAAACGTGTTTATAATTTATTTCTTTACTTGGAAGATAACTTGATTAGGGATAGCCATGCTCAATGCACTACTCTTCTAAATTCTAATAATTGAAAGCATAAATAAGCAATTCTTATTACATTAATAGTCGCACAGATTAAGTATTAAATGTAATATTTTTTTATTCATTTTTAAGTATCTAATTTTTGTTTTCTTTGAAAAAATATAAGAAATTTATTAGGAGATGAAGTTTTTAATTAAAGTTATTTAAAAATAAAATAAAATATTTTATTATAAGTCTCACCGATTAAAATATAATAAGATTTACTTATTTAAATAATTTTATTTTAATTTTATGCAATTATCTTTATTTTTAAACATCTTAAATATCAGATTTCCAATAAAATATTTATTTTTATTTTTTTATTTTTAAATCTCTTAATTATAAAATCTACAATAAAATATTCATTTTTATTTTTAAATAATATTAGAAACTCTCATTTAATATGCTCTTAAAACATCTGATAGAAAGTTTCTTAAAATTAAAACATACTTAAATATACAAGTCTAACCATATTCTAAGCAAATGAATTCTGAAACCGATATTATTAAGCAACTCTCGTTAAAAAGTAACTGTAGTTATCAAAAAGTAGGTCATAAAGAGTATCTTCAAATGATGCAGATACTTTCAGAAATTCAGAACCACACCTCTTGCTCTTTCTCTCTCTCTCTCTATATATATCTTGTATTGGTTTGGTAGATCGAACCAGAGAGGAGGTGGCAGAAATAACTATAAGATCGGAAAGAAAGAATCAGAATGAAGAAGGAAGAGAAAGTGCAGAGAGTGATAATCGTCGGAGCAGGCCCTTCAGGTCTCTCCGCCGCCGCATGTTTCACGAAGCATTCAATTCCGTACATAATCCTTGAGAGAGAAGATTGTTTCGCTTCTCTCTGGAAGAAATACTCCTACGACCGTCTCCACCTGCACCTCAGAAAGCAGTTCTGCCAGCTTCCCCACAAGCCATTCCCACCCTCTTTCCCTCCCTACGTTCCCAAGAACCAGTTCCTCCAGTACCTCGACGACTACGTCTCCCACTTCGCCATCGCACCGCTCTATCGGAGGACGGTGGAGCTCGCCCAGTACGACGCCTCCAGCTGCCGCTGGAGGGTGGAGGCCCGGAACGGGGACTCCGGCGAGGTGGAGGAGTACTGCGGAAGGTTCCTGGTGGTTGCTACTGGGGAAACTAGCGACCCTTTTGTGCCGGAGGTGGAAGGGTTGAGTAGCTTCCCTGGGAAGGTGATCCATTCCACCGGGTTTGCGTCTGGGAAGGAGTTCAAAGATGAGCATGTTCTTGTTGTCGGGTCTGGGAATTCTGGCATGGAAATCGCCTTGGACCTTGTCAACCATGGTGCCAAAACCTCCATTCTCGTCCGAAGCCCGGTAATATTCTAACAATTTATTCGTATATTCATCGTCTTATGTTTCTGCAGGATTAAGGTTAAGCAAGTTTATTGTATGACTGCATGTTTTAATATATCAGATTATGCTTCATTAGCCTCCTTTCACAAAGAGGAAATAAATATTCTCTTACAAGGATTAGACCGCTAACTACATCTTTAAAATAAGGTTATGTATCCATCTTGTCACTATGTTATGTTTTTTCGTGAAGTTATTTAATAAGTTTGTTTGTTAGTGGACCTAATTAAAGCTTTAAGTTAGTATAGTTTGTTTAAAACAGTGAAGAGTAATTTTCATGACATAGCTAGTATATAAAGCGTTTTTCATAGCTTCTTATAATTTGACTTTTACGTGTTCTGGTATTAATATCTGTTATAATTGAAAAGAAAATTTAAAGTAGGCATAGGTTAAATTGTGATTATGGATTTGGTTAGATCTTTTGTTGACTTTAATAAACAATCAACTATGGTTTGCTTGTTACGCATTGTAATAGAGTGCAAATTATTGAATGATGGAAGAACAGGTTCATTTTCTGTCAAGGGAAATGGTGAGTTGGGGGTTGTTTCTGCAGAAGTATTTGTCGTTGAGCTTTGTGGACTCGTTGATGGTGATACTTAGCACCATGTTTTATGGTGATGTGACCAAATATGGAGTCAGAAGACCCAATGAGGGTCCCTTTTACATGAAGGTCAAGTATGGAAAGTATCCAGTTATTGACGTTGGAACCTATGAAAAAATCAAGTCTGGAGAATTGAAGGTACGTTTTTATGGATAGATTTAGCCTTTAGTTGGTTTAACATAGCTGTTTTCTTTAAAGCTCAATTAAAGCTTAAAACTGCAAAATATCTGCATGCATGTATGTTTTCGTTTTTGCTACTTTCATAGCCAGAATAAGAAAAAAATATATATTCTCAATTATCTAAGCCACATTACAAAAAAAAAACAAAACAAAGAGATAGACAGAAAAAGTGATGTAACAGATAGTGAATTAATTAAGAGTATGATTAGTAACTGTTTTTTTTTCTTTATCATATTAAAATCTTTGTTTATTAATTTAATGTTTATTTATTTATAATTTTATTAATGGAGATATGCTATTTATATTAATGAAATAAATTATAACAATATTTAACAAGTTTTAAACTTTGAATGAATTTTTAAAAATGATTATTTTAAAATGAAGTTAATTCTTGAAAATCACTAAGGAATTTAAATTTAACATTAATTAATTTTCAAATATAATTAATTTAATTAAACTTTATTGACATCAATAAACAGACAACTGTAAGAAGTCCAATCAGACCTAAAACTGACCAAACATAAATAGGCTCACCTATTTATTTTCCCGGAGATCATAATAACATTCTTTAAATTCTAACGTAATTTTCTTAACAAATATTTCTTATTTATTTAAATTTTATTAAAAACTATAAAATCATGGTAAAATTTATTAAATAAAAACGTAATTAACCTACAAAATATTGTATAATTTAATAAATTTCAGTCAATAATAAAACAACAAGGAAATATATTACCATCATTCAGTTTTCCTTTTATAATAGTTCTTTAAAGTTCATCAAATGCATTATCTTTCTCATATACAAAGTATATTACCATCATTTAAGTTTTTTTTTTTGTTCTTTATACAAATATATTATTTCATTTAGTATTTTTTTTACTGTTCTTTGATACGTATCAAATACATTCTTATACACTTTGTAAGGTGAACTTGCATTATTTGCTTGATAAAAGAAGAAATGAGTAGCTTAAAAGATTGATAGGAGGAACAAGGATTACATCACATGTTGTTCACTTATTTTATTATACAAAGTTGAATACCTAGTTGTACCATAATGTTTGTCTTTTTGTTACGTGAGTAAGCAGCATTCTATATACTGTGTGTTAAGTAGGTTTTGGCAGCAGAAATAGAAAGCGTGAGAGGCAAGGATGTCCTGTTCAAGAACGGTGAGTTGCACCCATTTGACTCCATTGTTTTCTGCACCGGCTTCAAGAGATCAACCAACAAGTGGCTCAAGGTTTCTGATTCAATCCAATAATATTACTCATCATTATTAGATTTGAGTTTAGAAACAATTGATAATAAGTAAAATCCGAGAATTGAAATAGAAGACTTTTCATTAACATTCTTCTTCAACAAATCTTATATAGTTGTGTCATTTTTCTGATACGACTTATATATTTATTTGTTCTCTCGATTATCGTTAATTTATTCAAACCTTTTTAATGATTTGAAATTGAAAATTGAATTATGTTTGTGATAGGGAGATGATTACCTTCTCAATGATGATGGTCTTCCAAAGCCCAGTTACCCCATCCATTGGAAAGGAAACAATGGTTTGTACTGTGTTGGCCTGTCAAGAAGAGGCTTCTATGGCGCTGGTGCAGATGCTCAAAATATAGCAAATCATATAAGCTCTTTCACGCAACCTTGAGAACAAACTATATCCGACACAACAGTTTTGTTTTGTTGTATCATGTTGTTTTTAAACATAATTATTGTCCCACATCATGATTTGGAACTTTGTCTTGCTTCTTCTTTAGCTCTCATTGGTCGTCGATAGGGGCACGAGTTTAATCTGGAGTAATAACGTGAGTTCATCACATTTTATAGATATTAATATTTGTTGCAATATTTTCTAACTTTCTTATTTTTAGTTGATTTTTCAGTTGTTACAGTCGTCTATAGTATTTATTTTCACACCAATAATTCCATATTTTATATACTTTATCTCCTCAAAAATATTTTTTTCTTTCTTAAAATTTAGTAACAATTATAAAATAATCACTTGTTAAGAATTACTAGTGTTTTCTTTTGTCGTTACTAATGTTTATAATATTAATCGAATTCTCCAACGAAAACAATCATGAATAAAGTTAATGGGTATTGTGTATATACTTCCGAAAACATGCTCTTTAATTTTACTCAAAATTTATAAAAATTAAAATTATTAATGGTTCTTTCTTTATTTAATTAGTCTTTTATGATTTTATAATTTAAAAAATTATATAAATAATAAAAACTGTGTTAGAAGAATTATGTCAAGGAATATATTTTATTAGTATTTCTTTTATTAAAATAATAAATGTTAAATAATGATCTTATATTTTGTTTTCCAGTTCTATTGTTTTTTGGTTTTCTTAACTGCATTGCATAATAATACTTGGGCTCAGCTCATTATGTCTTCTTTCTAATGGGCTAAGCCCAACTACTTGTCCGTGTCCATTATAATTTTGGACCATATTACCCAATACTACATGATAATAAATTACTAGTTCAATCCAATTAAATAAATTAAAAGGGATTATTAATAATCCAATGAGTTTGATTTCCATAATTATTTTTTAACCCACCTCATTTGTCTTGTATTCCTACTGAGATAACTATTGGGTAGTTGATAGATTAAATTCTCAAAACCATTTTTTTATAAAAAATGAAAAGAAGCTTTTGTTACAATTAAAATGGTAATATGAAACATAAAACATAGACAAAAAGGAGTGTTTGGATCGGAAGTTGTGTTGTTCTGGGATGGAAATGAAGGTCAGAAACGGTCGGGCGGCGAAAGGAACGAAACAGTCTATGCATGGCTTCTCGTTCGATGCTGATTTTCGTTTCATGCATGCGTTTTCCTCTTTCTTTCAAACAAAACCAAATCCAACTTTACACGACTTTTTCTGCACTCATTCAGGCAAAATAAATTTTAAAAGAAATAATAAAAACAGTAAAATATAAAAAAATAAAGATTTTGATGTAAATAAATGTTGTTTGTTTTGATGTCATGAGTTGTCACCTAAGATTTATGAGTAGAACCTTAAAACATTAATTTTCTTACCTAAATAGTCTAATCCTGTTACATTGGCTCAGTTTCTAGATTGGACATAGTACAATAAACCTTCATGCGCATTCTTTCATTTTGTTGAGTCTTATTATATACCATATCAACATTTATTTAATATTAGATGGACACACTCAAGGTGCTATCTTCACTTCACAAAAGATATTCATGTAATTTCTCACCAAATTCTATTGGTTTTATTTATTGTGTTCATAATGGATAACATTTGTTGGTTTTTAAAATATGAGCACTAAATAATTTTTTTGGTTTATGGGTTATAAAAATATTTGGATATGATAAAGATGTGTTATTATTTTTTGAAATAAAATTAATAATAAATAAATATATACTAGTTAATCAATGAACATGTGTTTGGTTTTCATACATATTTTTGCTTTTGTAAATATTTTTTTTATCTTTCAATATTGATTTTCTAGTCTTTGTTTGAAAGGAATTTTTTAAAAACATGTGTATTTGAATGGCAGTTAAAATTATGCGAATGAGTGTTATTTGAATGAAACAAAATTTTGTTTTATTTTATTTTATTTACATGCTTTGAAATTTGTAAACATCTTATCTATGATTACAAATGGATTTCCAAACACAACCTTTGCTTCTTTCTGTTGTAGCCAACTAAGATTTTATTATACAAATTGTATAACAATTTCTTAATATCGTGATTTAAAAAGTGTGAACATTGAATAAATCATTACAAATGATTATTGTACTGTTTTTTTTTTTTTACAAGATTTAAGGTTTTATTTTCTCTCTCTGTTCCTGCTTGGTTGTCAATTAAAACATTGTAGGAGAATGTTACATGATAAAGATACAAATTTTGATTTCTTGATTTCATGTTTAGAACTTGTACACATCCATCGTTAGGAACTAAACAAATATTTTGCCTCTTTCTATTTTTTGTTGTTTATAACTATGAGACTTTGTTGTTAAAATAAGTAATTGTTTTTTATCAAATTAAATTGAATAAAATAATTTACCTAAAATTATTCAGGATTTTTAGTAGAAATACTAAAAATCGATTACATGAATATTTTATATTTTCAAATGAATAGAGTATTTTTTTAAATCATTCTGATATTTTTTTAATAATTAAACTATTATTAATATATATATATATATATATATTAAAAATATTATATAAATTTTTATTTTGTAACTTAAACTCGTATATTTTTAAAATAATATTGTTATTTGATTTATTTTAGGAGAGAAATTATTTAAAAAAATTGTAACCAAATATGGCTTTATTCCTCTCTATTTTATTTCATTTTATTTGATGACCATTTATTAGAAATGTTAGGTAGTTTTTATCAATTTTTTTATATTTTATAATATTTGTTTATAAATAAAAATATTATTTTATTATACACATTAGTTATATAAAATAAAATAAATTTGGAAGTTACTTGCTTATAATTAAAAATACTGTTTTATTATGAATTACACGTACAAACAAGTCACTTAATTTTGAAAAATTATTTTTATATGTAATTTTATTTTAATTTTAAATCATTTATTCATAATAACAAATATATTTTATTTTTAAACAACTATAACAATCAATTAACACTAATTTTACTTCAATGTAAATAATTTTGTTATATTTTAAATAGTTTATCTATCATATCCATAATAAAATAATATATTTAAATTTGTAAGCAATTATCTTCTAGAAGAATTCATTATATCATATTAATATAGTAAAAAAAATCTCTTTTCTTTTAACTTTTGAAATCTGCTAGTATACAAAAATTGAAAATTATATTAATTTAATTTAACTATTAAAGGGATTATTAAAATAATATTAAAATTTGAAATGTTATTTGAGTGATCTGATTTTTAATACATATCTGTACATCAAGATCTTAAAGGAAAAATTGAGAGATAAAAAAAAAAAGTACTACTTTTTGGTTTCCTCTCCTCTTTTTTTTTCTTAAATTCCCTTGAATTTTTATATTTTTTATTTTTATTTATGTATGTGGCCATGTGACTTTATATGAAGTTAAATCACAGAAGTGTGACTCAATTATTTTCACTTACATTTATTATATTGAAGTTGAGTTTTTTTTTTTTTTGGAATTAAAACAACACTCAAGCATTTAATTAGCATCATTAAAACAATTTCAAAATATTTTTTTATTTAATTTAAATATAACAAAGAGCAAATAATAGAATTCTACAATTTTTGTACTAACTTATTTAACAAAACAAATGTAAAATGTCATAAATTAGTAATTTTTTTTTATCTCACCTCATTTCACTCAGGGAGAGGTTTCTCTTTCCACAGAAATATGATGGTGAAATTAAGGAATGAATCTTGAACTGTGGTTATTTTATAACCATCATTTGGAAATAAATGTTATTATGAATGCAATTATAAATAAAATGAAAATTGTTCCATTTGTGAATTGTTGTTGAAAGAAAATAAAAAGAAGAAAGGAAAGGGAAATAGTGATGCAGTAGCCAGCCATAATAGCCTGAACGGTGTGAATGGTGTGTCCGTACAACCCTTTCTGCAATCACTGACGCTGCCTCTGCATGCAAAGTACCCGCATGCCCTCTCTCTCTCTCTCTCTCCAATTTTTCTCTGTCATCTTTCAATTAATAAACACCAAAATCATTCATCATTACCATTCCAAACCGGGTTAACTCAATTAATCAACTCTTATGTAACGCTGTGGCCATTTCACAGACGAAGAAGAAGGGCAAGACGGTGCAAGCAGCTAACAAACGCCTCTTCTCCTCGATTCCATCGGCTCACGTTAGCAAGCTGTGTTGTGTACGGTTGGTTTGATGACAGAGAGAAGAGGTAAACCGTGAAACAAGTGAGTGAGTGAGTGATGGAGTAATAAAAGCAAAGGGTCTTGCTTTGCAGGTGCACTGTACTACAAACACAAACATAATAAACGTTGTCTTTTTAATTTCTTCGTTTTGTGTTTCTTGTTATGTTGCAGGTTGAGCATTACTATGAAGGTGGGTTGGCAATGGAGGAGGGTGTAGAGAGAGAAAGTAAGGGTCCGCATAGTGTAACAGCCTCTCATGAATCAATGAACCACATTGTGTGAAACGTTTCTTCTCTCCTTTTTTTATTCTTTTCTTTTTCTGTTTCGAACAACAGGACACGCCTCCCTCGCTCCTTCTTAAATCTCACGTGTCCTTACTTTCTCTTCCACTTCTCTCTCTCTCTTTGTCCTTCTTCTTCTCGCTTTCTCCGTTTCCTCTGGTTGTTTTCTCCGCCTTGTTTCTTCTATGAGGAGGAGGAGAGAGATGGAAGCTGTAGCCAGAGACGGTGTTCCCCGTAACCAAGGTACTACCATAACTCAGGATCCATCCTCAATCATTTTCTCTTTCACTTTCTCTCACGTACCTTCATTCAATAGAATAGTGCTATACTTTCTGCAATGTTTATTTTAATCTATGGTGGTGGATTTACCAGGACAGATATTTGTTACAATCGATGGAGAAATCAAAGTCAACAACTGATAATGTTTTGTTTTTTAAAACATTTTATGTTTTTTTTAATGCCGTTGGATTAAACATGTATGAAGAATGGTGAACTGAATCAGTGTCAGTCCTGGATTTTCATCTGCAATCTTCTGATACATACAACCTTGATTGTTGTTCATGGATCGAGTTTTTTTTTTTTTTATTCAAAAGAAAAATCTTCAATTTGATTTATTTTTTGCTATGGTTATGTAGGCGTGACGGACGATTTGTACACTGAACTGTGGCGTGCATGTGCGGGGTCTTCAGTTTATGTTCCTCGCGTTGGAGAGAGGGTTTTCTACTTCCCTCAAGGTCACTTGGAGCAGGTTCTTCAATCTTCTTTCTTTCTCTTTCACACACCACTCATTCTTCTAATCTTGTCTTCGTTCTTCTCAATTCTACTCATGTTTTGTGTTGACTGTACAACAAAGATGGTAACTTTCCAAGGTTGTCTTGTCATCTTTTGTTGTGAATTCTGCATTTAATTTTATTGGGTCAATTATTGCACAGTGTTTTGAATTGCCATGTCTCCCTTGTTGATTTCAAACCAAACACTTGTTTTTCCCCTTTTCTAAAGATTGAATGTGTTGTACTTTAATGTAAACATTTTTATTGATGATGAATATTGGAAACATCGTTTTGAAATATGCAATTGTCTGTGTCAACTAATTTTGCTTACGTAATTATTGATCTTAATGCTATGTTTTGATCAAGTGCCTTTAATAAAGATGCAAATTTTGAACATGACTTCATATGAATTCAATAGGATGCGTTTTCTGGTTTCTCATTTTTCCTAGGAATTTTGATAAAACACTATGAACCGGATGACATTAATTATTATTTTTTGAATATTTAATGTATTCATTTTTTTTATATATATTTATTTTTTTCATTTATAATTGTTTTATTTTTCTCACTCTCCCAGGTTCGGTTTTATCGTTTCTGTGTTAATCTTTTGTTCCTTCCCATCATCATCTTCATCATCAATCCATGACTTATTTGGTGTGGCTGAAACTCATTTTGTAAAAAAGTTTTTAGGAAATTTACTCTTTTATGGAATTAAGAAAATGCTAAACATTTCAGTTGAAACGACTAAAAAATAAATAACATGGTTACTTTCTTTGATAATTAATGCATTTTTCAAATATTTTCATTTAATATATTATTAATTATTATTATTAAAATAATACTGTTTATATTATTTTATTAACTTATTTTTGAAAAATAAGTGTAACTCTTAACTGCATGTTTATCTTTTTCCTCAGAAATTCCGTTTAACTTCAATCCTCGGGTCACGTTCAGGAGCATTGAACAATGCACAAATGATAATTCAAACCAATTTAAATCTATAAGATTTACGTTTTTGTTCTCTCTCACTTAATTCCAATTTTCTAGTCTATGTAAAGAAAGCGTTATGTGTGGATAATATAAAATTTTGTTTCTTCTTTTCATGCTTTCAACATTGTGAACATGGAAGACATCATTGCTTCCCAAACGTGCTTTGTTATCTTCAATTTTGAGATTTACAGTTTTCTCTGTCAACTTTTGATTTTCTAGTCTATCATAGTTCTTGATATCCTTGGTTTTTGCTGACCAATTAAAATTATGCGAATGAGGTTACATATGAATGATATATATGTACAAATTTTGTTTATATGATTTCATGTTTTGGAAATTGTGAAAACCTAAGTATCATTATAGCATTTCAAAGTAATTAATTAAGAACAAATATAACTATTTTATTATTAAAAAATTACTTAAAAATTGAATAAAATTATTTATATAAATATTTTTGATTAATTTTAAAAATTTATAAATAATTATTTATATAAATAAAATATTTTGACTAATTTTATAAATATTTATATAAATTTTAAAAATTATTTATATAGATAAAATTGTTTATATAAATATTTTTTTTAATTTTTAAATAAGCATAAAACTTATAATAAATATTTATTTTTTATTTTTAAATAACTGATACTAAAGAGTATATTTGGAATTGAACTTTTTGTCTTTTTGTGTCATTGACAACTTAGACGCTACAGTTTGTGACCGTTTCAGTTTATTTAAAAACAATTGTTTGGTTTAAGAAAAATCTAAAAAAAATGTGATAAGTAATTGTTTTATTAAAGTAATCTGAATAAAAGAATTTAACTAAATTACTCTAGATTAATGTATGATTTAAAATTTTTGGAGTTTAAAAAACTACTCAAAATTTCAATTGAAACACCTAAAAAATAAACAGCAGTATTTTTTGTTAATATTCAAATATTTCTTATATTTTAAAATATTTTTCATTCATATATATATTTTGATCAATTGTTAAATGATAGATATTATAACCTTACTTGACTTATTTTATGAGAAAAGTTAATTAATAATAGTTTTTTCATCTTTGTTTAACTTGGCATAACCAATGAGCTCATTTTGTTGGAATTTAAAAAATACTCAATCATTTCAACTAACGATTAAAGAAATAAACAACATCGAAAATGTATTTTTGAAATTATAATGTTTAATATTTATATGAATATCAAAAGAAATTAACATAATGTTTGTTGGAATGTTATTTGACTATCCTGTGAGATATGTGTGTTGCTGAATTTGTAATAGGAAAAGAACTTTGTTTGCTTGATATGTTTTGGTATGCAAAACCTACAATGTCTTATCATTAACATTTCATGATCGAATGATTGGCATATGAAATAGGTTGTTGCATTTACTCAGCATCAGCAAGATGGTCACATGGAAATTCCTGTGTATGATTTGCCTTCCAAGATCTTATGCAGGGTTGTGTGTGTTCAGTTACAGGTACTGTCATCTCTCTACTCGGGTTAGTATCGTTATTTATTTGCATAAAGTGTTAAGTGCATATTGGAAATAATGTACATATTTGATTTTGCAGGCCGAAACTTACACTGATGAGGTTTTTGCTCAAGTTACACTAGTTCCGGAGCCTAGGGTTGACTAATTTCTCTTCTAACATCTACCTTCATCTTCTTCCATTTTTGCTTCTTCAAAGTGCAACCATTATTTTTGCTTCTATAGAATTTAATCTTGAAGAATGAATGACAATTTACCTCGTACGACATGCAAACATGGATAATGTCTTGATAGAATTGGTTATTGCTTCGATCTATGCAGCAAAATCACCTTGGTTTAGAGAACGACGATAATCATGTTCCTGGCAGAGCTGCAACCTACGCCTTTAGTAAAGTACTCACTCCATCAGACACAAGTACACATGGTGGATTCTCTATTCCGAAGAGACATGCTGATGAATGCTTCCGTCCCCTGGTTGGAATCCTTATCATTTGTCTCTTTTTTTTTTTCTTTCTTTTTAAGGAATTTGACTTATTTAAGGTCTTTGTCTCTTTGATAACAGGACATGACTCATCAAACACCTGCGCAAGAAATTGTTGCGAAGGACTTGCACGGATTTGAGTGGCATTTTCGACACATATACCGCGGTATGTTTGAATTACTTTTATTTTGTCATAAATTTCTGATTCAGTTGCAACAGTTTAGGAAAATCATTGTTAATGCCAAGTAGAATAAATCAGACATATTTTTCTTGCAAGAAATGCTGGTTTAGTTTCTCAGAGGATATTTTTTCAAATGAAATGCAGGTCAGCCGAAGCGACACTTGCTGACTAGCGGTTGGAGCACATTCGTGAATGCAAAGAAACTTGTTGCTGGAGATTCATGTATTTTTGTTAGGTGCATTCTGTCTCCATGTCTCTTTTTTTCCCTCCTCCCCATGAATTACGAGGAACTCTGGTCAGGATCACAATTGTATTTTTCAATGCATTAAAAGAAGTTATTCATTGCCACTATAGTTTTCAACTTCCACTAGGTAGAGCGAGATTTTTCAAGTAATAGTAGAGAATATTAGTGACTTGTGTTTTTGGCGGTTGGTTAAAAAAAGTCATAAGAAGAGGAGCTTTGCTATATTATTCTAAATGATTAGGTTTATTTAATGATTCCAATCATAATAGAAGTGTCAGTAACAAGGACAGTACTTGTGTCATTGCAGTGGGGAGTATGGAGAAGTTCGTGTTGGAATTCGTCGGGCAACTAGACATCACAGCAATGCATCCCCGTCTTCGTCTCTGATATCGGGTCATAGCATGCAACTCGGAATTTTGGCTAGTGCTTCCCATGCTGTTGCCACAGGATCCATGTTCACTGTCTATTACCATCCTTGGTGAGTTGTTCATGATTTATCAGATTGAAAATTCAAAACACAAGTCTATTTTTCTTGCTTTATATCTGTATATGTATGTATATACCCTTTGGGCATACGTTTCAATTGGAATGACCTGTCTGTTACACGCATCTTTTGCAGGAAGAATCCCTTTGAATTTATTATTCCTTTGCAAAAGTATTTGAAGTCAACTATACCCGACTATTCAATTGGAACGAGAGTACAAATGCAGTGTGATGTTGAAGAGTCTTTAAGAAGGTAATGATGTCAAAGTTTGGCTGACTCGTGGATGTTTTATTTTGAAATGAATCTATTCCTATGAAATTAAATGAAAACTTTCAGAAGCTGTTAAATGATAATTAGAGTCTCTACAATGAAACAATTAGTAACCAGGTCTATCTTTCCTTTTTGCTCGAGTAAACCAGATATGCAGGTACGATAATTGGTAATGAAGTTATTGACAGCATTAGGTGGCCTGGTTCTGAATGGAGATGTCTGAAGGTAATCAGTTCCTTTCCAAGTCTATTAGATTTAATTCTATGAAGCTATAATACCTTTTTGATTTATTTTACTCGATTCAATTAAATTTATATCTCTTCTCAGGTGCAATGGGATGTCATAGTAGATTTCTTCTTGCACCCTGAAAGGGTTTGTCCTTGGTGGATTGAGACCTTGGAATCTTCCAAGGAGCCTCACATTCCTGTTCTCCCCAACTCCAAAAAGGCACATCTACTTAACCAGCGCCCTTTGCCTGGATTAAGTGTCTTTGCCATGGATGGTCAGTACTTACATATAAATTCATCTCTAATTTGAGGAAGCTACAAACTGTTATGCTATAACTTAGAAATTAGAATGACATGTTATCTTTTCTTTAACTATTATGGACTAGTTGAATTCTCCTGTTATCAGATGTTGTTCAGAATTCAGCCAAGCCGGCTTCTCACCCTCACAGAGCGCATAGGGACTTGCAAGGACAAGATTACAGTGGCCTGTGTACTTCACGGCCTTTTCAAAGACCACCATCGAAGTTCTCAATCGGTGGCTCACAATTTGGGAAGGAGAATCTGAATCAGCTTCCCTTTCTCATGCAAGATCTTCTTCATAAATCTATTGGAAGATCAAATTCATTGCCCCATGAAGACTTGTCAATTTCAAGTTCAAATTTAAGCTCCATTTGTTCTGAATCTTTGGGATGGCCACCTTCTGAATCTAGAAATGAAAATGATGCACCCTTTGGTCATCTTGGCAGTTGTAGTAAATACAAGCTTTTTGGAGTTAGCTTGATTGACCGCCAGCCGGAGCTCCCTTCACCACAACGCGCTGGTTTCAGCAAGACTTCAAGTCTGCTTTCTAGTCCTCCAACGTGTGTTACCTCCGAGAAAACATGTAAAAAGTGTCACTCTGTCAACAATCGCAGCTGCACAAAGGTACTTGGCATTTATGATTTAACCATCACATTGATTTGAGTTTCTTGAGTTTTACGAAGTTTCTCTTTGTTGTGTTATATTGTTTCAGTGCTCCTATGTAAAATATAGGTAGGTATCATAGGTAGGGGGTCTAGTGGGTAACAACCTAATTAGGGAATATCATTGGTGATCAACCTTTTCTTCTGTACTTGAGAAAGGATTTGGATGACTCAATGGAGTTTTTAATTAATATCAGTGGTGAATCTAATATGTTGGCATGCTAGACACTTCTTACTTGACTGTCTAAGCATTTTGGTAATAGGTTATGATTTGAACCCTCCAGATTCATTGTGATATAAATAAATAAGAATATAATCTGACTAATTCTAAATTCTTCTGTATCCTCCTCCTGCTAATCATCCTACTTTGTTGAATGGCTTATATTTCCAAAACATTCAATGCATTTTACTTATTCATTTAATACTTTTTTTGCAAAGTACTAGGAAGATTAGTAAAAGTATAGAATTACTCAAATAATATAGCAGGTAGCTGAAACACTTTTAGCTTTTCACATTCAGAGACATCTGAGCGAAGGCAACTAACTATTTCAGGTGCTTAAGCTGGGAACTGCTCTTGGAAGAGCAGTTGATCTCACCCGTTTTCATGGATACGATGAACTCATTGCTGAGCTCGACTCGATGTTTGATTTTGGAGGAAGCTTAAGCAATGGAAGCAGTGGATGGCACGTGACCTGCCTAGATGATGATGGAGACATGATGTTCTTAGGGGATTACCCATGGGAGTTAAGTACACGATGTTCTAATTGTTCTAATTAATAGTCATGATATTTTTTACTCTGCAATTGCTTCTTAGAAATTGTTTTCTATACATACACAAGAAACCAGAAACTCTGCTGTTTTTTTTTTTTTTTTTTTTTTTCACATCAATGTTTTTCAATTTTTACCATCAATTTTTTCTAAGGGAATGGAGAGAAACATTTGGGTTATTTAGTCATATGTGCATGGTCAAGATTAATTTTTTAGTCATGTGATATTTTTGAAAATTCGCCTCAGCTATTCATACTAATATGTATTCCTAATCACTCATGATATGATATTATTAGCCTATATTTAGTTTTCTTGTTCTCATATAAAATCCTCTTATTTGATACTTATCTCTTTTAAGTGAATCTAATTTTTTTTATGCAAAAACATGTAATTTCAATGGTTTTAACCAAAATACCAGCTCTGGGTTGGAATTTTTCATTTACACTGAAACATTTAGTTAAGCAAATTGAGTGGCTTTGTTCTGGCAAGTTACATTCTTTTTTTCTTTTTTTGCTAACTTTTAGTATTTGTACCATCAAACTATGCAGGGATTTCCAGTGTATGGTGCAAAAGATGATCATATGCCAAAAGGATGGGATTAACAATCTCAATCCAAGCTCCTCAGCAGATCCTCCAAGCCTTCAGTGATCTGCGTTGTGTCTCTTTCTCGACCAGCTTGCAGGACTAGTGCATCTATCCATATCTGTTCTCTCCGTGCAACCAATGCCATTCTCTGTCGTTTCTAGTTCCAATACATTTCTTCCTTTTCCTGGCAATTTCGGAGATCCGCAATAATATAAGTTCGTGTGGATGCTGCCTTTATCATTATAGGAATATAGCAATCATAGTGAAAATTTACAGGGTCAAAAAAGAAAACTGATTTTGTTGTTTCAAGAACCTATCTTCTTGATACTTTTGGAAAGTATCCATGATTGTGATATAATAATATTTGACAATAATACATGGCTATTCCGTGGTCACGAGTGCGCGTGCAGCTCTCTAGTTAGGTTGCTTGCTTTTATAATCAGCCAAACTTTTCAGAATTGCCAATGCCTTGGCGCTTGAAAATTTAAGCAAAGTTTGTTTTGTTCAGATGATTTTAGGCCCATAATGCCAAACATTCGATTTTCACTTTTCACACTATCATAAAATTAGTTGTATAATGTTGCACTCAACGAATGCTTTGCGAATAATTTTCTGAAAGATATAACTTGATACTAAAAAAAAAAAAATCCTGAAGTTGAAAAGAACATTCTTTTAGAAATCATAATAATTGCATTGCACAGCCCCTCGAGAGGTGGGGCAAGGCCTCATCCAAAAGGTTAAATGTTTCTGAACGAATGGTCCATATTAGTAGTTGTGATTTTTTATGTAGAGAAAGCGAGAGGACACGACGATGTCCATGATGACAACCTTGAAACTAAATCTGGGTCAGCACATGATTGTGTCGCCTCTCATCACTCGCACGGTCGCATTCACACCATCTTCCATTGCCGCAACTCTGACTCACCAGCAAGCTGCTTCTTCTTCTTCACTATTTCTATGTAATATTAGTACTCCTTTGCCCACACGGGTCAGGTCCCATTCTTACCCACTCCCTGAATCTAATGACCAAGTTGAAGACCTTAGAGTCCCTGACCACTGGTTAGACCCAACCATTTCCTTGCAGGTTCTCCTTTTTTGCTTGCTTTCAATTCCAAATTGGTTTTAGTTTTCAATTATTGGCAAGTTTTGAGAATAAGTGGTTGAGGATAAATTATAGCTTGTGTTTTGTTTTGTTTTTTACTTATCAGGAATCAGAATGGCTTAGGGTTACATTACATAAATGGTTGGACGATGAGTACTGTCCAGAAGAAACCAATGTGGAAATAAGCAGAGTTGCTGCCAACTCTTACTATAATTCTTTGCTACAGAAGCAGACAGACCTGGGTGAGATTCTGTTGAAGATGGCCCGTGAACTGGAGTCTATTAACTACAAAGAGAGTTTCCATGGGGCATTCTCATCAGCAAATGCTGCTGTTGACCTTATTGCTCAACGGATAGAACAGTTCAGTCAATCAATTTGAATTTTATTGCCTCTAATTTGTTTGTTTTGCTTTGATTTGGTTATAGTACAATCTTGTACCTTTATTGGCTTTAACTTTAATCTCTGGAAAAATTGTAATCTAGGCCATTTTATGGAATCTTGTGATCTTACTATGGTTGCTATTTCTGAGCTTGTTGAAAAGGAAATGAATCTCACTGAGCTGTTTGTTCATGTTGCACACTGAATTTAATTAATTTGGTTTTCATCGATATAGGGTTCCTTATCAGTGAGATTGTAAAAGTCATTATCATGTTAGTATGTCACTATTGCTCAACCTTCAAACTCTCGAGTCCATTCAAGAACTAGCCTTAATCAGATGAACAAAAAATGTTCTAAAAATCTCTGAAGGGGAAAAGGCAAAAAATTCATACCTTGAGTGGTACTTTCTATGAATGACTTTGGTCTTCAAGACTAATAGGCGATAATAGGTTTATGAGAAGTAATTGAATTAGATATTTGATTATGCTGTGAAATCTCCGTCCACATATTCTATCAAGGTAGGTTAGTCCCGGAGAAGGTGGCGATGGATTGATTAGACATTGGTGCCATTCCTGGCAGTGAGTATGCAGAGGATCCTATCAGGATCGCTTTAATAAACTATTCTCCTTAAAACATGGGAACCAAAGCTTTTGCATAGGTTTTTCATACAAACTCGATCGAACTTATTTGTGGTATAGACCAAACTGATGTGGATCTGTACAATGGTTGTTGTTAAGTTTCAAACATTTGATAGATTTCCAGGCTGAAAGTTATGTTTGTTAAGCATATTGATAGTCTGATTCCATTTGTCAAGTAGTCCATTGGTGCTGTAAAGTTTATCATAAAGAAGGCTATTGATGGAAACCTGATTGGTTATAATACTCATTATAAGCAGAGGATGCAACAAAATATGCTATCAGAATCAAAAGCCTTTATCATCATTTCCAAAAATGACTATGACTCTAGCATCTTTTACAGTGCTATAAAGTTTTAACATGAAAGGTTTTATGCTTGTATCATAAGGTAGTGAAGGACCTGAAATGACTGTTGGTCCAGCCGTCCGGGGCAGATTCAACTGAAACACCCACTACAAATCCTCTCTTTCTCTAATTACTTTTGAATAAAAATGTAGAACAATACATATCCCTTATGATAGCATGCTTATTTAGGGTACCGAAGCATTTGAGCTGACTCTCGATGCACCCCAAGCTCTTGGGGTGTGAAACTTATCTCATTTGAGGTCGCCACTCAGACGCTAAGCTTGGATGTATTTTGAAGAGTACTGAATTCGGAATATGTTTTTCATCATTCTTACATTACATTTATCTAAATATAGTTTGAACAAACTTCTACTGAACTTGATCTGGTGCAGGAAAGTGCAAATTCTTAAAAGATGTGAAACCTCCATCTACAACCATGTTGTGTCCACTAACATACTTGGCATTATCGGACGCAAGAAAAAGTGCAGCATTGGCAATATCATTGGGTTCACAATTGACACCCTTTAGGACACCAGCATTGTGAATAATATCCACGTGTCTCTGTCTATCAACATGAGGAAAAATCTGACTCATTTCTCCCAGAGCAAAAGGTGTTGGGATGGCAAAAGGTGATATGCAATTGACTCGGATTCCATGTCTGCATAGCTCTGCAGCCAGGGATTTAACAACCCCTACCACTGCAAACTTGGATATTGAGTAAGTGTGCTGGGCTATCCCTCCCATCACACCCGTGACACTTGCTGTGCAGAGAATAGACCCACTTCCACGTGGGATCATCACACGTGCTGCATGCTTGATGCCTGCTACAACACCACGAACATTTATGTCCATGACTTTGTCAAACAGTGCCATGTCCAGGTCAACAATGCTTAGAGGACTTTTGCAGGCTATCCCTGCGTTGTTGTACATGATATCAAGTTGTTTATATTTAGAAATGGCAAAATCAACAGCATTGGATATGTGTGACTCTTCAGTGACATCACATGTTATGAAAGTGGCATTAGATCCAAGTTCTCTCGCAGTTTCTTCACCAAGCTGTTGATGAATATCAGCAATAATAACCTTGGCTCCATTATTGATGAATTTGGTAGCTGTGGCCTTTCCTATTCCACTAGCTGCTCCAGTTATCAGTGCAACCTTGTCTTGTAGCTTCCTGAACCACCACATCATAGATTGACGCTATATCATCCTGTAAATCTTTCTAGCACTTGGAAAAACGTATTAAAAGGAAAAGTAAATACATTCATCGATATCTTAGAAACTTAAAAAACATTCAATACTTTCTCTGGTAAGCAGATTATTAAGATTTTGTAAAAGGATTTTTAATTATATCCACGTATGAATTAAAGCCCCAAAGTACCAAGATTCTTTTGATAACATTTGTAGTATGTTGAACAACATATGATATGTGTATAGTAATTGGAGGAATGATTCCACTGGAATCAGAAATTCAGGACTAATAGGTTATGGAGTCTTAGACGAGCCATCAAAGTCTAGTATGGCACCAAAAGATGTTGGCATAAATGGTTTAACAATTGAGTCCCTAAACCAAAGTCAAGGTTCGATCTTTTGTTTGGATATAGCTTCGCAGCTAGAAGTATCACTTTATTCCAAAATGGGTCAATGTGGGGGATTAATTAGTAGCCAAATAGAAGCCATAAATCCCTCCTCTGGTTACATTAAAATAAAAGTCTGGCGTCTCAATTGGGGAAATATAGTCCTCTCCAGACACACACAGCATCACAGGAATATAAATTATAATGCATCTAAGGATTGGAGTGAAACGATTATAAATTAGAAACCAAGCATGCAGTGTGGATATGTGCCTAGAGACATTATGAACTATCAGTCATTCGCCCCTTTGCTTGTTTTCACAAAAAATTCCCCTAATCAACCATAATGGTTTTAATTAGTCAGATCATAAGGTAAGTTCAAAAAGGAAATGTAAATCAAAGACAAGAGCAAGTGAAGGTTAACTTTCCATACCCTCCAGTCTGAGTAGACAATAACCTGTGGAAGCTCTCAGCAAACAAAGCCCCTGAATAGGAAATACTGCCACGGTTTCTAGCAATTATCAGAAACAAAAACTAAGCTGCAGCAGTGTTCATAACTTAAAGATAACCAAAGAACTGAAAGGAAAATCCACATGCAGGATCAAAGGTTTTAACAACAAAAAAATAGAACATAGTCATTCATTTCATTAACCTAGATGTTAACTCTACCCACAATCCCACCACCCCAACAAAGTAGATAAGTAAAGAAAATATTTCCATTAACAGAAAGGAGGGTCAAAAGATTCAACAGTGGACTAAGTGTAAAGTCTAAGCAGAACATCCTATACTTGATTTTTAATCATCAAGCTGAAAAGATAGTTTAAGGGAATAATTAAAACAGAGAAACAGGTCAAAGATATAAAGTGTGAAACCAACCTCAAACCCCTTCTTAACATGATTTTCTGAAAAAAAAAAAAAAAAAAACTCAAAAACCAGACACATACACCAAAGGGGGTTGCAGTTTGACTATTTGAAGCTCTGAACTTTTGGAACACTGTCAGGCTAAAAGAGTGAGATGATAATATCTTTTATAAAATGCTGCAAGGGCAATTTGGTCAATATGATTAAAGGATATTGACGTGGATATGCCCGGGCCGGCAATTCAACCCGCATTGACTTGACCTTGGATTTAAAAAGTGCGGGGGCGGTGACAGATGGTCTAATCTTGATTTCCTATATTAATTCTTAATGTATTTTTTTATATATATTATATATAATATTATCTTCTAATTTTTACGCTCTTTGTTTTTCTTTTTCATTATTTTGTTTATTCTAATCTCTTCAATTATTCGTTTTATTATATTATTTTTTTATCTATTATTATTTTAATCTTTTAATCAATTTAACTTTTTTAATATCTTAAATTAATTTGATAAATATAAAATAATTATTTTTTCGAATATTCTAAACTAATATTAATAATAACTACTAATATTTTTGTTATCATTATTAGATTTATTATATTGTATTTTTTTGGATTTAGTTATTTTTATTTATGATATATCAAATTTTATTTTTATAAAATAATTATATTTTAAAAGAATTAATAATTAAAATTTTTATCATTTTACAATAATTAAATAAGAACTAATTTATTAAATACTTCTTTATAAATTATACATTTTATATTTATTAATATTTAAAACAATAACTTATATATTTAATTAATAATAAAATTATATATTTATATATATATATAAATATTAAAATTAATTTATTATAAATAAATTATATTTTTAAAAATAATTTAAGACAGGAAGAGTCGAAATAAAGAAATTCAGAATAAATACTTAATTTTTAAATTCAACAGAAATTGAAAATAGAAATAACAACAGTTAAAATAACCAAGAATAGAATAGGGAAGGGAAAATTCGCCCTAACCCCACCTCCCCTTGCCTCCATGGTTTACATTTATTGCAAGATTAAAGATGGTTATGATTTTCGTATTTCACTTAATTAAGTGTCATTAATTCTTTTTTGAAAAATAGATGAGATATACAATTATAATAAAATACTCAAGATTTGAATCTTAAAAATTATAATAAAATTATATCTTATTATACTTTCAACTATGTTCAAACTTTAATTTACATTTACTGAGGTAATTAAGAAATATTTTCTGGTAACTTAAATGCATGAAATATTTTACATTAAAAATACAATTTTCAATAGTTGTGTTGTGTTTCATAAGACTCTATTTTTTGTAAAATCTTTTTTTTATTCGCTTAATATATCTATAGTTGGCAATTAAATAGTTTCCCCTGATAAAGATCCAATAATTTGAGGAACGAAAAGTATATTTAAATTTATTTTATAAAATAATTAGAACAGAAAATTGTTTCCCTCCAAAATGAAAATATACCTCCATTGTTTGCACCGCGTCTTCTGAATTTCGCAAGTTTGCATTCTTCGCTGTCAGTACTCAGTACTCTGATCGAAACATTAGGGTTTTATTTCAACTCGATTGTCACCCAATTCATCATCCATCTTTACCGTGCTTATCAAGGATATTCAAAATTATTAAATAAAGAAAAACAGAGCCATCGTTCCAATGGTCAAGGATTCTTCTCCTCATTCTCAAACTTCGTCACCCCTGGCGGTAATCTTTCATTCTTCTTTGCTTCGTTGTTAAATTGCTGTTGTCATCGTCATGATTGTTGTTGTTATTTATTGTTTTTGTTGTAAATTTATTTATATGTTACATCGATGATTTGATCATTAAAATGTGGAAGACAGCGAGTGAATTGTTCTTTGATTGTGTTGAATTCATTGTATAGGGCACTTAATCTGATCAATAGATTCCATTCCGTTATCATTTATTATGGGGCTGGTTGTGATTGTGACTATGCACCCGGTTGAGCTGAAATGTTTTTATAGGAATAGGAAATGCAAGCCAGTAATTAACGATTATATTTAAAAGATTATGAATTGAATCATAGAACTGGCTTTAAGTGATAGGAGTGTTGTTTGGCTACAATTAGGATATAAAGTTAAAGATGCAAATGAAGATGACCATCCTGGGAAACTGACCTCTTTCAGGAGACCTTAGTTCTCAATAGTCCTTTCATTGAAACGGTGTTTGAAAATCTCAGAATGGACACTAAGATTATAGAGGATTCAGAGTCTGCAGAGGACATGACAACTGGTAAAATGTGTGATTATGAACAAGTTGTGCTAGATAGCGAGGATGAAGAAATGAACGATGGACATGTTGGCAAGGGATTTGTTGATGATGAAAGTAGTCCACCAGTTAAAATTCCTTCGACGCTCTTCCAGAAAAGGCTGCCCAAGCCACATTGTAAGCAAGTAGAAGCAAATGCCTCCACTTTTGGGAACTCCGCTGCTGGTATGTGTTTGTTACCTAGATTTAATGTTATTCACCTGTTTTTGTAATAATTTTTGTTTATTTTTTTGTATGGTATCTTTATAAATTATGCTTGTTTAACTTAATATGACTGAAGCAATTGTTTATGGAGCACTTGATGATTAATGAATGATTAATTTTGAAGAACACGATATGGTTGAAGGGAACAAAAGAGCTTTGGTTGATTCTGACAGCTTTGAAGACAACAACCGTTTATATCCACCTGCTACGCTAAATCACATTCACTCACCAGAGCCTGGGGATTCAACGCAAGCTGCACTTGTCTTTGTGGATCAGTACCTGTCATCAAATGATGTGGACTTGTTTCAAGGAATTCATTGTGGAAAGACTGCTAGGGAGAAATCACCTCATGTCCTGAGTGCAAGAGGACCACTAATTCTGGCTAAGAAAATTAAAACTCGAACTAACAATGAAGAAAAAGAATCTTTCAAATGGGTTGACAGTTATGAACATGACCACCGAGTTGGTATGTTTGGTAAAAAAATTGAAGCATCTTCAAATTTCGGAAGATACAAACAAACATATACGAGAAAAAGAAAAAAAGGTGGCCATCTTCAGAGCCAAGGAAACTGTAGTACAAGTAATAGATGGGATGAGAAGTTAGGCCAAGGACCAAGAATGGAAATTGAAAATAATAACTCTCTCAAGCAATTGGATGTTCAACCAAGTTCTATAAGAGAGAATGCTAATGTTTATTCCAGTGTAACACATATAGAGGAGATGTCTGATATTGGTTTGGGCACCCAAATTGCTGCTGAAGCAATGAATGCCTTATCCTTAATGCCCCCTTATGGCTGCCAGTTCAATGATCCTCATCAACCAGATAATGCATTAGATGGCTCTTTGAGCGATTGGACAGAGAATGAAGCTCATCTGAAAAATTCTTCAAATATTCAGAATCCTAGTTTACATTCTACTACAATAAAATCAAATAAGAAAAGTTTATCTTCCTCCAGATTTAGTAAATTAACTTATAGTTCATCTTGCAAGCACAGTGACAAGCAGGAGTCAAATGTTGTCTCAGGCAAAATGAAAAAAATGATGAAAAGCAAGTCAATTGTTGAGGGGCGGTTTGAATATAACAATAGCTTGCCAATATGCAGTAAACATGTGTCTCTTGAAGAGGTTTGCCCACTGGGAGAGTACACAAGTTTGCAACCTGCTGAATCCGAACATTGGAACAACGAGAGTGGACAGCCAAGAATCAAAGATCGACCGAGCCATCATACAGAGGAGAACAATAGTGTCAAGGAGAAGAGTATTAAACACAAGAGAGAGGGGAATGGTTTAGTGGCTGATCCGGTGAAGTTGGGTGTTAGGACTAAGCGTCTTAAATTGAATCATCAGACTAAAGTTAGCCCACAGTTATCTTCAACCTGCAGTTTTTCAAGGACTGGCTCTTGGGTCTATCCAAAAAGATCAAGAGGGAAAAGAAAGGGGGCTAATGTGGGAACTAATCTCAATTCACCAACAGTTATGTGTATAGATGGAAAAGAAAACAATGTCTTCTCCACTAGAAGTGTAGAGTTCCAGGCCAATGTGGATAGATCATGTTTTCCTCACACACGTCCACTGTACAAAGCTTCATGTGTTGATGGCAGATGCTTGTTACAGGGGAACTTTGTGCCACCAGGCTCATCTGGTGATGCAATAAAGGTAGAAAACTTGCATGATATGCACCCCTTATTGTTGGCACATGTTGAAAAATCATCAAACGAAAGTGTTGCACAATCAAGATCAGGAATTCAAGCTACACTTGTGGCAAGTCAAGGCATAAAAGTTTCAAATGTGAACCATACATACACTGAGCATCACAAAAAGCTGTGTGTAAAAACCCTGCCTAAGTCTTCACTTTTGAAAGAGCTTATCAGACTAGGAGTTCCGGAGTCCATGTCAGATATGAGACATCGAAGAGATATGACAGATGTTCGAGTTCTATTTAGTCAGCATTTGAATGACAGTATCATTAAGCAGCAAAAAAAGGTTATCCATTGATTTTATGTTTGCGATAGGAGATGCTAAATGTTACCATGACTGGTTAATGAATTGTTATCTTCCCTCCTTGCAGATCTTGACTCGTCTTAATATATCTGTTGCATCAAGTCCAATGGAGGCCACACATTTCATAGCAGACAAATTTGCACGCACAAAGAATATGTTGGAAGCCATGGCCCTTGGGAAATTAATCGTGAATCACTTATGGCTTGAGAGTTGTGGACAAGCCAAGTGTTTTATTGACGAGAAAAATTACATTCTGAGGGATATGAAAAGGGAAAAGGAAATAGGCTTCAACATGCCAGTTTCTCTTGCTCGCGCAAGACAAAAACCAGTCCTCAAGGTATTCGTATATTGTGCCCAAATTCTTATGCATTTATCATATTTGCTCAAAATATGGGTTCTTGCCTCTCTACAGGGAAAAAGAGTCTACATCACACCGCATATTAAACCTGATAAGGAAGTTATTGCAAGTTTGGTCGCAGCTGTTCATGGCCAGGTATGCATGTTCACCTATGCATGCCACTCCACAACTGCACCTTATTTGTGGCTGCGATATTAGGCGCTTTTGGGGCTATTAATATTTTGTGATCCCCCAACCTTGCCCACGTTTTCAATAATTAGTTCATATATAATTTGTCTTGTCGCTTCAGGTGGTAGATGAAAGTGAGGTGTGTGATGATATTAATGATTATAGCTTAGATGATCTGTTGATTCTTTCTTGTGAAGACGACTATGCAATATGCCACCGTTTCCTTAAGAGAGGTTTTGAACTTTACTATCACCTTCTTGATAAACGATGCAGGTATATTTCATTGTGTATTAATGTATCATAACTCTTACGGAGAACACAATTTTACAGGAATCGCAGTTTACAGTTCAGAGCTTGTTCTCAATGGAATTGTAATCCAAAAATTGGAACTTGAGAGGTAAGATGACATTTCAAAGTTATTTTTCCTTCATATTTATGTTCTTTTTTGTTCGCAACTCTGCATTCGGAAGGAATTTTTTCTACTTCATTCTTTTCTGCCTTTTAATCTAGTCTGATTTATTAGCCTAGCTATATAAATGTCACCTTTGATCTCAACTCAACTATGTCTAGTTGTTCCCTATCATGATTTGCTGGCTTAAAGTAAAAACACCGAAGGATAACTTAAAATTTTAGTTCAAAATGATTTTGGGATACCAAGGGTCTAGGACCCTTTTTTTTTTATTTGTAAAAATGACAATGGTTGTTGAAATTAATGTGTATGAATCCATGGTTTTAATTACATTCCCTCTTTCACATTATGTCTCAAATACAAGTTAAGCATGGGGAAAAGGTCTTATAAAATGAGATTATCTCAAAGGTGAACTAGAAAGGATGTATCTACTATTGACATTTAGTGGGTTCAGACTTCAGATCACAATTAATCATTGCACCCTTATTTGTCCACTTTGGAGTAAGTTCACTTGGAAGAACCTATCCATAGGCTCAAGCACACATACGATATGCCTTGTAAATGATTATCTTTCAGACAACTTAGGAGTCAAATAGGAACCTTTTGACATATTTGCATGTAGCGAGCCTATTGTTCATCCCTGAGGAATAAGTAAAAGCATTGTCTTCCAAATTAAATGATTAAAATCGCATCATCTCAACAATTTTATCAAAATTTAACCTTATAATGAACTTTGGCAGACATCAACTCTTCATGAATCAAGTTACAAGGAATAGCAATAGCCCAAGTACGTCTAATCGGTTTGGGAAGGTTTACAGAAGGCGTCGAGGCCTTTTTCTGGATCGTAGCTGATCTTGTAAAGTGTAATTCAATTCTAAAATGGAACTCATAAAATTATGGGCACTCTTTTCTCGGAAATTGCTTGTGCAAATTACTTACAAATGCATTTTTATCTTTTTCTAAGGGGAGTGGTTTTAATGTAGTATGTATGTTGTTGACGAAGTTAATAGCATAAAGATTCCGACAAATTTGTAGATATAAAATATATGTATTCTCTTTCTTTCTGGCTAAGTGCACATTTCTTAGCCTAGACCCCATGTGCACAGATTTGTTTCGCCTGACAAACAAATCTATTTATTTGCTTCATCATTCAATCTAATAAAAATAAATTAATTCCATCCATCTATTAAAAAACTAAATTAGAGATACTATTGATTTGTTCAATATTATTTTTTAAATCCAATAGACTAGTTAATAGATCAAAACTATTTTAATCTATCTTTTCATATTTAAATCTTTCTAATTTTGTTTAATGTTTAGAAAACATATTTACAAATTTATTAGATTTATTTACAAATATAGTTCACAAAAATGTGACAAATTTCAAACGTATATTAATTGTATTCACCACACACACACACACACATATATATAGTTTTATTTTTCATCATTCATTTATCGTAAAAAATATATCAAAGAAATCCACTCATTAACAATACAAGTGAGCTTATGTTGAGAAACTGCCATTTAGTTATGCACTTAATATTTGTTTAATATCACACTTACTTGCAAGTGCTAACTTCTATGCAATAATATTTTGCTCCTAAATTACTCAGAAACTTGCATTGAGATTTGTAATTATTGATGTTCAAAAGTTGTTTAGAAAAGAATATTTAAAAAGTAAGTTTAGTTAGATGTAGAATATCTTTTGAAAAGTCTAAATACACGCGACAATCGGACACTGAAATATTTTCATGTCTCATATCATAACATATTTTTAGTAAAAACCGTATATTTAGATAAAATATTTTAAAGCTTTCATGGTTTTTTTTATCCATCTCAAATTTACGGTAGCCGCAAATGTGAACATATAAGAAATTAGAGGGCCTACAAATAAACTCATGGAAACAACAATATGAGCCCAAAAGTACAATCTGACACTGAAAATGTTTAGATCAGAGCTTTACTGTTTGTTCTTCTTTAGAAAGTGGCCCAACCCATCCATTGCAAATCACCACGACCATCATTATTCTATCATGATCTATTTATTCGATCCAGTTTATTATATCATGCTGGTAAGAGATTGTTTTATATTAAATTTTTCAATATGAAATTAGAGTTTGAGTAATGAATACACATTTGCGTCAAGTAGTGAGAATGGGGTTTTTATTGTTTATATTGATTATTTTTAAGTACTTGTAAAATGAAAGATATTATGAAGCCATTTTATTAATCTTGAATAGCAAAGCAATGTATTTAGAGAGTTGAAAAGAAGTTGCCCTTTTTTCCTCTTTTGATGATGGCTTTGATTTGTAGAGTTGAGAGATACCCAATACCATGTTTTCCTCACTCACTACCAAAAAGGTTAACTCCCTTTGCATCACAATTTGGCACACTTTTTATTGACTTGAAAGTGAAATTAGATAATGTGAAAAGCAAGTACCAAACTATCTTTAGTTTAGTGCGAATGATTCTGGTTTTCCACTTACGTTTTTGGAGCATATTATCCAACCAAGATAATCATCACCAACATCATTTTCTTCATTTCTTCAATTCCTCACGCATTCACATTTTCTAATTTCAATCCAAGACACACCAACTCACACTCCAAGATGCAAATTGCAATGTAAAGGGAATTCGGACAGTCTGGCTTCCTTGTCTTTCAACCTCTGTTTTCTCGCTTATTACCTTTCTACCCCATTTCATCCTTTTTACCTTTCTACCCTTTTTCTCACTTACCATTTTTACGTTTAAAACGTGCCTCTAAACACGCACTTGGGTTCGCTATTCGGTCTAAACCATTAACTCCAGCTGGTTCGTTAATATTTCAACAAATATTTATATATTAAAATTATAATTTAAAATATTATATTTAAAAATTATTTATAGAATAATAAAAAATATATATATATATATATATATATATATATATAAATTATATATTGTAATATCTATGATAAGAATATTATAGAATTCTAAATTTTAAATACTGAAATTTTAATTTATTACGATTTTATTTTTATTAAAAAAGTAATATATATATATATATATATATATTAATCTAATATGAAATTAAGATAAAAAAATAATAATTAATCACATTCTTTTAGACAAATTAAATTTGTAATTTATAGTAATTATCACCGTATCTCACTATTTTATTATATATCTTTTAACTTATCAAATTTAAGTTAGTTTTATCCTCATTCATTTAATTTTTGGTATAATAAATGCAACAATAACACCTATGACATAATTATTTAATTAGAAAATAAACAAGTTTAATTAAATTATATTAAACAAAATGTCAAGTAATTTAGACATTTATTGATATAATTGGTGTCAAGTTAACTTGTTAATCACCTAAAAGATGAAATAAGCTTAGCCTTGATGTTAATGGACTGGAGTTTGATATTATTAACCCTTCTTTGTCTACGTGGATGTACTAGTAGAGGAAATGAGGGAGGAGATTTGAGGGAGGGTGCAACTATTTGCATCTACTAATTTGAGCAGATTTAAGAGGAAAGTTTAAACATAATTACCCTCTCTTATGTGAAGAAATGCATATAATTAAGGTGAAATTGTCATTTTATCCTTTCTATGTGATGGTTTTGTAGAGGTGCACATGCACCGTATAAAATCTTTGTTCTGCAACAAAGTAACACAGATTAAAGACCATGTGTAATTACACGGCCAAATTATCCATTGCAGTCTACAACGTGAGACTGTGCTACATCATGCGCATTGAACACAGTGATGTTGCATTTTTAAGAAGTTGAGTATCATCTCGTGAGGAAAAGTTTCTTTGTTTATAAATACACTTGTTCTCGTGACTGAAGGTTACGGTTTCCTTCTCTCTCCATTCTCATCACCCATTTCTAGTTTCAACAAGTTCTTTCGTGCAAGTGAAGAAAGAATAAAGCAAGAACAATTATAATTATTGTTCTTTCAACTACATTTGTTGTTCTTTGGGTAGTTGTTGTTACAGCTGAAAAAGGAAAGTTATAACAAAATCTCTTATCGCATCTTCAACAAGCTTAGGAGTCAAGTAAGTAAGTTCAGACTTTGTTGATGGTTAAATAGTTGGTTACTCATTAGTTTGTATTGGATATATATATATATATATATATATATATATATATATATATATATATATATATATATATATATGAATATTTTGCACGTATATTGATTAAGCACAAGATCTGAGAAGAGAATTAAAGGATTATATTCGATTATGTAACAAGTCATAATCAAATATTTTTGGTTCATAATCGATTAACAGGATATGATAATCGATTATGCTTGACCCATTATCGAATATCAAGTGTTGCATAATCGATTATGCAGTGATCCATATTCAATTATGTGTTAATTTTTACATTATGCAATGCAAGGAGAGATTGATACATCAACTAATTTTTAACTTACCTTTCAAAATTTTGAGGTTAGATTTGAGATATTATAGGTTTGATTTTCAGAAATTTGAGGTAAAATTTGAGAGAATATATTTTTGATTGGATAAATTTCAAAGTTTGTAAGTTTGATTTGATAAATTTGTAATAAGATATTCAAAATTAAAACTTAAATTTAGTACATTTTAAGTTAGATTTGAAATCTTTTAATTTGTATATGAGAAATTTGTGATTACATATGAAAAATTAAAAGTTAGATTAAATAACTTTTAGGTTGATATACAATTTATAGTTCATATGTTAATTTTGAGTTTTTATTTGTTACACTAAAAAATGAAAAACAACCTGATAGTTAAAACATGAAAGATTATAAATAGTTAATAATAATAATTAATTATAATATAAATAATTGTCAAATTGGTGCTTAATTTAAATTTAAAAATTAATATTTTTGCTATTTTATAAATTGGCTAGAACATTAAATTTTGAAATAAAAAAACATGAGAATTAATATTTTTTAATAATATATTTATTTAAAATATAATTAATTGTCAAATTAATGCTTAATTTAGATTTAGAAATAAATTTTATTTTGGTATTTTATAATTTTTTTTATATTAGGACATTAAATTTTAAAATACAAAAAATGAGAGGTAATTTTTTTAGTAATAATAATTAATTAAAATGTAATTAATTATCAAATTATAGTTTAGATTGATGAATAATTTTTTTTTATATTTTATAAATTGTTTATACTATGACATTAAGGAGAGGAGAGTATATTTTTTTTAATAAAAATTAATTTAAATTAAAGTATAATTTTTTTTATTGAGAACATAAAAAAATTAATACAATAATAATTTTTAACTAAAACTTTATTATTATTATTATTATTATTCATAATATGATATAATTAATTAAAATAAAATATTTTTGCATAGGTAAAATATTAAAGGACTTTAAATTATGTCTTCATTATGTGAAGAGGTAAGAGATAATAAGTTTGGACTATTGTAATTTATTTATCATACTTTTTTTATTTTTGATGATTGTAATTATTAATTAAATAATTATATATTTTATAACTATAATTTTATTAGTTATAAATTTAGTTTTCTCTTTAATTAAATTTTGGATGAGTTCACATATGTTATATGCATGTTTTAGTTTTATTTTTATAAAATTTAAATATTATACGTTATGTGAAATTAAATTTGTATGTATTTAATAAAAATTAAAATTTTTGACCCGCTTAATAAATCCTAACAAATTAATTATTATATTTAATGTAAAATAAAATATATATATATATATATATATATATATATATATATATATATGACAACTTATAAACTATTATTAAAGTAATATAATATTCATTTAAAATATCAAAAATTTTAAATATATAATTTAAATTACAACAAAAAATATATTATATGTATAAAATGGAAGTTATTTTGGACTTATGGCAAAGGTTACGATGATTGGTGTATAAAATGGAAGCTATTTTGAGCTTTCAAGAAGTAGATGAAGTTGTGCAGAATGGACTCCATGAAATCTCCAAGAATGCCACAGATGAAGCAAAGAATGCGTATAGGGAGAGTAAGAGATTGGATTGCAAGGCTCGGATGTTGCTGCATCAGTGTGTTTTAGCAACAATCTTTCAGAAAATCTCAAGAGCAGCTATCGCGAAAGAGGTATGGGATATTCTGAAAGATGCATATGGTAATTCTGGGAAGATCAAGAAGGTTAAGTTGCAATCTCTACGTAAATAGTATGAGCTATTGTCTATGATAGATCAAGAATTTGTCTTAGAGTATTTTAGAAGGTTACAAGTGTTGGTGAATTCAATGAGAGCATGTGATGAACTAGTGAAAGATTGCAAGGTGGTGGAGAAGATTCTTTGTACTCTAACCCTTTAGTTCAATCATATCGTGGTTGCTATTGAGGAGTTGAAGGATACTGAGAAGATGTCCATTGAAGAGCTACAAAATTCTTTGGAGGCACATGAGCAGAGACTAATTGAGCAAAAGAATGGTGAAAAGATTGGAGATCAAGTTCTTCAAGCGAAATCCGATTTTCACCGAGAAAGAGGGCGCAAAAATAAACGTGGCAGAGGAAGGTCACGAGGTGGAAGAAATAGAGGCAAAGGTAGAGAATCTTCATCAGAGCATTCCAATAAAGATTCTGGAGCATAAAAAAAGGTTGGTATTAAAGGAGGCAAATTTATAGAGGAAGAGGAAGAGGTAAAGGTAGTGGCGGATCTTCTTGGGAGCTGAGGGAGGTCGTGACCCCCCCAAAGTTTTGTAACTCCCATGTAATTTATGATTTTGGTCCCCCAAACTTAATTTAATATATTTACTTATATTTACAATTCTATCCTCTCAGCCCCCTCCTCAGTTTTGTAACTCTCATATAATTTATGATTTTGTGTCCCTCAAACTTAATGATCATTTAATATATTTAAGTTATATCTATAATTTTATCATTTCACCCTTTCATCTTCTTTCTTTCTTTTATATTTATTTATTAATAATATATTATTTGACCCCTAATATCAATGGTCAAGATCCGTCACTGGGTAGAGGTACGCAATCTTTCGATAAAAGTAAGATTCAATGTTACACATGCAACAAATTTGGACATTTCTCCTATGAGTGTTGGCACAGTGATTCGGTGAAGAAAGGGAAGAAAGTTAATGAAGCTCATCTTGTTCAAGACAATGATGATTCTGAATCGGATCATGTACGGTTGATGGTCACAACAAATAATGGAGATGATGATTCTAATTGGTACTTGGACACGGGTTATTCGAATCACATGACGGGAAAAAGGGAATGACATATTGACCTTGATCCTAACGTAAGAAGCAATGTGCGTTTTGCAGATAATAGCACAATAATGGCGGAAGGTGTTGGCAAAGTGATGATCACACGAAAAGATGGTAAAATCGCATATATGAATGACGTATTGTATGTACCTACAATGAAGAACAATTTACTCAGTCTTGGACAACTACTGGAAAGAGGATACTCAATGTCGATGCAAGAAAATCATATTGAGGTGTTTGATAATAAACAATGTTTATTTGATCATAGCTCTTTTATCAAGAAATAGAACGTTTAAAATTAATTTGAATGTCACTGCAGTTAAATGTTTGTCATCAGTAAGTATGGAGGAAGAGAGCTGGTTATGACATTATCGGTTTGGACACCTAAATTTTAAAAACTTAGGTGAATTGAGCAGCAAAGAATTAGTAGCTGAGTTGCCAATGATTAATATTCAAACAAAAATATGTGAAGGATGTATTGTTGGCAAGCAAACAAGGAAAAAATTCAATAAGTCAGCACCGAAAAGAGCAAAGAAGCCACTTGATGTTGTCTATTCAGATGTATGTGGTCCATTCGATGTTCAATCACTTGGAGGTAACAAATATTTCCTTATTTGTAGATGAATGGACTAGGAAGATATGACTATATTTGCTGAAAGAGAAAAAGGAAGTTCTTAAGCATTTTGTTAGATTTTACAACATGGTAGAAAGAGAATAAGGTATGTGGAATCTTTCGCACGGATGGAGGAGGAGAATTCAATTCTAATGAACTAGCTGAATTTTGTGAATTGAGAGGGATTGAGCATGAGGTGATAGCTCCATATACACCCCAGCATAATGGTGTTGCCAAGAGAAGAAATAGGATGCTGCTCAACATGACTCGATGTATGCTGAAAGGAAAGAAATTGCCAAATGAATTATGAGGAGAAGTTGTTTCAATAGCTACGTACATACTGAATAGATGTCCAACCAAAGGTGTAGAAGGAACAACTCTTGAGGAAGCATGGTCAGGAGATAAGCCTTCAGTGAAGCACTTCAGAATTTTTGGGTCTATATGTTACAGACATATTCCAGCTGAAAGAAGAAAGAAGTTGGAAGATAGGAGCGAGCTTCTTATATTGGTTGGGTACCATGCAACTGAGACATATAAACTATATGACCCAAAGAAGAAACAAATCGTTGTTAGCAGGAATATAATTGTGGATGAAACAACCACTTGGAGTTAGGATAAAACTGCACATGCATTAGAAATGAGCATCCCATGTATGTTGGAAGAAAAGGATACTTCAGCAAGTAATACACAGTCACTGCAGCAAACACTAGAAGATCCCAAAGGCAGAGATTTCCCTCTAGCAGATTATCAAACCATGAGATTTTTTGTGACAATGAAGTAGCAGATTCAGGAGACCTTGTGTATTTAGCATTCC